CTGGATTCTGGGACCACAGGCTACACTTCCTGGAAGATGAATAGCTGGCAAGGGAAGGGTTGTACCATACAAGATGTGAAAAGAATGTGTTTGGCCACAGCATGATGAAGTAGGGCTTTAAACTGAATCCTACAGAGGAAGGAGAAGAACGCCTGGGCATAACAACAGACAAAGGCTTATGCAGCACAGTAGACAGAGCAGTTCTAACAGTTTCCAATAATAGTCCTCAAAAATTATAGGAAGAAAGCTAGACTAAAGCACATGGTCTTCATTGTCTATATACTGATACCCAGAGTATGGGAAACAAGCAGCATGAACCTGAACTCTTAATACAGTAGAGTGAACATGACCTGATAAGTATGACTGAAACTTGGTGGAATGACTCCCATGACTGGAATTCAACAATTGAGGGATATATTCTGTTCAAGAAGAACAGAAGGAATAGAAGGGGAGGTGGAATCACACTATACATTAAAGATACATATCTTTGCACAGAAACACAGAAGAATGAGCTTAGTAGCCCCATCAAGAACATCTCAATTAATATGAATGGTGCAAGGAATGAAAGGAACATTGTAGTTGGAGTCTATGACTGACCACCCTGTCAAGGAGAAGATGAGAATGAAGCTCTTGAAAAACAAATTCCTAGTGCTTCAAGAACGCATGCTGTCATCATTATGGGGAACTTCACTTTCCCCCATATCTGTTGGGAGGCAGATTCTGTCAAGCATTGCCCCTCCAGGAGATTCCTAACATGTATTGCTGATAACTTCCTCCAACAGAAAGTGAGGAAGGAGCAAGAGAAACAGCTATTCTTGACTTGATAGTAACCAACAGGGAAGACCTAGTGGGCAAAGTGGCAGCTATGGGAACTCTGGGGGAAAGTGTCCATGCCCTACTTGAATTCTTGATTCTAAAGGATGCAAAAGCCAAATGTAGCCAAACATGTGCCTTGGATTTTAGGAAAACCAATTTTAATAAACTCAGAATAATGAAAAAGTCCCATGGCAAGTGACTCTAATGGGAAAAGGAGTCCAAGATGGGTGGGAATGTTTAAAAAGGGAAATTCTTAAGGCACAATTCCAACAAGGAAAGAGGGTAGAAGACAACAGAAGAAGCCCATGTGGTTTCATAAAAAGCTTTAAGATGATATGAAAACAAAAAGGATCTATATAGGAAGGCCAAACCACAAAGAAAGAATACAGGCAGGTAACAAGGAATTGTAAGAATGGCATCAGGAAGGCTAAAGTTACGAATACACTGATGCTAATGAGGAATGCTAAAAGCAACAAAGGCTTTCTTCAGATATGTCCAAAGTAAACAACGGAGGAAAGAAATGGGGCTTCATCAACTCAATCTGGATAGGAAAACGATAGCGGATGACCAAAAGGGGGGGGGGGGCAGAAGTGTTCAATTCCTACTTTGACACAGTCTTCTCCCTGAAGAAGATCTATGACCTTCCTGATGAAGGGGAAGTGCAAGCTGAAGGAGCAGGATGGCAGCTCAAGATTGATGGACAAATGATCAAGGATCATCTAATTGAGCTGAATGAGTTCAAATCTCCAGGGTCCAATGGACTCCATCCTAGAGTCATAAAGGAGCTGGCGGAAGAACCCACAGAACACTGTCTATTGCCTTTAAGAAATCATGGAGGATGGGGAAGTGCCAGATGTCTGGAGGAGGGCTAATGTTCCTATCTTCAAGAAATGAAAATAAGAACCTGAGAAAAACAGACCAGTGACTCTGACTTCAACCTCTGTGAAAATTCTGGAGCAGATTATGAAGCAGTTGTCTGAAAACACCTTAAAAACAATGCAGTGATTGCTAGAAGCCAACATGGCTTTCTCAAGAACAAATCCTGCCAAGCTAATCTGATTTCATTTTTTGATTGGGTGACCTCCCGGGTGGACTGTGTGAATGCTATGGACATAATATAGCATGACTTCAGCAAAGCCTTCGACAAAGTGCCCCATTTCCTGATTAGCAAACTAACTAAAAGTGGGCTAGGTAGAACAACTATCGGATGGATCCACAGTTGGCTACAGAACCAGACTCAAAGAATGCTCAGCAGTGGCACCTTCTCAAACTAGGAGAGGTAATAAGTGGGGCACTGCAGGGTTCAATCCTGGGTCCAATGCTCCAACATTTTTATTAATGATTTGGACGAGGAAGTGCAGGGAACATTTTTCATATCTGCAGATGACTGGGTGAATAGCTAATACCCTTGAAGACAGAAATAAGATGCAAGTTGATCTTGATAGGTTGGAGCACTGGGCTGAAAACAGCAGAATTCAATATGTGCAAATGCCAAGTTCTGCACCAACGGCATCATTGCAAGATGGGGAATACTTATACTGCAAGTGAGAATTGTTGTAGATCACACACTGAATATGAGCCAACAAGGTGATATGGCTGCAAAAAGGGCATATGCTATTTTAGGCTGCATTATAGACTTACCACTTCTAAATCGCATGGATCCCTTTATTCAGCTCTGGTTCGGCCTCATGTGGAATACTGCATCCAGTTCTAGGCACCACAGTTTAAGTAAGATGGAAAGGGTTCAGAAGAAGACAACAAGGATGATCCAGGGACTGGAAATAAAGCCCTATGAGAAATTGAAAGAACTGGTCATATTTACCCTCAAGAGAAGACTAGATAGAGTTATGATAGCCCTCTTCAAGTATTTATTTATTTACTTATTATGTGCTGTCCAATTAGCCATAGGCTCTCTGGGCAGCTTACGTACAATCAAACAGAATAAAATCAACAATACAATAAAACAATATAAATAGTAATAAAAGCAACAACTAATAATAAAAAGTAAATAAATATATAAAATAAATAACTAAATGATAAATTAAACTGAAAGGGGGTATAAAGCAATTCTACAACACAGTGGAGGTATTCAGGATGCAACTGGGCAGGCATCTGAGAGGGATGGTTTAATTTGAAGTCCTGCAGTGAGCAGGGGGTTGGACCTGATGGCCTTCTTGGCTCCTTCCAACTCCACCCTTCTATGATTCTGTGAGTTCCACTGGCCATTCTCAATGGTACCCAGACTGGGGAATATCTTCTATGCAGTTCATCTGGCCCCTGCACTTGCCATTTTCTACCACTTGGAGAAAGTTTTCTAGTTGGCAAGCTTTCGCTTTTCCCTCCCTCCCTCCCTCCCTTCCAAGTGAATTTTATTTTTGGTCTGTCTCTATTTTTATTATTTATTATATTTTAGTGGAGTTTTATTATGGTATTTTAATTCCCGTCAACTGCCCCAGGTATGGCTATGTGTTAGAACAACACACTATAAGATTGCAGATAAAAAAGAATAAAGTAAAAATGTTTTACATCTGAAGAACAGTACCACAGACATAAAAAGAATAAATGGGCAAATTACAACTGAAATCAAGACTATATGTATCAGAATTATGCTGTGCTGTATGACATGAATATAGCATATGTAAAGTGATATGTGTATGGTGATTCACCATACACAAATCTGAATCACAACTTGTTCTCTGGGCTCTCAAGATACCATGGAGGGGACTGCTCTCTATTTAGTGGCTGCCCTGAATGTCTCTTTCCCAGCTGCTTCTCACAGTCAACTGTAAATATAAGTAAATACCATGCAAGGGCTTCTGAATTTGATGAATCCACCTTAACGGATAGCTCCAATAGATGGATCTCATGGTATGGAAGCAAGGCTGCTCATTTTCTGGAAAGGGCTGTTTGTGAGGCAAGTACACCAGCAGTACAACTGTTAATCCTAACAATTTTGAGAACTTCAAATTTATTTCCTTCCTTTGCCACAGTTGGCCGGAAACATATTGCTTTTCAAAGTGGCTTCACTGCCAACATGTCCAAGGAAGTCCTCACTGCCTGTGACACAAAGATAGAGATCAAAGTAAGTGAGACAGAGAAGCTGAGTGAATGAAGTCAGAAATATTTATGGATGATCCAATCCAGAATTTGAGAACAGTAGCTAGAAGTCAAATCTGCAGCTGTTAACTTTTTGCTGACTTGCATCATTAGACATGATTGTTCCCACTATCATTGGTTTAGAATAGGAGAAGTGGACCACTTTGGTGGTCTGGAAGTCATTTTTGTTTTGCCCCTACCCTGAGGCCTCACTTCTTGGGTACTCCTTCCCCAAAATGGATGAGGAAAAACTTGTGGGTTTGGTTTTTACATATTTATGTATGTATGTATTTAAAATTTTTGTATCCCGCCCTTTACAGTGTCTCAGGGTGGCATTTTTTTAAGTAAAATGGTGAACTGCTTATGTCCTACAGGGAGGAGAAAGCAGGAAGTTAGAGACTGGAGTGGGGGGTAGACCCAATATGGTAGCAGAAGTAAGTGGGGAGCGTGTCCTGCCATGAAGAAGAAGAAGTAAGACTCACAGGGACTGAGATGAAGTGGGAAGGCCTGCAGAGTGCAACAAAATGGTTTAAAGAGGCCTGTGAGGCAATCAGGAGGCAGAAAAAGACAGTGGAGTCCATTTCAGAGTGAAAGAGAGAGAATGCGAGCTGAGGCTGAGATGAGCAGATCATATGTTGAAAGCATAGGGTGATAGGGAGGAAGAGACTGTCTGTTCCATAATGAGAGTGATCCTAAAGAAGTCAGAGACAACTGCAGATTCAAAGGAGTAGGCCTGCATTTTGGGACTGTCACTCTACTTCTGCTTTATATTATGGTTCTTGGGCATTATACTTGTCTTTTAGCCTCACGTCTTGAGAAGTGGACGTTTTGTGACTTGACACATGCACCCTGACACTTGCTTAAAATTACAAATGTTTCCAGCTGCCTGGACTGGAGACTCCTAACCTAAGACAAAAAACTGCTCCTTCTTTGGCTTCCTGCTCAGGGAAATAGGGATGTGGAGTTGATTGGAAAGTGCTGTGGTTAGCAAACCACCTCACAGCACCTTGTATACAATGTCCGTGATTACATTTATCATCATTCTGCTGGTAAAGGCCAAATTTCTAACCTCTGATCTTTCTATGCAGATTAATGCTAAAGATATGAAGATGGAATCAAAGCAAGCACAGTATGTGCTTGTTCAGGCCAGCTGTTCCCAATTTACACTGGAGAAGGTGGTTCTGGTTGCTATACACAGTGGCTATATCTTCATCCAGACAGATAAAACCATCTACACACCTGGATCTCCAGGTAAAGCCTTCAGCTCATTCCCTCTGAACACTTACGTGGGACCCAGGTGGTGCTGTGGTGTGGATATCCAGCTTAGACTTTGCCACACCATTAATCTTACTAGATACTCTTCCTGCCAGTGAGCCTAGAAATGATAATGTGGAAGTTGGCTTGAAAAAGGGATCACTTGTTCCAATTTTGCCAATGGTAACAAACTCAGCATGTTGTAACTGTTTTAAAAAACATGTAAAGAAGTGATGATGAAGCAAAAGAAAAATGTGTAAACCACGAGAAGCAATGTCTATCAGACCCCTTTGATAGTCTAAAAACCACTTCCAGCTACATTTGGTTAGGAGTGTTTAAAAAACAGTTGAACATGCTCACATGCCCTATCTCTTGATGCAAGCAATTTTAAAGTAAAATTTGAGGATGGGGAAATATTTATATTTTTATAAGTGACTTGTGATTTTCTTGATTTCCTGCCTCAGGTATGCTGAATTTTTCTTTCATCTTAATCTAAAGATACAAAAGGCAAGCCCTCTTTCTAGCAAATAACTTGCTACATATATCTAATGGTTTTTCTTAATGAAAACAGGTTTGTAGCCATAACACTTTTCAGTTTGGGAAGTATTAAGTATAATTAACCCTGCAATAAACATGTTACCCAAGGAAAGATTCCCAGCAACTACACATGATAATTAACTGTACAGAAAGTCACATGAAGCAGAAACTGTTTGCTTCTTGACTTTCCAAGTGAGACCCTTATCTCAGTGCTTCTCCAAGATGCCAGCACCTTTCACCTGAGCTCAGAATTTTTTCAAAAATATATACGTTCTTTTGCATTTCTCAGTGCGCTATCGTATCTTTCCTGTGGATCACAGCCTGGAACCTATGAAGAAACCTGTGATTGTCGAGTTTGAGGTGAGAGCTATAGGAGTTACCCAGTTTGGCTCATGCCTGAGCAAGAATTTGAATCCTTCTCCCTCTCTGCTCTGAATTCTAGTACACGCAGTTCACTATACCACACTGGTTCTCTCCAGAGTGAATACCTCAGTTCAGTTTTCTGGTGTTTGTTCAGGAAAGTGTCCCAACATGCTTTGAGTGGAAGAGCGGTGGGAAACAACCCCCCTTCTGCTCTTTCTCCTCTAGAACAGGTGAAGTGGTTTTTGATCTGTTACAGTGGTGGTTAGCAGGGCTTTTTTTTGTCATCGAACGCACTGGAATGGTGTTCCGGCACCTTTTTTTCCAATGGATTTTACGAAGTGCCTTTGAATCGTAGCAGAGCAGCAGCAAACATCATTAACATAGTGCCTGCAGGCTGCTTTTGTGTCTGCTATCTGCTATCTGATAGTGAGATAGTAAGGGCGCTGCTCTCCACTTGGGACGCTCGGCTGTGTGTGTGGTCGCGCACTTTTTGCCGGTGACGTGAGTTCCGTCACCTTTTTTTTTTTACAAAAAAAGCACTGGTGGTTAGTATTAACTCTCCGACCTACTCCAGGACCTAACTGGCATGCACTGTGCACAATGTGGAGTTTAAGTAAAGATGTGTTAAGTGAGCAGAGAAGATTGTTGAGGTTGCATCATGATATGCTTTCCTTTGGGATGATGTCTACAAGGAGGTTTCCTGCAGAAGGCCCAGGCTCAATCCCAGCATCTCCATTATAAAGGTGGGATGTGGCGTTGCACAAGATAGGGGCTGGAGATTTACGTGAGGAGAATCAACTGGAGCATGGAACAGATGGTCTGAACAGAAGCACCATTTCATGGCAGGCTGCACTAGCATGTCAAAATATCAAATGGCCTAGTAAAGGGCTCTAAGGCAGGGGTCTCAAACTCAACTTACCTGGGGGCCACTGGAAGTAGAGACTGGGTGAGGCTGGGCCGCATCAAGTATTCCACCACCGTGGTGGGGGTGGGCCGCTCATCCCGCGTCGCTCCTGGAGGCCGGCCCGGGCGCCACCAGCACTTTGAAGGCCGCAGGGCCCCTCCTCCGTGCCAATTGGCCCGTGGGCCACGAGTTTGAGACCCCTGCTCTAAGGCATTACAAACTGCCATTAACTTTAGTTCCTTTCTAGAGGAAGAAAGTAAGCATGCAAATATAAATATAAATATGAGTCAAAAAATTCATTGGTGCTCAGCTAATGTGGATAGACATTAAGTCTTGTTCACTGGCAAAGCACTTGTGCTATAGAGCTACTGAGCTTGCCATTTTTTTCATCGCTTCCTTATAATCTTTTTTTCTCCCCTTCCAGACACCTGAAGGCATTGTTGTCAGCCACACTCAGTTGCACTCTGCTTTGAAAGCAACCCAGCCTTACAATTTACCTGAGATTGTCAGGTAAATTACCATGAACATTATAGTGTATCAGATCTGTTCAGAAAATGAATTGAAACAGTAGTTGTGGTAGAAACCTCATTCATGGGTATAGTATGCTCTATCCTGCAACTTTTTCCTTAGAAATATTACAAAGTCCCATGTATTCCAATATTATTGATTGGTTGATTTCATTTGTAGCATCCTGCTTTTGTTTCAAGTACTTCAGGGAAGCAGATATGAGGCTACTCCATTTTTTTCTTTGCAATGTCCTGTAAGGTAGCATAGGCAGAAGGCCACTGAGTGAACTCAATGGCTTAATGAGGTTTTAAACAGAAGAGGAGCCAGGGTTTTGCCTCTTTATATCTAGGTCCTAAGCTTGGTCAGGCTTTCGGTTTACATCTGTTTTCCACTGGTGAGTGTCAAAAACACAGAACAACCCTATCTTATTACCCACAGTAATTCCAGCCATGAATGGCCATGATTTCAGCATCCCTCTTGATGAAACCTTCAGTTCAGTTGCTTCCCATATCCTCTCCCTGGCTTCTTCCCTTGACTTTCTCCATAGACTGGCTTTGGGTGCTTTTTTGGTCTTGTCTTCATTAAGAACTGCTGTATCTGGCCTCTCTACTGTGAAATCCATCATTCTGTTTCCTAAAACACTGCATGCAGTCCACCCCACCATAATTATGCCTCCCGCTACTTCTGTGTTCTGCAGTCATGGATCTAGACGTTCTCTTTTGCCCTCTCTGGGGCTTCTGTCTGCTCTGGAGGCTTTGCACTTGCCACTGCTAGCCTAACCCTCTCAGTGTCTCCTGACATGATTGCCTGCAATCCCAGGATACTATTTGCCCTCTCATTCCCAGTCCCCTTTCATTGCCTACATGCTATGCTCATATGCTTAAGCAGCTGAATACTCCTCGAGCAGAATAGAAATGTTTGGATGACTTAATTTTCTGTAAATTCATGCTTTCCTCCTCCTTGTCTGCCATCTACCTAGCAGTCTTCATAAATTTTCAATATATGTCATGCCAGACCAACCATATCTCCTTTTTTTATTGGGGTATTAGTTTGAGAGTCCATGCGAGTAGTTCGAATATAGCATATTGTGATTTCAGCAAAGCATTTCACAAGGTTTCCCATGGTATCCTTGCTGACAAGATGGTAAGATATGGGTTGGGCAGAAACATAGAAACAGCGTGAGTCAGAAGGGGCCTCCCGGGCCATCTAGTCTGACCCCCGGCTCCACTCACGACATGCCCACCATGAGCATCTCTAGCCTATCCTTGAACACCCTCACCGATGGGGCCTCAACTACCTCCCATGGAAGCCCATTCCACACCCTTGGGGTCCTAACTGTCAGGAAGTACTTCCTGGCATCTAAATTGAACCTTGGTTCCCTGATCTTCGCCCTGCTGGAGCGCATCCTGCCCTCGTCTGCAGGGGAGAACAGGTCTCTACCCACCTCCGTGTGACACCTCCTCACATACCTGTATGTTGCCAACAGATCCCCTTTGAGTCTCCTCTTCTCCAGGCTGAAAAGGCCCAGTTCCCTCAGTCTCGCTTCATATGGCTCCCCCTGCAAACTGGCTCCCAACCTTGTGCACTGACCCTACGCTGCACTGACTCTAACCTGGCTATATCCTTCCTGCAACGAGGGTCCCAAAATTGAACACAATACTCCAGAACTACAGTTAGGTCAGTGCAGTTGGCAAAAATGGGTTGCCAACTACAGTGGGTTGGCAAAAATTTTTCAACAACCAATAATTTATGGCTTATCATTCTCCTGGAGGGAAATCTTGAGTGGAATGTCACAAGGCTCTTAGCAGAATACTGTTTTTATAAATAACTTGGAAGAGGGTTTAGACCAATTTCTTACCAAATTTGCAAGTGACATGAAGCTAGGAGAAATAGCCAACACTATAGAAGACAGGGTTAAGAGTCAAAAGGATCTAGACAGAATGGCTAAATGTTACAAGATGAAATTCAACAGAGATAAATTAAAATCTTATATTTAGATAAACAAAAATCCAAGATACAAGTATAAAATGGGGAACACATACCTTGGCAGCCGCAGATGTGAAAAGGTATTTTTAGTGGATTACAAGCCAGCAGTTTTGGTGGATTAGGAATCAGCAGTGTGATGCAGCAGTAAGAAAGCTAATACAGTCTTGGGCTGCATTAACAGAACATAGTGTCGAAATCATGGGATGTAATTGTCCCACTCCATTCTGTATTAGTTGGGCTACATTTGGTTTATAGTGCCCAGTTTTGAGCACCCCACTTTAGAAAGGACATTAACAAGTTGTAACACATCCAGAGAAGAGCAATCAGAGTGGTAGGGGGCCTGAAAACCAAGTCCTACAAAGAATGGTTGATATGTTCAGCCTTGATAAATGAGGGTAGACATAATAGAAGTCTTCAGATATTGAAATGTTGTCATGCAAAAAATGGACTAGAGGGCAGGTCTAGAACCAATAGATAGGAAAGACAGGGAAGCAGCTAAAGATTAGGTGAAGCTTCCTAATGGTGAGAGCTGTTCAGCAGGAGGTAGGTTCTCCTAAACTGGAGGACTTTAAGCAGAAGCTACATGACCCTCTGTCAGGGATACTGTAGCTGCACAGTGCAATGCAGAACTTGCATTGAATAGGGGGTGGATTAGATGTTCCCAGAGATATCCTCCAACTCTGTGGTTCTATGAAGAGCTACAGGTTTCATATTCCTGTTCTAACCTTTCCTTGTTCACCCCATGTCACAGGACAGCTACCTGCATGACACCAAAATAGGACATAGATTTGAACAAAAATTGCATGTGGGGTATATGTGTGTGTACGTGTATGTATACATATACATATATGGGCACAAATTTAGGAAGAATCACTACAATTTAAACAGAAATTCATCTCACCATAGTGGGTAATATGTGACCTCTATGACTGCTCAGTCCATTGTCCGGGTGCTAACTGTTGCTTGGTACGTCAAGCCCTCTGCTCTCCCTTCTTATGCTTTAATATATATAAACTGGTCTTTGACTTGGCAATTCTTCAAATAGAGGACTGTCTTCAGGAAAGTAGGACATACAACTACCCTCATCTTGCTTGTTCAGCAGACTTCCTTGCTATCCTCATGTAAACTCTCTGTGTACCTTCTGGAGTCTCCCTGCCTATTTCTTGGTTACCATCTCTTCCACAATTATCTTCTTGCTCACTGATTCCTTCTCTAATGCATTAATACATGCCACTCTTGCCCCTACCCTGAAGAAACCATCCTTTGACCTGTCTTCCCTCTCCAACTGCCAATCCTCTAGCCTATGCTCCAAATTCCTGGGTATGCCACTTACTCCTGCTGCCTTGACTCTTTCCTCCAAACCTACACTCAGTACCCTCCAATTTGATTTCTGCCACATCCATTCCACTGAAACTGTCCTCAGGCAAATCACTGATGACCTTTTCATTGAATAGGCTCCTAGTTAGTCCTAATTCTTTTGGACCTTTCTGTTCCCTTTCATGTAATCATCCCCCCTCCTGACTTGAATCCTCTTTCTTGTGCTTCTATCCTTAGCTAGTTGGTCCTCCTCCTACTCGTCTAAACACATTTCCCCTGCATTAGATTTCAGACGTTTAGCTGAAATCGCAAGGCGGGATTCTGTTCTCTAGAATCCTGTGGAGTAGTGTGAATGTTGAGGGCAATGTACACATGAATAAACATATAATAATAGTTACCTCGAGCAGTTAAAGCAGAAATAATGACCCACTCCTCCCCCAATTTTCCTTTCCTAGTTTGGGTACCTGGAAGATTGTAGCCAAGTATCAAGACCTTCCACAGCAGACCTTCTCTACACAGTTTGAAGTCAAGGAGTATGGTAAGAATGGCCACCTCTGCTCAGGACCTTTTGGCCCAAACCAGGTCTTATCCCCTCTTGATTCTTCCCAGAGAAGACTCACTTTTGTGCCTTGGAAATGACTAGTTCTGTCCTAGGAACTCACCACACTTATTTCCTCTCATCATTCTATTAATAGCTACGTTTTCCTCTTCTATATGATATCTAGTATTACCAAGCTTTGAAGTCATACTGGAACCATCAGAGAAGTTTTTCCATATTGATGACAACAAGAATTTCACAGTGTCCATCACTGCAAGGTAACTGTATGTAACTGTGTGATGGTGAATTCAAATGGTCATAAAATGTTCAAAATAATGTGATTTACAGCCTGGTTTTCAGTTCACTAAAAACTATGCAAAGAAATCCACATAACACGTTATATGAACTACATACTGAAGTTTGCACACACATGCGCACACACCCACGCAGCCCAGCAACAGTAGAATGTAATGAATATATTCCTATAAAGTTCTATTGTTTACGGATGTTTTATCTGTGAAAAAAGATATATAAAAAGAGTCATTGTTCTTAGTCTGTGGAAAAAGATATATATAAAGAGGCATTGTTCTTACTCTCCTTCATGAAGACTGACCTTTATGAAATGGCAGCATGGCACCACCCTGCAGTGATCCTGATATACCACCCATCCCAGATAGTTTCTGAGTTCCCTTCAGCATTCAGTTCAAAATATATTTGATTGTGGCATCTCTCAAGGATTGTTCCATGTTTGGTGTGAGGAGATATCCAGCAGTGAGTTACTGTACCCCCACTCTATTCCTGGGGAAGGCAGGGATCAAGTGCTAGGCTCTTCCCAGACTCTTCTTTTCTCTTGCTTTGCCCAGGACGGAGCACTGCTAACTTGGTCCTCCCTTCTCATGCCTGCCCACCTGTCATAGCTGCTTATGCTCACTGACCTTTGCCTGATCTATAATCCATATTCTCTCCCAACATTCTAACTAAAGGATGCTTTCAGTGATGCTGCCCCATGCTTGAGATGGCAGTTCCAAGTGGGTCAGTCATCTCTGCCTCCTCTCACCTCCTGCCAAAGGCTAAACCTGCTGGGCAGGAAGCACCATCTTCAAGATGGCACCACCAAGCAGGTCAGGCATCCCTGCCTCCTGCTCCGGAGGAAGCAGCGGAGGATTGCCAAACCAGCTCTCCTCTTCTCCCCGGCCCTCTCCACTGTGTTTCAGGGCAGGAGGGCTGCATGTTCTAAGACATGGGTCCTCAAACTATGGCCCGCGGGACGGATTTGGCCTGCCACAGCCATCCATCTGGCCTGCACCACCGTTCGCCGCCCACGTGTGCGCTTGATGCGTGGGCAGGGAGGTGGTGGCTCGCTCAATCAGAGATGGTCTCCGAGCGAGCGAGCCTCCGCCGCATGTGCCCGATGCCGCCTTGCGCATGCCCAACGGCACCTCACTGGCCCACGCTCCCAGGCACCCCCACCTCACCGGCCCGCGTGTGTAGCTGCCGCCTTTCAACTGGCCCCCTATTGGAAAAGTCTGAGGACCCCTGTTCTAAGAGAACAAAGAAGTTGTCTCCTCCTCCTTCTTCTTTGTCTGCATAGTGTAGACAGGACTTGTGCCCTGAAGAGCAACAGGTTCAGCTTCCAGCCCCAACAGCCAGTCAAGGCCAGAAGCAGCCCCTGTTGTGCTCCAGGGCACAAGCTCTGTTTGTGCAACGGGGATGGTTCGACAGCCACAGTGTGCTTAAACCACCTTGCAACTGTGGGTGTCAGAGAGGGGAGGGTTTTTATTCCTCATAGTGCCACACATAGAGGAATGAGAGGGATGAGGAGCAGGGGGAGAGTGAAGCACCGACAAGGAACCTGATCATCCATTGAGCTCACCGAGGGTATTTTGCCAAACAACCAGCATACCCTGGCACATCGTCTTCCATGCCTGGTGCTGCCACTGGCAGCAGCAAAGAATACAGAAGGTGAGTGTCTGGGAATGTTACCTGGTATGCACAGCACTGCTTTTTGTGTCCTGCCACCACCCTTTGGGCAGCTACATCTGATGGAGAAAGCTGCTGGTTGTGCAACCAGGGGTCTGCAAGTGTTTGCAGACTTCCTCTTGGCTTGGCTCACTTTGCAGGACCGAGCTTGGGGACAAGAGGATGTCTGCAGATGCCAGAGGGATACAGTTCATCCCAATCCTACTGGCCTCCTCATGCTACCACTCCAACCATTACTTTCACTCTGTAATCTGCCTTATATCTCATCGTGTTGTTCTGTTGGCAAGCTAAATTAGTGTCTTCCATCTGGCATAGGCATGCAAATTCCCTTTGGTCCTCTGACAAGTGATCACAGAGGAAAGCCGTTTTCTTCCATAAGAGGAGCTGGCAGTGGGCCATCATAACTCGATAATTTGACACGCAGAGAACAAGTGCAGCTGACAAACACAGCTTACTACATATGATTTTCCCAAACCCCGGCTGCCACCAGACTGTCTATACTCCATAAACCACCTCTCAAAAGGCAGGAAAAGAGGTTAATGTGTGAATTAGATCCCCTGTTGTTTCTCTATTGCTACCTAAGGAGAAGTAGCAGAGTGTTGTTTTAAAAGGTCACCATAATTAGCCAGGTCATATTTTTATTATTTTTAATACAACTACTTACAAAACTGCAGATTGGAAACACCATTTTAGAAAAAAGTTTGTTGAAAAGAGTATCTCTTGTAAAATGATGCCTCTCTGTAACATGTGTGCATATTTAAAACTTATGCTTCTTGTTTCACCTAGAAGGCAAACTGCTAAGGCTTAGTCAAATAATTTCAACAAGAAACAGATTACAAGGCAAAACTAGAGTCTCTGCCTCAGATGCCAAATCACATGTTTCTCCCCACAAAGCACAACAAAATACCCATTTCACAAAAAAAGGCTGGTGTTATCAAAAGAACACTATCTTTCACATGTACATGGACACACACATACAGGCAAAACAGATACCACAACAAAGCAGACCACCTTTCCAGCTAACACACAAAAGAAAGAAAGAGAGAGAGAGAGAGAGAGAGAGAGAGAGAGAGAGAGAGAGAGAGAGAGAGAGGAGAGGAGCAGCCAAAACATGCACACACTGCCCAGGCAAAACCTATCCCACTCTCCCTGGCATCCTCTCTATTTCCCCTCAAGATGTCAGAGCCAATACTGGGGGGGGGGGGGGGGTGCTTGAGGCTAGTACACTGCTTTGCAACGTGCAGCCTCCCAGGTTAGAAAGGAAAAAGAAAAAAACCTGGAAGAAAATGAAAGACAGAGAGCCTAGAGGGTTGCATTAGAGGTGTTTGCAGGCACTTTAGTGCCTATGGGCTCCATGTTGAGGAGCCCAAGTCTAGGCTTGGTCACAAGTCTATATTTTATATTCAGTAAATTTTTGGCAATACTTAACATGGATCAGTTGTGATATAAACAATGTGATCAGAAGCAGAACCTACGTGACCATTTTCACTCCTAAACTACAACCTTCAGTTTTTCTGCTTCAATGCACAGCCACCATTACAACTGAGAGCTTCCTATGATCTGAGGGCCGTTCACTCTGTTTGACTGGATTGGACCTGTTCTTCTGTCATCACTCTCCTACCCTGGTGGTTTTCTGGTGGTCTGTTTTCCCATCTCATGCTGATTCTGTTTATCGGCCTCTCAAGAGGCTCTCCCAGTGTCTTGCTGTAATCTGAATTGTCCTTCCAGGTTCCTCTATGGGGAGAACTTAGTTGGTGTGGCCTTTGTCCTCTTTGGAGTGAAAACGGATAATGCAAAAATGAACATCCCAAACTCACTCCAGAGAATTCAGGTATGATGAGCCATGCATGTATAAGCCTGTGTGTGCATGTGTGCACACACAGGCATGTGCACATGTACACAAACAAAGCCCAGTAACAGGTGGGTTACAAAACCATCCTTTTCTTTTCAGATTGATCAAGGGGTTGGGGAAGCTGTCTTATCAAGAGCCATGCTACAGAACCAATTTCAAGACCTGAGAGAGCTCATTGGGCATTCTCTCTATGTCTCTGCCACGGTGATGACCGAATCTGGTGAGCAGTGGTTTTAGCTGATGATGTTCACATGGGGACAATTCAGAAAAGTTAGAAGGAAAGGCATGTAAGAGATTTTGCTGGAGATCATGGGGACAGATCATAAGCTTATCCCTGAGAAGAGTCTTTGAATACATTTTGTACTCTGCCCTTTCACTCTTAACCAAAGTTCATTTTACTAATTAATGAAACCAAAGTACATTTCACTAATTAATCTGAATATATGCTGTCTTTTTGCCAACAGATTCAAAGTGGTTTATGGTATGTAACAATTGTTCACTGAGCAGGGGATTGGACCCAAAGGCCTTTGGTCCCTTCCAACACTATTATTCTATGATTCTTTGGCACAGTACAAAAGAAAAGAGTTACTGGGCAAGGGAACAGAAGCAGGAAGACACTCAGCATTGACACACAGAAAGAATTATGATTAATGTACATTTCTACTCTGAAACGAGTCTTGATTTACCCTTGAGCTGCTTAGTCAAGCACACCTTTCTTCATTCATGCCTTTTGTTCCTCTAGACTAGGAATCAGCAAATGGAGGCATTGAGTCTAAATATAGTCTCCTGTGGGATGATGCCTGCTTCCCCTCTCTTCTCCCTAGACTGAAAGCTGAAGAGAGGTGGGTCTCTGGCACAGAACCTTCAGATACAGCAGATTAGAAGACAGGAATAAGGTGCTGGCCCTTCATCCCTCCCTACCTCATCAAATGACTTGCTTGGAACACTTGTTGATGACCACAGCTCTGAGCCATGTCTTTATTCTTTAATACTTTTTCTATGAGCTTGCCCTACAGAGTGAGGTATCATTATGCCAGCATAACACTCAATATAGTTCATAAGAATGTCATTTGAGCCTTGTAGCTAGTCACAAAGTCGTGTCCGACCCATCATGACCCCAAGGACAACATCCCTCCAGGCCCGCCCATACCCACTGCCCCAGTGACTCCATCCAGCCACCTCATCCTCTGTTGTCCCCTTCTTCTTTTGCCATATATTGTTCCCAGCATCAGGATCTTCTCCAGGGAGACCTTTCGTCTCATTAGGTGGCCAACGTATTTGAGTTTCATCTTCAGTATCTGGCCTTCTAAAGAGCAGTCTGGGTTGATCTCCTCTAGCACTGACCGGTTTGATCGCCTTGCAGTCCAAGGGACTCGCAGGAGTCTCCTCCAGCACCACAATTCAAAGGCCTCAGTCCTTTGGTGCTCAGCCTTCCTTATGGTCCAGCTTTCACAGCCATACATTGCAACTGGGAAAACCATAGTTTTGACTATACGCACTTTTGTTGGCAGGGTGATGTCTCTGCTTTTTAGTATGCTGTCTAGATTTGCAATAGCTTTCCTCCCCGGGAGCAAGCGTCTTTTAATTTCTTGTCTGCAGTCCCCGTCTGCGGTGATCTGAGAGCCCAGGAAGATAAAATCCTATTTGCCAGGAAGTGAGAGGACCAGATGCCATGATCTTAGTGTTCTTGATGTTGAGTTTCAAGTCAACTTTTGTGCTCTCCTCTTTAACCCACATCAAAAGGCTCTTTAGTTCCTCTTCACTTTCTGCCATTAGCGTGGTATCATCTGCATATCTGAGGTTATTGATATTTCTCCTGGCAATCTTAATTCCAACTGGTGATTCATCTAGTCCTGCCTTTTGCATGATGTGCCCTGCATATAAGTTAAAAAGGCAGGATGACAGTATACAGCCTTGCTGAGCTCCTTTCTCAATTTTGAACCAATGAGCGGTTCTGTGTCCAGTTCCCACTGTTGCTTCATAACTTGCATATAGTTTTCTCAAGAGACAAATAAGATGGTCAGGTACTCCCATCTCTTTAAGAACTTGCCACAATTTGTTGTGATCCACACAAAGGATCCACAAATAGTCAGTGATGCAAAAGTAGATGTTTTTCTGGAACTCCCTAGTTTTCTCCATGATCCAGCGTATGTTGGCAATTTGATCTCTAGTTCCTCTGCCTGTACTTCTGGAAGTTCTCGGTCCACATACTGCTGGAGCCTAGCTTGTAGGATTTTGAGCATAACATTGCTAGCATGTGAAATGAGTGCAATGGTGCAGTAGTTTGAACATTCTTTGGCATTCTCAGTGACCACCCCATTGTGGTTATCAGGGACGTTAAGCTCTTTCTTGTATAGTTCTTCTGTGTAATCTTGTCACCTCTTCTTAATCTCTTCTGCCTCTGTTAGGTCCCTGCCATTTTGGTCCTTTATCATGCCCATCTTTGCATGAAACGTTCCCTTCATATCTTAAATTTTCTTGAAGAGATCTCTGGTCCTTCCTATTCTATTGTTTTCTATTTCTTTACAGTGTTCACTGAAGAAGGCATTCTTTTCTCTTCTAGCTATTCTCTGGAATTCTCCATTCAATTGGGTGTATCTTTCTCTTTCTCCTTTGCCTTTCACTTCCCTTCTTTCCTCAGCTATTTGTAAAGCTTCCTCAAACAGCCATTGTGCTTCCTTGCTACAGTAGTTTAATGCAGTAACTACAGTAGTCTAAATGCAGAAACAATTTTTTAAAGTTAATAACTTGAGTCAGCTCTTGCATGCATGTGTGTGCATTTGCGTGCAAATCTTGATATACAATGATAGAAATCAGGGAAGCCAATAAGCTCAATAAATTGAGAGTTTTCAATTTTTTTCTGAACCCTTTTTGCCATTCAGTTTTCAAAGCATTTATGGGCAGCCATGATAAGTAAAATGTCCTTCTTAAAAAGATGTCTGAAATTCACAGGGTTCCAAATAGCATTTATGGAACACACTACTGTTTTTCCAATTCAGTGGCCTAATTTTGTGCATATTTATTGCCTCCAGTGTTGCCTCTGCACTCATTAAGCTATTCTCAGAACCACAGAGAAGATCCAAAGCTCCATTGGGCTCCAATGAATACATCTGTGCTTAGAAGAACAGATCCATTGTCTCTCTCTTTTTCCTTTAGTATGTCTGGACAAAGTGAGAAACCTTAACTACCCACATGGAACATTCTACAGTTCACAGCACAGAAGTGGGGAATATTTGTACTTTCATCCTGCAGCTACTGCTGTGCCACCAGGAAGTTTGAGGTCTCCTCAAAGGTGTCTTCTGTGACATGTACCTGAAGGGAGCATAAAGTGCATTCTGTGGTATCCAGATAATATGCATGGGCCCAGCTGGTCAGGGTACTGTCCTGCAGAAACTGAGTGCACACACTGGACTGCATCTCATGCAACTCTGCAAGTCAGGGAATGTATGGCCTGATTTTTCTTCAGTAGCCAAACTGATTCAAAATGATTCCCTGACCATAGGAAGCTTGAAAAGGGAAAATGCTGCATCTGGAGCAAATGGAGCTGCTTGGCTTTGAGCCCCCTGCTCTCTCCCCCGCCAATTCCCCAACTTCATTTCATATTATTTCTTACTCACAGCCCTTTCTTCATTCTGCAGGCAGTGACATGGTGGTGACAGAGAAAACTGACATCCGTATTGTGACAACTCCCTATGAGATCCATTTCACAAAAACCACCAAGTACTTCAAGCCAGGGATGCCCTATGCAGTTATGGTAATATTAATCACATTTTCTTTTACAGCCCAAGCTTGCTTGTTTTAATCTTAATTGACTCATAAATAGCAGTGATGATCTCCTCTGTCCACTGATCTTACAAATGAAATAAGAAATATGGTTTCATCTGAGCACTATTATGCTCATTAATCTCTTCTTGTCTCAGGTATATGTCACAAACCCTGATGGCTCTCCAGCTTCCAATGTACCTGTGACAGCAGAACTGCTTGAAGATCGTTCACAGAGGGATACTGCAACTACTTGGAGTGATGGGACTGCCAAATTTACCCTGAACACTCTCCAAAACCAGAAAACACTAAGTGTTGCTGTGAGTCACCCTGGAGTTTCTTCTTTTAAGCTCTTCCTCCTCTTTCTGTCCCCCACTTTTTTCCTGTAAGAAACACAAGGCAGCTTCCATAATTTTCCTCCTCCTCCTCCCCATTTTATCCCCACGACAACCCTGTGATAGAAGTTGATGAGGCTGAGCATCAATGGCAAAAAATTACCTAGTGAGCTTCATGGCTGAGGTGGTAGTAGAGGAAGGATTTCTCAAAGCCCAGTTCAACGGTTTAACCACTATGCCACACTGACTCTCAAGTTCTGTTGTGAGATGGATGCCAGCTACTTTCTCCAAACTTGCACCAAGCAAATGTTTCCTTGAGATTAAGACTCCCATTCATTTCAGTCCAGTACAGCTGCCATTCATGAGCTAGGTCAACTGTTTCCACTGGTGAGAAACAGAGAAACAGAGCAAGTCAGAAGGGATCTCCCGAGCCATCTAGTCTGACCTCTGGCTCTAGCCAGCTCCGCTCACGACATGCCCACCATGTGGACGTCCAGCCTATCCTTGAACACCCGCACCGATGGGGCCTCAACGACCTCTCGTGGAAGCCCATTCCACGCCCTCAGAGTCCTAACTGTCAGGAAGTGCTTCCTGGCATCCAAACGAAACCTTGGCTCTCTGAACTTTGCTCTGTTGGAGCGTGTCCTGCCTTCCTCTGCAGGGGAGAACAGGTCTCTACCCACCTCTGTGTGACATCCCCTCACATACCTGTATGTCGCCAACAGATCCCCTCTGAGTCTCCTCCAGGCTGAAGAGACTTGTGTTTAAATCAGACACAGTATAAAACATTGTTGATCTGAAGCCTCAGTCAACTGTGACAGAAGGAATGAGAAGACCCATCATGTTATTTTCATCCAGGGGTGCTGAGGAAGGTCTCACCACCCTTACCAAGGCATGCATTAGTGCAAATGGATGGGGCTCGCTCCTTCTTATGTCTCCGGCTCACAGTTAGGTAGGGTTGGGATTAAACCCAGCAGAATCTGTTCCTTAGTGCTCATGGTCTTCCTCTTGTGTTTGGCCTGGTTTGACAAAATGAGCAGAGAGGAAATCCATGAGTATTCACATTATGAAGTTTGTGCAACTGCCAACCTTTGTTCTGCATTATGTGGAGCAGCACATGGCATGGGTGAGGGACACTGCTTGTGTAGTGTGTGGGGCTCAATTCTTGGCAAGTATTGTGTGAACACTGCGTGCATCTACCCAGGAACGTGGACTCAGAGCAGAGTCTGGGAAACTAAGCACAGGAAATCTGACAGTTAATCTTCATGGGTGCTGCACCTGCTCAGTACCTTTGTTTGGGGAGGTTCTTCTAGCTAAGCCTAGAAATTTTGGCAGGAGCCGTACCTCCTTTCCCCCTTAATATAAATAAGTGGGCTCCCACCATTTTCTCAGTTCGCTTTCATGCACCATTTGCGGTGCCTCAGGATCTCTAGCTCTTACATTTGCCTTTTACCTGAGACTCCTTCCTTTTACTCTCATAGCTCTAAACCATTTTTGCTTAATGCCTTTCCCCCACCTCATTCACAAGTTTACTCTTTTTCATGTTGCCTTCATTCACTACTTCCTCAAAAAAATTTTTAAAAAATCCTCCTATCATCTCTCCTCTTGAAAACTTCTCCTCACCATCCTCACCTTTCTCTTTCTCTCTCAATGGTACTCAAACCAGCATTTCATCAGTGCGTGGAATGTGGAGTGAAAATGCCGTCTACCGACAGCCAGTCCTTGTGCCTCTTCTGTCTGGGGGAAGAACACCATGTGAGCAAATGCCCACATTGCCAGGCCTTCACCAAGCAGGCCAGGAAAAACAGGGCTAGTCACTTGAAAATGGAGGTGTGGGCGTGTACCCTCTTTGCTATGAAGGACATTGCCAGCGATGACACTAACTGCCCTTCCACTTCGAAAGAGGTTGCAAAAAATGGCCATCTGCTGAGGCCATTTGGTGGGATCCCACCTATTTATATTAAGGGGGAAAGGGGGCAGGGCTCCTGCCAAAATTTCTAGGTTTAGCTAGAAGAATCTTCCGGAATGAGGCATTGTGCAGATGCAGTACCCATATGTGTGAATGCACAGAAGACTCCTTTGAAGAACAACAGTTACACGTAGACAACCTGACTATTTCCACCCCCAAAATGGATTCCTCACACATCCCTATTGCTGGGTGTACTCTTAGGGCTCAGTCCAGAACCTGGATGCCTAGGTCTCAGTGCTATACCAGCATGTGCTAGTATAGCTAGTATATCAAACACACATGTTCTGAGAGATGTCTGATCTGGCCACAGTCACGTATGCCTTAATTATATCCTGTTTGGACTGCTTCAATGTACCCCACATTGGTCTGCTTTTCCAAATTACTCAGGAACTTCAGTTGCTCCAGAATGCTACATTCAGACCATTGACCAGGACTGGTTACAGAGAGCATACAGCTCCCTTGTTACAATAGAGGTGTCATTGGCTATAAGTCTATTTCCAGTGAATCCTGTATCCAGAATTCAAAGTGCTGATTATGACCCATAAACCCCAAAATGGCTAGGAAGCAGGCTGCTTGAAAGACCACCTTCTCTCGTACAAGTCTGCCCAGTTATGAAGGTCCTCTGGATAAGCCCTTCTTTCAAGACCTCCATGATCTGGGTGAATTTGATGATGACTCAAGAGAGTGGCCATGCCCATGCTGGAGAACTCCTTTCCAAGGGATGCCAAGTTTTCTTCCAAGGGCTTTAATCAAGAGAGCTTTTGCCTTAGTGGGCCTGTGAGCTTGGTGCTGCCTGCATCTGTGATTGTTATATTGTTACTGTGTTTTACTGTTTTTAATCTATTTTAATTTTTTATAAGGCACTGTAAGTGCCTTTTTCAGTAGAAATGACTGGTATAAATTAAACAAATGGGGAAAGTCCAGCAATTTATGTCAAGCAGCAATGCACACCATGCCATAGAGGAAGCTGGTAGATTTCCATGGCCCCATGTCCTGGCCTGGTCACACCCCTCACTTGGACATTATCATTTTTTCAGCACTGTATGGCAGAGCGCTTCTGCTTATCCCTTTGTGATGAAGCTAAAACATTTCATGATTCTTTCAGTAAACACTTCTTGCCCTCTCTAGGTAAAAACCAACCATGAGAGACTCCCAGATAAACAACAGGCCAACAAGACTATGGTGGCTACAGCCTATGAAACCCAAGGGGGATCAAGAAACTTTCTTCACATAAGTGTCCAAGATACAGAGGTCAAAGCTGGAGACAAGTTAAACATTCATTTTGTCTTGAGCAACAGTCAAGTATCATCAACGTGTATAACGTATATAGTAAGTACTGGGAACCCGGAAGGATGGAAATCCAAGCACCAAGTCTTCATTCACTTTTTAGCATTCAAATTATTTGGAAGGAGTATTGGTAGCTTACAGAAGCTTGTTCCGAGAAAGCATATGATTGTGGACAGAAATAATGTCATATAAGAAAGCAAATTTCAAAGAAAGAGAGAGAGAGAGAGGATGTATAATGGAGCGACAATGAACTCTAAACTGGGGTTGTAGGTAATTAGTTTAGCAAAGTACACTTTAATTTTCTTATTCTAGAAAGAAAAAGGCAAACTTCAAATGCTACTGAATAAAAAGTATGTTCATTTTGTGGAAACAGTCCATTTTACAGTTGTTGCCCTAATTGCCTTTTGAGTTGCATGTGGTGATGCCCTAGCCACCCTTTTTTGTTGGCAGCCGCTTCTTTCCTGAAACTTCATTACCTGCCCGTGTTCTAGATCTCTGTTTACATTTCGGTCATTGGCCCAAAATAGCAAAAGTGGGAAAGTAACCACAGAAGGAAAGCTTTCCTCCCCATGCCCCTAGTAACTGAGTGGGGAAGGTTTAAATGCCATCACCCCACTCTTCAAAGTGCTTTTCCTTGCTAGCACTTTGCAACAAAGAACTGTCGGGACAGTGTTGTATATGCCTATAGTGTAATGTGTGCTGAGATACTGGTGGACAAGGAAGTTTCTGGTTTATATTTCACAGCTGTCAGTTGCTCACTGAGTAGGCTTGCATGTCACGCAAAACTATCTGGGAATAAACCACAGGAGGGTGTTTATTTGCAGAATAGCTCATGTTATTCTCCACAGATGGCCAGCTATGCAGTGGCTTGGCATGGCTTCAGTTCCTCTCAGCCCTCCAGCCTGCTCCTTCCTTGTATTTCAGTGTCCTTTGCACAGTGACACATTTGCATCTTAACCCCTACAGTGGGAAATTTTCATGGCCCACTTCCCTATTCTGATTGCTACACATTTTTGGAGTACTTATTCCATTCACAAACTCATTTAAAGTATTTTTTCAGTGCTTTTGATGTATACAAATGTTTTCAGCCCCCCCCCCCCCCGCCCCATACCCCATCTTTCACAAGGATGCAAAAGCACAGATCTGCCTGTCCTCTGTTTGTTTAATCTTGCCATGTCAATGTTCTTGTATATTACCATTGTCAAGTGAAATGCTGAAGTGGAATAAGTAACATACAAGGAAAGTGACAAGATAAAACAGTACATAAACGAATCTGTGCACATTTGCATTTGCAAAGGTCTAGGAAAATTATTACTAAGAGGACATAACAAATTAGCCCATTTACACACATTGGAATCACTGAAAAGAAATGTGAACAAAGTAAGTGCCCTGGAAAGCAATGCCAAAGGAAGGAGAAAAAGGTCCACTTTACAATATCTCCCTATTGCCATTATTCCTTGAATCATTATTCCCCAATCACCTCTTTCGTTTCAGTGCTTCCCCGAGTCCTGATGAAATTGACTGTTAGGAGTTATTGACTCACCTCCATTAGGCTGGTTGATGTAATCCCTGCTGGTGTGTGGGGTACAGGGGGAGCTGACAGAAGGCTTTCCATTGTAGAACCCTGCCATGAGATTTCCACAAATCTCCCTTCCATTTACAACTCAGCTTTTAAAATTGTATAGATCTCCTAAGCAGTTTTTAACAAATGCAGAGTAAACAAGCCCCCTATACTTATCTGCTCCAATGGGTCCCCATTTGCTTGTCCCATTTGCTTTGTGGCTGCCTTGCAAGGATTTTTTATACCTGAAGTGCATTGACCCTAAAAGTAACTGCTCCAAAAGGTTACTCACAGTTATCTACTTCATCGCTACTCCAAAAAGCACTGAAAGGAGACGGGACACTGACAGGTGTCATTTCAAGGCATAATAGTGAGAGGATAAAATTGCCAGTGGTGATTGTTATTCCCCCAGCCTTTTTGTGTTTCTTTTTGGAGCAACTATTTCATTCAGATTTTTTCCTTAGTGCTTCTCCATTGCACAAACTGGTTTGTAATTTCTCTTAGTATTATTCACCCCACTCCTCATCTTTCACAGGTATGCACAGCTTACCCTATACACAGACTTGCCTTGTCAATTTCCTTGTATGTTACCTACTTTTCTTCAGGGCTTTCTTTGATAACTGTTAAGGTAGAAGGCAATTGACTAAGTAAGGCTATGCATAGTGAACAGTGAAATCTGCACTCTTGCACAGTTGGGAGAAAAAATCACACCAATCGATTTGTGTACTTCAAAACCACCAGGAAAAGAAAAAAAAAATCATGGCTGTTGGTCCTTCTAAGGTGCCATTCCAGCATTGCTTGGATGGCACTGGCAATATATAGTACTAGTAAGATTGCAAAGAGTAATTTCTGCTGCTCATTTCAGGTAAAGTAAAATAAAGCATGCAGTCAGGTTTGGACATCCTAATAAGCAACCATGAGAGCAAGCCTTCTTCAGCAGCCCTCCTGGAAGCCTTGGGTTCTCCATCTGTCTTGTTCACACAAAACACACCATATTAAATTATCTGTGCCATTTTTGCACAGCATGGTAAGTTTCACTGACACTAATAAGGCTTACAACCTACTGTGGCTTATCTTTACATGAACACCCCATCTTTAGGTCTCAGTTACTGTTCTCTCAGGGTTATGCTACATGCTAAGTTAAATACATAGTGTCCTAGCACCCCTAACTTTCTAACTTTTGTCCAAATATACAAGCGCCTGATCCAAATTGGTGCCACTGCATGTGAAATAAGAGGCATAAATATTTCCACTCAGATGTTCCTCCCCCAGTGTGTTTGCCCCCCAGAGTTTTAAAGGAAATCTCCATTGGCACCATTAGAGTTTGTTTAAACCTCTACAAAGTGATATGAAGTTATGGGAGAAAACAGCTGGGCAGGAGGGTATAACCTCCCTCATATGTACTGGTTTGGATTAGCCCACTGTGCACTTATGCAAGATTAAAAGGAAAACAGAGGATCACTGTGGTGTTATGCTTTCAGCACAGCACCTGTTTTAGTCTTCACACTCTGCCTTTCAACTGCAGCACAGGGATAATGAGTTGGTCCAATTCCCCTTCTGTAGCAAGGACACCTATTCAAAATGGAGGTGGGGGGAAGAAATCTTCAGCAATCTTCAAAGTCTGTCCTTGCAAATATCCATACTTGAAGTGTAAAATGCCAGTTTTAAAGATCTCACAATAATTTATAATCAGTTATTAACACAGGTCAAAAGATATCTTTTGAAGTGTTCCTAGTTCTTGCTAGTGGAAAGCCAATATTGTTGAAACTAACCATGTTTGTGATCCCCTACATTTTAAACTGTCAGTTTTTCTTGTTCAACATCAGATTTTGAATAAAGGGAAAATACTTACAGCTGGAAGGCAGTCCAGAACAACGGGGCAGAGTCTGGTTTCCTTTTCTCTGCATATCACCCCAGATTTCATCCCTTCCTTCCGCGTTGTGGCATATTATGAAGTAGGAAGCACTGAGATCGTAGCCGACTCCATCTTGGTGGATGTGAAAGATACCTGCATGGGAAAGGTAGGTCACTTCTCCTAGGAATGTTGCTTCAGCTCTGCCAAGGAGCCTCATATGAGCAGTTTAAATAAATACAATAACAGTATCAGTGCTCCCTTCCTGTAACTAAAGCAACAGTCTCCATACAATTGAAATCTGGTGTATTTTCAGAAAATTTAAGTAAAACTTCTCTATAAATTAGTCTCAGTTCACCTGGAAAAATGCATCCAGAAGTATAACCTATGGGTGGTTCAGCACGTAATGGCACTACCACTTCAGCTGGATGCTGTTAAGTGTCAAGAAGCCAGAATAAGCTTGAGAGATGAAGGGGCTTGTTGTGGCTTCATTACTCCTCCCTGCATCTCCTCCATTCCTCCAAATGACCTCCCAGGGAGGTACCTCAGGGGGGAATGAGTGTCCTTTCTTTGGTTTGCACAGCTGATGGGTAATTCCTGCTGTGCCAATAGGACTCACCTCTGAAGTTCAGCACAGAACGAATCGGGCATAGTTGCCTCCTGCTCCAGGGCAGGGGCCTCTACTCCACACTGCTGCCCTGCTGAGCTGACCACTGGCTCCAGCCGCCTTCCTGAAGGGTCCCCTCTCAGGCAGGAAGCAGAGGGGCCAGTCTGCTTGGTGGACCTGCCCCATTCTCGGAACAGCCTCACGAAGCTGATTGCCAGCTCTTGGCTTCTGCCTGAGATCTCTACTCTTGGAGGAGCTGGGCGGCAGCACAGATGCTTGGCTGGCTCAGTGGCACTGCCCTAAGACAGGAGCAGTGCCACTGAGCCAGCGGTGTGCCCTGACCTTCAATCCAAGAGTGGATCTCTTGGGTAGGAGGTAGAACACCTCTGAGGGCCATGCCAAAGTAGGGGTAGCTGTCAGCTGCACTCTCCAGCTAGCCAGTTCACTCACTCATTTCAGGGCTTGATCCATTATTGGTTTTGTCATCCAGATTCAGATGTCAGATATCACAACAAGCAATGCTGGTAGGAACGAACTCTAGTACATGGATAAGTTACAGTGTTCGGTCACCATGACTGGATTTGAACCTAGTCTATATGTCTGTTTCACACCTCAAATACAAATTTATTCCATGGGCACACGTGGGCTTTAATAGCACAGGTTTCTGTTTAACCAGGATAGCCCCTGTTTTCTTGCACCAGTCTTTAGTGATACATGGTTACTATTTTGTCCCAGCTTTGCTACTTGCAGAGACGTTGGAAATGCCTTTTTAAAATTGGGGTGGTTATCTGAGAAATTCACTGATTTGGCTGAATGTATGAGAGGGCCTCCTTGGTGGTTGCTCCCAAGCTGGAACTCCCTACTGAGGAAGGCTAGGTTCACTTCCTATCTGTTCTTCTGCCAGCAGACAAAGACTTTTTTATTCAAGAGGCATGTGGCATGTAAGTGGAATGTTGGAATGGCTGCTGTTTTTTATTCAGCTTGTTGCTGTGTTTTTATTGTGTTTTAATGCATTGTTCCATTATTCTTTTAAACAAGTTTCATTTATGATGGTAAGGCAATTTGAGTGGCTTTTTTCTTGGTAGACAGGTGGGGTGCAAATCAAATAACTAAATAAGACTGGGTAAAAAATGTACACTGCTGATTTTTTTAATGAATTTGCCCAATTAGCACCTTCCAGTCCTTTCAATGAGCCAAGGCAGAATTGCATTCCCAATTGGAAGAATGCATGCAGAAACACGTGCATTAGAGAAAAGTGTGAACAAAATGCTTACATTTGAAGAAAGTTCAGAAAACAGCATTTCAGCAATATAAAGTACTATGGGAAATATTATTTAATGTGTATACATTAATACATGGATTATGAAAAATGCAACAAAAATGTTCAAAAAATAATAAAAAGGACTCGTTCATGCACAAATAGGATAGAGGAAGCTTTACCTCAAAGAACTGACAAAACTGAGACAAAGACTGAAATACTCATCTGCACCTGCTTATGCGTATATAAGCATGTATGAGCATTCAAGGATTTCTAGGCACTATCTGAGGACCAAACTAGTTACAATAATGTTCATATCTTCTGCATTTCTGTGGCTGGGATTTTAACAAATAAATGGTGAATGCAAGGGGTGGCAAACTGGGTTGGGACTTCAACCTTCTGTCCCCTTCATGGCCTAGATCCAGACTCGGGGTCCCTGAACAAGCTATTTATCGTTGCCTTTGCTCCAACAGCTGGTTGTGGAAGGGGCGACTGAGGCAGACAATAACATTCACCAGCCAAAAGATAAAGTGACCATCAAGTTGACAGGTGATGCAAATGCCGATGTTGGTCTTGTGGCTGTGGACAAAGGAGTCTATGTCCTAAATCAAAAGCACAAGTTAACCCAAACTAAGGTGAGTTGGGGAAATTCCTTAAAATAGGTATTCCAAGTGATGAGTCAGAGTGGGGGATCTTTGGGGGTAATCTTTTGAGGGCCTCATTGTAAAGGTGGAAAGGGCCAGATCCACCTCACACGTTCTCTCTTTCACAACCCATCACACATCCTTTTCATCCATCATCCATTCATTTTTTTCTCACAGATTTCATATCCCCAATACCTCCAGTCACACATGAGCACACACACCATTTGTGAATCTTCCATTCACACCACATAATCTGGTTCTGCAAAGTGATATGTGAACTGATTTTTTTTACCCTCTCTATCCCAGGGTAAAAAATCCCAGTGTCATTCATACACTGATGGGAGCTGAACTAATGGCGACTGACCAAGAAAGATATCTTGGGCTTGTGGTAAAGAGCCCAATGAAAATCTTGACCCAGCATGCCCCTGATATGCAAAAGACAAATTCTGTGTTAGACAGAATTCTGTGAACTGCCACGCCTGTGCAGTCCAGAAGGAATGAGGCCTGGAGACCTTGAGGTTGGGACCAGAGTCAATTCTTCCAGGAGCTTTGCTAGCCTCAATATCTTGGGAAGCTTTACTAGCACTTCGTACACACTGTATGCAGTCTAGATCAATGCCAGTTTCAGTTCGTCCTCAGCTCCCTGTGTGTCCACCAAAGTCATAGTGGCTCCAGTGAGTCATCCTTTGTGCTCTGGGGATTCCATGTACCCTTATTGTAAGCCATCTCAAGATGTTTGTAGGAGATGGGATAGAAAAGCTTTTAATAAATAAATAAATGTTTTATGATTGACTTATCAGAACATCGATTACAGGGAAGACGCTGTCTAACATATTGTACATACTGAGGAGCACTGTCACCCAGACCATGAGTTCTTTGACTTGCCCAGAAGATGCAGGACTTGGGGTGATCACAGATATGGAATAGAGGGAGAGAGTGTTTCTTCAGAGTAGGGAGACAACCAAGATCCATTCCTGCATCTGGCACATCCTGAGCTGGAAGAGGCCACCCCCAATGAATCCAGCACAGTGCAGGACTGAGAAGAGTCCTATGTCAGGACACACGCCAGCCTTGGTCGGTTCACCCTTGTGTCAAACCCTTCCTTAGGGAAATATCTCTCTTGGTGCCACCAGTGGAACATAAATTCCCCATCTGAGATCTCACTTTGGTGCTCAGAGCTCTCACAGAAGTTCTGGTTGAGCCAATTGGATCCACCCCTTTAAGGAAACTTGCTTTCAAGATTATATTCTCAGTGGCTTTAACATTAGCTAGGAACATGTGGAGTGTAGGGATTGGATCCCTTTCAATCTAGGATGGCTTCTGCACTTTCTATGAGGATATGGTAGTTCTGAAAGCACACACACCCTTTATTCCAAAGATAAATACTAATTTCCATGGGGCCCAAAGAGTAATGCTACCTGATTTCTTCCCCAAACCAGACCTTCCTGAGGAAAAGAAGTGGCTCAGCCTGGATGTTTGTATGTCCCTCAAAGTGTATATTATACATACTATGGAGATCAGATGCTCCAAAAGCTTGTTCATCCCCTTTAAATGGGGGTGTATTTGGCTTGTGTGGTTCCCCACTACAGAGATAGGGTGTCCTACAATTCAGTCTTTTCTTTCTTCAAACTATTTGGTCCAGTTTTACTTGGCAAGTCACATTTAACCTGGGTTGCAGCTAAAGTGGCTTTATCTGTTCCCAATTGTTCTCAGGCAAGGTTGTGTGTATGTGTGTGTGTGTTTAATTGACGTACAGGTTTGAAGTACAGGTGAAGTCAATTCCTGCTACAAGGGTGTTGGGAGGGGAGGTCACTCCCCACAGTGGGTTATGTACAAAAGCTATGCCTTGTCATGGAGGATACTTCTCTATAAGTCCAGATTTACATTTCCACACACCACCTGTCTATCCAAACAGTCATCCATTCACACTGAGACACTGACTCTCTTTCTTTCTCCCTTCTCTCTCTCTCTTTTTCTCCCTCCCCCACCCCACCCTGGCTGCCTCCACTCCTTACCTCCCTTGTGTGAATCTAAGACTTTAAAAAGCTTCCATTGACACCAATGGGCTTTTCCATTGTCACCAATGGGCTCCATCTGCAGCAGGGAGCTGATTTCAGAAGGGATCACAGTGCATGGATAGGAGGGGTTAACTCTTCCCACCCTACCTGTCATTTTCCAAAATTGAATCCCCTCTGGAACAGCAATTTATGATGTAGCATTTTCAGTGTTGAACATGCTAGAGGCCAAGATAAACATGTGCTCAGCTGCCTGTCACTTTTTATTGTTGATGAGGTTTGTTTCTTAACAAAATCCCAGTGTGGCAGCTACAATAGGTAGTAGAAGACCTGTACAAGGAGTGAAGGTTCTTAATCTTTCGTTGCCTTGTGAGCTTTCCACTAAAATTTGACCTAGCAAGCCTTCTGCCAGAAAGGGAAAATATATGGATATTTGCCATTTTTCTTATCCCTTTTCCCTACTTCATGCCAGATATGGGACACCATTGAGAAAAGTGACATTGGATGTACAGCTGGCAGTGGCAGAAACAACCTAGCTGTCTTTGCAGATGCTGGACTGGCCCTTGTGACCAATCAACAGATTTCCACAACTGTAAGATCAGGTATTTTTTGTGTATGTGTGTCTGTCCGGGAAGGACTTACTTCGAAGCAAAAGTGCATGGAATCAGCATCCACAAGAATTCATCAGAGTCATCCTCTTTGATGTTAAAGATCTATTTCCCATTCCGGATTTTTTTTCCAGATCCAAAGTGCCCTCAAACTGCAAAACGCAAGAAACGCTCCATTCAACTCATTGAGGTGAAGGCAAGCAAAGGTATGTGACAAGAGTCCTATATTCCCCAAAAGTTTAACCAATTTTGAGCCAGCTTTGATCAGTAATATCCTGAAATGCATGTACAGTTGGAAGAAAGCTGTGCCTTCCTTGCTTTGCTTTAATCTTAAGTGTGAATCAGTGGAAAGTGATATTTGTATGGTCTCTTTATTGAAGGATTTCCCTCTTTTGTACAAGAGCTACTAGTTCCTCCTCTCAAAGAAAATAATCTTTCCAGAATAAAAAGGGAGAGAAAAAAGACCTTTTATCCATCCACCACTAGGCAAAGTAGGAAAGGGCAAACATTTCCTTTAGAAATTGTTGGAATTGGCTTATTGTTTATTGGTAGAGCAGATATTTGTCAGCAGAAGGACTCAGGTTCAGCCCAGTTTAAAGATCCCAGGTGGGAGATGCTTGGAAGCATTATTTATTCATTTATTTTTACATAGGACCCCTTATTTTTCAATTCCACTAAACTAAAGTGTAACAAGAAAATATAATGTCAAATCACAAAGCAAAACTTCAGATGAAGCAGGAGCAGAAATAGTTGACATTTTGTCACTTGAAGGAGTACAACTCTGAAAGACTTCTGTTTGCATTTTCTAATTATAAAAGACTGCTATCTGACACCTGCAGCAGATCCTGCTGGTCAAAATTTTTCCTGTGGAGTTATTTGGGCAAGTGCTCTAAACTGGGGTTTTGTTTTTGTTTTGTTTTCAGATTCCCAGATCCATAACTTCCCAGGGTTTCCAAAGCATCTAGCAATTTAAAAAACTGGTACAAAATATAATACAACAAAAGTAATCTCTTAAAATAATGTATAAAAGGATTAAAAGTCAAAGTAAGAAAGATAGGATCCTACACTAGTTCACTGACAGGACTTATCCAAGTGGCTGCTTTTTTTCTGTCATGAGTGGGAGGAAGGGTGAAAATGGGGAGAGGAAAAGTCCTTATCAGATATCTCATGACTTTTGTATGCTTCAGTGGCCCAGTATGAGGATCGGGTCCTACGGAAGTGCTGTGAAGATGGGATGTATGATAACCCCATGGGGTACAGCTGTGAAAAGCGTCAAGAGTATATCCTTGAGGATACTGCTTGCAAGAACGCGTTCTTGGAATGCTGCCTCTTTATCAAAAGCATCCGGGATGAAAAGCAACGGGAAGAACATCTCATACTGGCACGAAGTAAGTAGGGGTGGTTTTGTTACAGATTGCTCAAAGGAGCAAAACTGAGGAGAGGGAAATACTGGAAGCAGATGGAAGACTTGACTAGCCTATCCCCTACACCAGCAAATGCTCCAGCCCTTGGAAACACCACACATAGAACTAATTGGACTGGTCAATGCTCCAAGAAGATGACAGTCTTAATTATGACAGGGGGAAGACAATGGCTAAAGTCTGCATGGCAAAACCAAGAAAGCCGCATAGTGTGATTTGTTTACTCTGGGGCCTATGATGGGCCCAACAGATGGCTGGCCACAGTGGGGATCCTGCAGCACCTGTTTCCTCCTCTTCCACCTTGGTCGTGGCACTAGTATCTCAGGGATGCTATGGGAACACTTCTGGAAGCTGAGTTAGGATGACAACAAGTGGCCCTTTTGCAACAGTTGCCAGAGGCATCACATTGGTGAGTCTACTGGGAATAAGTGGAGGAGGAGGAGGAGGATTCCACAGACCTTGTAAGTGGGACAAAGGGAGGGTCTACCAGGTTAAGCCAAAAGCTTCAAGCTTCACTGGAAAACTGAATTTTCGGAGGTAGGGGGAGGGGTGTTCTGGGAGGTGGCTCCCAGCTGAGTAAAGGTGGAAGTCAAAGGCTCAGAATTTGACAAAGGCTCATTTTAAGGAATATCTCCTGGGGCAAAGGTCAGGATAGATGGATAATCTCTTTTTCTGGACTTCCCATTTCTATACGACCAAAGTTTTGTGTTTAGTGAATTTTTTCTTCTAGTATTTTATATAGACATCTAATTAGTTATTTTGACAAGAAACAGTTTTGATATTGGTAGCTGTGTTCCTCCATTGCAGCAAAAACAGTCAAGGGTCTTGTTTCTCCTTAAAGGCTAAAATGTTTATGATATAATCATTAATGGACTACTACAGTCACCTTTTTCAGAAGTGGACTACAATTTACAAAATCTTATCACTTAATATACTTCTTAGCCCACAAGAATCTGTTTGTTTTAGTCAAGAAAGTGAAGGAAAAGTGGCTGTGGCACAGGAATTAGGATTGATAACTACATCCACCATCTGCATTGCACTATGGTATCAGAAACTATGCCATAAACTGGAGTTTTAGGAAGTTAATCTGATACAATGGCCCTGGCTTTCAACTTTTAGATGGCACGGCATAAGACAATTACTAACTCTCTTGTTACTATCAGAACAAATTTGAGAAAGATAATTTTTGCACCCATCTGTTAGAAGCCACAGAAACCGAGCATTCACAGAATTGTGTGGAATGTAGTCCCCAAAAGGTTCCTGGAAAGGAAATGTAGCCCTCAGGCTGCAAAACATTCCCCAACCCAATCTAACACATGCCAGAGAATGTGCACTGTGGAGAGGTGAGATTAATCTCAATTTTCCCCTTTGAGAAAATGTAACGTGACAAAATCAGGCTTTTCATTAGGGTCCTTTCATGTTGACTAATGCAGAAATTACCCAGGTGTGATGCTTTTCTGTTTATTATGCCCTGGGAGGAGATGGAGTCCCCCTGCTTCCTTAGCACTTTTGGTAGCTTTGGTAAATAAGGCCACATGAGGAGAAGAGAAAACATAACTCACTCCTTTGAGTTTGGTCCAAATCATTTCCCAAGCTCCGAATACAGACATATGATAAGAGATGAAAATAGAAACAGGTACAGAAACAAAATACATAACTTACTAGCCTAGGGTGACTTAATATAATTCATCCTCCCACTTAGGGCTCCCACCCAGTGACTGGAAATTATTTGGAGAGACGCTATTAGTTCCAAATATCCCATTTATAGTAGCTGTAATTTCCCATTTATTGCCTCTGGCTGAGAAGAATGACTGCCCAGTTAGCTTTTCTGCAGATACAAAGCACATAAGCAGAGAATACCTATTGCCACCCATTAGATAAGACTGGAGAAAGAATAACCATGTGTAGCTTTACCTGGCAAAAGAATTTTAAGGGCACAATCCTATGCGTGTTTACACAGAGAAAAAACCTACAACTGCCAGTATGCTCCAGCCAGCCATAAAGCATGCTGGTAGTTGAAGAACTTTGCTTCCTAAACATGCATAATATTATATCCTAGGAACTTCAACATATGTGTACTTTCCCAGAAACCCAATGGGAGGCAGTGGCCCTATCAAGAGAATAAGCTCAACTAGAGGTAAATAGATTCTGAGGGGCAGTTCAGCATCAGAACAGGTACTAGCCAGCCAATTATGGAGAGATGGTGGCTTAATGTGGTTTTCATGCCAGGCCCCTTAAAGAGGGTGATCACAGAGGTCAAGCTTTGGGTCAGTTTTCCCCATCTCATAGAGACACATCATAGTGAGAAGGTTTACCTCTTGATTTCCCAGGTGACTTTGAGGAAGAATTCTTATCAGAAGAAAACATCATGTCCAGGACTGAGTTCCCAGAAAGCTGGTTGTGGCAAATGGAAAAGCTGCCTCCTAACAGTCAAGGGTATGTGGCTTCTATAACTACATTGTCTGTGGGTGCACCCACATCGTAGCTTTAAACTGACTTAACATGCTTTCTCCCTAAGAACCGCTGGAATTGCAGTTTGTTAGATGGGTTAAACAGAGAACACCTCTCACCAAACTATTCACCAGACTATTCTTCCCAAGTTTCCCAAGAGTTATAATCCAAGACATTTGGAGAATATCAGATTATCTATCCTTGCTTTGGGGGAAGCTGAGACTCTTGGGGAGCAATCCTATTGCCTGAGTGACTGAAGGACCATGGGATTATCAGATTTCAAGCTCCAAGTCTGAAGACAGTGGTTCAGTCTCAGATCTGGGCATCAGAGCTCCCCCGTCCCCACTCCCTCACAGCCAGTGCAGGAAGGATCACTCCAGTTGCCTCTCATGATGAGGAACAAGACCTTGTGGTGGTGGTGGTGGTGGGGTGTTTCTGCAGGAGGGGAGGAGACTGAAGAGGCCAGGATAATAAATAAATAAAAATAAATAAGATATAAGTTATCCTGAGGATTTTCCAACCTCATTCCTTCCCCATCCCATATGACCCAGCTACACAGGCAAAAATGTAGAACCTTGGTGGTAACCTGATGCAACTGAGCAGCTGGTGTTCCTTGCCTCCACCACAGCTCCCCAGGAGGAGGTAGGCTAATTGGGACTGTGTCCCTTGTGACTGCTTCCTGTTCAAACTGGAGAAACCACTGCAACTCGCAAGGGATTCAGGGACATTACCATGTGCAAGAGAGAAGAGCCCCCATGTAGTAAACCTCTCCATGTCGCTTAGGCAACCATTTTGGAAATGGGCCTACAAGAGCAGAGTACTCTTTTCCCTCCTGTACTGTCCTGCCTGGGGTGCTGACATATAACCAGCATACATCTGCCCCCACCCAGAGAACAGAAGCTCACTGATGCCTTTCTAGAGAAACTCATTAAGTTGCTGGATCAATGGTGGATGTCCCATATGGAGGTTCCTCTGTGATAGCAACATAAGAGATGCCATGACAGAAGGAGGTGGAGAGCCTCCCTTGCCTTCACCCAGTGAGCCATAGTCACCCTCCTCTTCCTCATCCGTTTCTGGAACTTGCTCAAAGTATAAAGACAGAATCAACTGGGGGCAAACACTAGAAATTTAAGAAGAGGGAAAAACTGAGGAACAAGTAATCCCTGAGCCTTCCTCTTTCCCAAAGGCCAGAGTTAGGTGGAGGCTGGGAGCAATAGAGTTTATCTCTGAAGCTATGAGCCAACCAAACCAGCTACACCTCTCTAGATACAGCTAATGTTCATGTCGGAGCAGCAGCATGTAATTCTCTCTCAGAGATGCCCTCCATCCTTTCTGAACACTCCCAAGGAGTATTGGACATGGAATAGGAGACATTGTCAGAGGTAGGCTGCCTTACTTTGACTTGCTCAAACAAAGATTGTTTAAGGAGGGCATTCTCCCCTCTGCTGCAGTGGGATCTGCTTCCCTGCCAGAACTGGATTGTCTACAAAGTAACAAGGAGACTGTTTCTAAGACTACCCACCTGTTTTGGGAACAAATGCCCCATCTGCACAGGTTACACAAAGAGGTGATTTTAGATCATGGGCTCCCAATTCATGTCTCACTGCTTGGCAGTGTTTCTTGAACACTTGAGAATCCAAAGAAGGATGTTATTGACATCCCCAAACAAGTGTCAGATTGAGCTCATCAAACAATTGCTAGAACAGTACATTTGTTGTTCCCCGAGATACCATCAAGATGATCAGACTGACCTTTTACCTTTATGTATAACAATGCAAGTCATGCCTCTACACACCACAGTCCATTCTATGCATATTACGGTTGCCATCTGCAAGATTGCCCAGGTATACTACCTTCCTTCCTTGTTCTTTCTGCAAATGACCACATAACTCATTCAAAAAATGCAAGCGGAATTCATGTGACACTTGGAATTTGCCAAGGCTACCTAAAAAGAATATGCACAGTGACAATGCCAAGAAGGGTACCACATTTGGGTGCAGGATAAGGTTTGGCTCTCTATGGAGCACTACCAGTCCAACTGCCCCTCTGCCAGACTTGATTATTGATTCCAAGGCCCCTTCTTTGTCATCCAGCAGATAAAGTCTGTCACCTACAACTGGACCCTGCTATTTCCCTAGAGGTCCACCCCATTTTCCATTTTTCAAAACTGAAGGAATATCATGCCAACTGCTTTTTGATTGCACAACTCCCTGTCCTAGTAGATGGACATGAGGAATACAAATCTTGAACACAAAGCATTTTTGTGATAAATTATATGATTTGGTGGATTGGGTGGGCTATGGATTAGACAATTAACCCTGGGCGTCAGTTGACAATGTGCTTGCCCTGCCAAAGTTTCTGTTTTTCACTGTACTCAACCAGACAAATCAGAGCCATGAAAGGAACCCCCTTTGGAAGTGGGGAGGCAGAGCAGCACAATTCCTTTGGTGGCTTGTTAGAGCAGGCAGCCAGGTTCACCTTGTTGTTCAGGTCTGTAGGTATTTTCAGGGGTTAGAGCCACAGCAATCATTCAAATCAGCTGCAAGCCAGAGAAGGTACTATAAAAGGCAGCTTAGTTTTGCCACAGCAGTGTGGGGTTTTGGTGGCTACTTTGTGTACTTGATTTAGTGGCTGTGTTCCATCCTGCAACATCTTTACCTATGCCTTGACTTCTGCTTGTTGCAGACTCTTCCTTTTCTCTGGTCTTATCACAGCTTTGCTAGGTCTCTGATCCTTGCCTTTGCTTCTGATTCTGCCCATGCCTTGCTGGTGTCTGACTTCTACTTGCTCTTGATTTTGCCTCTGGTCCTGCTATGCTTTGTTGCTATCTGAGTCTTGCTTGTGCCTGACTTTGCCTTTGCCACTGGTCCTACTGTATTCCACCAAGCCTTTCCTCTGCCTCCATCACTCATGCTCTTGGTGTTCCAGTCATAGACACATGCTACTTGTTTCTTTGAGCTGGCAGCTACTTTGTCTGATGCTTGGTCATGAACAGACTAGAGTGGAGGAGCCAGGACAGAAGACCTAAGCAAAAGCACAGTGATGTGATCTCTTCATTGTTCTGAATCGGGCTGGTGGGAGCATAACTCATGTACAGTCATGCTTCCTGATGAGTATCTAGATTCTGTTCCACATGAGTGTTCCATATTCTGCATGTTCTTTTTTCAGCTGCAGAATTGAATCGGTTCTTTGTGGTCTCTGTGCATCACACACATGGGTGCTGTGCCTGCACAATGCCTCTGTTTGGGAAGATTCTCCTAGCTAAGCCTAAAATTTTTGGCGGGAGTCCCATCCCACTCCCCTTCAGTATAAATAGGTGGGCTCCTGCCATTTTGTCAGTTTGCTTTCAACCGCCATTTGTAGTGCCTTGGGATTCCTAATGTTCTTTATTTACCTCACAATGTTACCTCAACTTGGTTCTTTTCTTTTTATACTTTTCCCCTCAAAACTTTTACAGTTTTCCTCTTTTACCTACATTTTCCCTTAAAATTTGTGGGTTTTTTACTTTCTATTGTCTCCTTTTTTATCTCAGAATTCTTCTCTCTTTCCCCTCTCCTCTTTTCCCTCTCTCTCGATGGCCTTCAAAGCAGCTTTCCAAAGGTGTGTGGCATTAAAATCCCATCCACCAATGGACATTTGCTTTGTTTGTTTTGCCTTGGTGAGGAGCACACAACTGACATGTGCCCTCATTGCCAAACATTTATAGAGCAAGCCCGAAAAAATAGGGCTGGCCCTCTGAAGATGGAAATGTGGGCAAGGGCTCTCATTGCTATGCAAGCCATTACCTGCAAGTCAAAAAACTGCTCATCAACTTCATAGGAGGCTTCAAATAAACACCTGTAGCCTGGTGCACCAAAACCAGCTTCTTTGGAGCTCAAAAAGCCCATCTTTTCTGACGTTTTGAGAAATGGAGAAAAGAAAGCATTAGAAGAGAAAGCACAAGGAGAAGAGAAAGCATAAAAGGTGGAGGAGCTGAAAGTGGCTAAAAATCAGGCCAAGAAAAGCCTGCAAATAAATCAAGGCACCGTTCTCCCAACTGCTGCTGAATGTGCCATTTTGCCTTTCCCACCAGTGGCCCCCGCTACCACTACAATGCTGCACCCACAATCAGCCCATGCCTGCCCAGGCATTTCGGCCATCACTACACTGGCCCAAGAAGAGCCAATTGAAGTCTGCTCCAACCCAGTCGCACCAACCTTCTCCAAAGGAGAAATACACTATCCCAATCTCCAGGGGCTCCTATTGCCTCTGCTGTCCACTGAATACACCATGCCAGGACATGAAACCATAAATGGTGCCTCCAGCATCTCATCCATCCTACCTAGATCTCTTGCTCAATCTGTCACCAATTTCTCTTCACCGTTCAGTTGAACGTTATGAACCCACCACTCCAACCTCTGGAATAGATCAGTACTGGGGATTGCCACCAAACTATGCCAAACACTACTTCTGTGGCTATCCATGCAAACATGTTCCACTGCCATTATCCATGGCCACCAACAGTGGACCAACCAGTCCCACACCAGGCCATGCAAGAACAACACCACTCGCAGGTCCCAGCTCCACAACCAGGACCAGGGCAGAGGCCTTCCTCTACATCTGCTAACATGACCTCATCTGATGTGATGGACTATGTCTCAGATTCCAATCCACACCCAGTGTCTGAGGAATTGGTTTCCACCTCAACAGGCAATGTTGTCTTTTCCCAAGGCCCCTTCCCAAGGCTTCTCCAAGGGAAGACCTAGGCCATTTCTTGGAGTGAATCCTCCAGATGGCAATGTCACTTGGTCTCCAGGCCCAACAGGTTACAAAACCAGCAGAGGACCCAGCGTACAACATAATCCAAACAGAGGACACATTGTCAGTAGCTATACTGTTCTACCAACATTGGCCTGCACCATGAGAGATCTCTGGCAGCTACCAACCCAGCCCCATTCCACATTTCCAATTACGAAGCCACAATGGGGAGGTACCAGGTCTTTCACTGGCTGAAGATTGAGGCTCTGACAACTTTTCTAGCTGACCAACAATGAGAGCTCACCAGGATGTTTGTATTTGAAGCCATCCAGCTGCCTAAACAGCAAATGTTGGAACAGGCTACCCATCAACTGTAACGCAAGGGCCCTTGTCAACACAGTCGTAATATGAAGGGATGCATGACTATTGGCTGCTAACCTCCCACAAGAGACCTGGTTCAGAATTGAAAGCCTGCCATTCGAAGGGGAAGGACTCTTCCATTCCAGAATGGATGAACACTGCCCAGAAAGCCAAGGCAACAGCTACATGTATAGCATTTGGCCCCTTCCAACTTACAAGAGCATGTAAGTGGCCATGACCCACGCAATGCCAGCCCTATACATCAGGCCCCCATACCATTTTCCTGGGCACCAACAACACCAGCAACCACTTGTAGCCCAACAATGTTGTGTGAGTGCCACGTGTTTCCAAAAACCCCTTAAGAGATGCCAAAAAGGGCAACATTGATGGGTAGCATGAACCAGTCCCCCTCTCTCTCCAGAACCTCCATTTGGTGACTGTCTAAAAGACTATTTCCCCAACTGGGAAACCATCACATCAGACCACTGGGCACTTTCTATAATACAACATGGATATAAAATTGAATTTGAGACCTTACCCACCTCTTGGAACAGTCCACCTAACTCCTCCCTCTTGAGTCCTAACAGAGGAAGTTAAACACCTTACTAGCAAAAGGGGCAATCTCTCTGGTCAACCGCCCCGAATGAAGTATGGCAAGGTTTCTAGTCAAAGTATTAATACTGGACATTCATGCATCTGCCAAACATATCAGACCTGGTAACGCAAAATCATGGCAACAATCTACAGCCTGATGTCCGGACACTTCACCTGAAGGCTTGGTTGATCACTGGATAGCAACTACAGTGGTACCTCAGTTCACGAACACCTCAGTTAATGACCAAATCAGGTCGCAAATAGAAATTTCAGAAAAAAAATTGCCTCAGTTCGCGAACTCCACATTGGGTGATGACCACGATCACGGCCATGTTGCCACACGAACACAATCGCAGCCATCTTCCCTGCATGAGCATGATTGTGATTGCGTTTCCACCTGTCTCCCCCCTGCCCCGAGCACAATTGCACCCGCCTTCCCTGCATGAGCACAATCGCTATCGCACAATTATTGTTTGGACTCTCCCTCTAAACAATAACCTCCCCCACACCTAGGTTACTGTACTGTACTTTGTTGTTCTTTGTTACTTTGTTTCAGATTTTTGTGATAAAAATATCTTTACAGAATGGATTAACCTTATTTATGTTGAACCTTATGGGGAAATTTGACTTGGCTCATGACCAATTCGGGTCGCAACCAGAGTTGTGGAATGGATTAAGTTCGTGAGCTGAGGTACCACTGTATGACCAACTTAAACCCACAAATTCAACACATTTTACAGGCAGCAATATGACCAAATACTAGATGCTCCTATTCCATCATGTGGAACAAGCTCAAGAGTTATGCAAGGGAACATGCCTTCGATCCGATGAAGACGCCAATAAATAGAATATTTGGCTTCCTTCATTCCTTATATCTCAGACCTTTGAAACTTTCCTCCATCAAGGGCTATCTCTCTGCCATTTCATCTTTAAGAGGCCCAATCAATGGATTCTCAGATTTCTCTCAACCCTATACAACGTAAACCCTCCCATCAGAACAATAGTCCCCAGTTGGAGTCTATCAGTGGTGTTACAAGCTTTGACAAAACCCCCATTTGAACCTCTTGCAACTATCGATCTATGACTGCTCTCAAAGAAGGTCTCATTCCTGGTGGCCATCATATCAGAGAGCAAGTAATCTGTGTGCACTGTGAATGCATCCTCTGTACCTGACTTTCCACAAAGAAAAGGTAGTCTTAAGACTAGATCCTGCCTTCCTTCCAAAAGTCTCCTCAGCCCTCCACCTAAATCAAGACATAATCCTTCCAGCTCTTTTCTCAGCTCCATCCTCACTGGTTGAAATAACATTGTATATGTTTGGCATATGGAGAACACTGGCCTTCTAACAGATCTCATATGGAGCTGATATGACTGTACATAAAATATGCTGACCATTCCAAGGGTGAACTGATCAGTTCGCAGCATTTAGCTCCCTGGGTCAAGTTGGCACACTTGAGCTGGCACAGCAACCCAAAGCCCACTTCACCAGGCCTGTATCAACTTCCGCTGCTCTTCATTCAGACATGGTACTACAGGAACTGTGTAAAGCAGCTACTTGATCTACACTGTCAACATTTGTAAAGCATTACTGGCTCAACGTTTAAAGCAAGATGGAACTGCTCCTTCAGTCATGCTGTCCTGTCCTCCATTCTTTAGTGACTACACCTCCCACTTCCTTCTCTAGCAAGCTTGCTAGTCACCCATATGTGTGATACATAGAGACCATGAAGAAGAAAGTAAGGCTGCTTACCTGTAACTGTTGTTCTTTGAATGTTCATCTGTGCATTCATACAACCCACCTGCCAGCCCCACTTTGGTGTTGGTGGTAACCTATCTTCCTTCTAGTTATAGTTATAGAGCAGTCAGGCTCAGAGGCCAAATGTTGGTCTCTGCATGAGCTGAGAAAATGGCAGAAGTCCTGCCTAAAATTCTAGGCTGAGCTGGGAGAATCTTTCAGAGCAGAGGCACTGCACAGGCACAGCACCCATATGTGTGAATGCACAGATGAACACTCAAAGAACAACAGTTACAGCTAAGCAACCTTACTAAATGGGATGAAACTAAAATAATACGAAGTTGAAATGGACTGGATGTGATTCACTCATGCCTACTGGAAAGTGCTCTATTACTCGTGTCTTTCTCTATAAGCTTCCTATAGATACCTGGCAGCCACTGTAGAAGCAGTCTGCTGGAATGGATAGGGTTCCAGCCTGATCCACCAGGGTTTCTCTTATGTCTAAATGGCCATATCTAGTTTCCATCTTAGACTGTACCCTATAAGACCTCATCCAGGTATGACACAGCATCTTCCTTTTTTGCATCTAGGATCTCATCCAAGACACTGACTTTTTACTTGAAAGACTCCATCACAACCTGGGAGGTGTTGGCTGTGAGCATGTCAGACACAAAAGGTAAAGAATTCTGGACAGCAGACAGGAGAGGAGAGCTGGGAAGAAGATGTTGGGCCATTGCCTACCTTCAAAAAATATCCTAAGTTGATAGTTAATGCTTTTAAGTGCTCTTGATTTTGAACAGTCATCCTTTCCTGCTGACCCTCTTTACAGGAATCTGTGTGTCTGAACCTTATGAGATAAGAGTAATGAAGGACTTCTTCATTGATCTACGGTTGCCTTACTCAGTAGTAAGGAATGAACAAGTGGAGATTCGGGCCATTCTCTACAACTATGCATCAAGGGATATTACGGTAAGCTTTGGGATTTGACAGGAACGTGTTCAGCAGTGAGGATAGAGAACAATTCTTGGATAGAGAACGAGGGATCCAACCACCAAGGGGGGGCGTCTGACCTCAGAACCCGCCCCCCCACAGCCACCACAGAAACCTACAACATTCTTCTGTCACAGAGACATGCTCATAGCATAGCAGATAATGTCCTCAGAATTGGTTTTAGGAGGAGTGTTAGGGGTCCAACCACAGGCCAAACTAGTCCTCCCATGCCTGGACATTTCCTGGCATTTTCTGCAGCCAAAAAGCTAACAAAGATAACCAAAGCCTTCTGATGCCTCAAAATCAAAGAGACACAAGAAACACTCTAAAAACCTTTCTTTAGTGCAACCATTTCTGATGGCTAAGCAAACTTACCAACACTTTGGTACTGAGGCCAGAACTGATCTCAGTCACATCTGTTCCTGGGGGGTGAGATCCATGATATCTCAGGTGTCAGTCCTGGTTCTCCACCAATTTCTTCCACACCAGCCCACTGGAGATATTCTTAGGATCAGGAATATTGTTTTGGCTTCCCCCTCAGTTCCTTCCCAGAGGCAGCTCACCTTTCCCAACTCACTTCTCTCTAGAGCTAATTTTTCATTACTGTCCACCTCCCTTACTTGGAGTGCCGCTGTTGTAACACTATGCCTGTAGTCCAGTAAAAGCTGCTTAACTGGCCAGCAAATAGCCCTCTGCCTGGCAACCAACCTGCTTAGCTAAGGCACTCACTGCAATTCAAGGGATGAGTAGCTTTGCCTCTTTCCAAAGCTAATGAGTATCCATCAGATTTGGCTTCTTCCTCTTCGGTTGCATTTTCTCTATCTTCTCTGGAAGCAGCTGGAGTTGCAGAGCAGAGCTGCTCAAGTAAAGGATCCCCCTCCTCTCCTGCTCAGACTATATGCTACTAAAACATCCCTATGGATGACTTCCTCCTCTCTGTCTTCACAGGTGCGGGTAGATCTAATGCACAACCCAGCAATCTGTAGCGCCTCTACCGCCAGGAACAAATACTCTCAGATAATCTCCATCAAAGCCAAGTCTTCCCGAATGATGCCATTTGTGATCGTTCCACTGCAATTGGGAGAGTATGACCTTGAGGTCAAAGCGGCTGTCCGAGGCGTGTTTTTGGCTGATGGTGTAAAGAAGAAGCTGAAAGTTGTGGTATGCCTAATAACTCTTGGAGGAAACTAGAGAGGAGGGGAAAGAGTGTGGAGCCACTCTTCTTGAGATGGAGGGAATTCACCCTGCCTTTTCACTCGCCTGCACTTTACTAATGTATCATGTTTATGCAGGCTTTGCAGAATGGAGCACATTCCTGAGGCACTACTTCAACTGAGAAGCAATGCTTTGTGGTGCTGGACCCGGTCTCAGACACCGGAGCTTAAATTCTCACTCGGCCATAGGGCTCACTGGGTGGCCTGGGATCACTTGCTGTTTCTCAGTCTGACCTACTTCACAAAGCAGACAGACCCACTGGGCACAATTCACCAGAACGCTTCCCTGTGCAAGTCCCATTAACATAAGCAGAAGCTGCAAACATCCACATGTGTATAGTAGGACCCTTGTACAGCTGCTCTTCACTTAAACAAAAGCTACAAAGGGAAAACTCCTGAGGGATGCTGCCTCCTTCTAAATTAGCAAAGGGTAAACCACCTTTGGAATTTCCACTTCAGCTACCCAATGTGTGGGGCCAAAGGAGGAGAATTCTTCAAGGTCTGCAGTTCTGCAGTCATTTACAGAAAGGTGAATGCCATTCAGTTAGAGCAGCTTATAGTACTAAAGATCCATAGGTCAGAGATAAACCACATACCATACATGCAGATACATGGGGATGCAGGTGGCGCAGTGGTTTAAACTGCTGTGTTGCTGGGCTGGTTGATCGAAAGGTCTCCGGTTCGAATCTGCACAACGGGGTGAGTTCCCATTGCTCCGTCCCAGCTGCTGCTAACCTTGCAGTTCGAAAGCATGCAAATGCAAGTAGATAAAAAGGTACCACTTTGGTGGGCAGGTAACAGCATTCTGTGCACTTTGGTGTTTAGTCATGCCGGCCACAGGACCACGGAGACTTGTCTGCAGACAGACGCTGGCTCCCTTGGCTAGGAAACAGAGATGAGCACCACCCCCTAGAGTCAGACATACCTGGACTTAACATGAAGGGGAAACCTTTACCTTTACACATGCAGAAGGTCCCAGTTGACATGAGAAGGTCTCCAGCTAAAAAGATCTCAGGTAGTAGGGTCAGGAAAGACTCTGACCCTGGAGAACTATATAGACAAGATTCGGCGGGATGGCTTAAGGTGTGGTGCCAGAAGGAACGCTTTGGGTTCTTCGACCACAGCACCCGGTTTCTTGCCAATGGACTTCTGGCAAGGGACAGGTTGCACCTCATGAGGATGGAGAAAAAAGGTCCTTTGGAGATGCTCTAGCGAGCTTTGTCCAGAAGATTTTAAACTGAGCTGGGGGCAGGAGGAGGGTCAGGCCCCCCAGAAACTTGTCCACACTGGACAAGTGAGGGGAGAGGATCAGAGCTCTGGGATCAGGGTGTTAGAGGTACTGCAGGGACTCCTGCAAAGAGGGAGCTGATATCAGGGAAGATGGGAGGAAGGAGGAGGCTGTGGATTCCAAAGAAAGGAAGCTGTGGGAAGGAGTTGAGGTGCATGTACCCTAATGCGAGGAGCATGGGTAATAAGCAGGAAGAGCTTGAAGCTCTCCTGGGAACAGGAGGGTATGACCTGGTGGCAATCACGGAAACTTGGTGGGATGAAAGGCAAGTCTGGAATGTAAACAAAGTGGGGTAACACCTGTTTAGAAAGGACAGGAAGGGAAAGGGGGGTGGGGGCGTGGCTTTATACGTCAGGGAAGGGATAGGATGCAGTGAGATAGAATGCAGCACAGATGGGGATCTGGTAGAGGCAGTCTGGGTGAAACTAAGGGGTTTTGACAGGGAGAAGGACCTGACAATGGGGGTAAGTTATCTCTCTCCAGGTCAGCTTGAGGCCTTGGATGATGTCCTGACAGATGAGAGTCTAAGGATATCTCAGGGGAGGGCCACAGTAATTATGGAAGATTTCAGTCTCCCAGATATTACTTGGGAGACTCACTCAGTGGTGACAGCCAGGTCACGTCGCTTCCTAGACACTATAGAGGGAGGGTTTTTCATGCAGAGGGTCCAAAAGATGTCAAGGGGGAAGGAACATCCTTGACTTGGTCTTGACCAACAGGGAGGAGCTGACAGATGAAGTACAGATTAGGGGAGCTCTGGATGAGAGTGATCACTCCATCCTTTGCTTTGAGATCAGGGGAATGGGGACGTGCAGCAGGTTGAGCACTAGAAGTTGGGACTTCAAGAGGGCCAACTTTGGCCAACTGAAGGCCAGACTGGGGAAAGTCTGCTGGGATAGGTTACTGGAAGGTAAGCGAGTTGAGGAGGGGTGGATGGCACTCAAAGGGGAGGTTTTGGAGGTAAAAGCCTTGACAATACCTCTAGTTAGTAAGGTGGGGAGGCGGAGGAGAGTGCCGCCATGCATGCAAAAGGAGGTGGTTAGAGGGATTAGAACCTCTGTACGAAATGGGTACTAGGGCAATTATACAAAAGGGTATACTGGGAGGCCCGATGCAGAAGGATTCTTCACAAGGCTAAGGCTGATTAAAAGCTGAGACTTGCAAAGAATATCTTGAGCAACCAAAAGTGCTTCTATCAGCATGTAAATAGCAAGAGGAAGGGGAGACAAGTAGTGGGACCACTAAGTAAGGAGGAAGGGGCTCCATTGGCTGATATGAGGGAACAGGCACAGATGCTAAATGAGTGTTTTGCCTCTGTGTTCTCCCCAAAGCAGGATGGGGGAGAACTGCATGGGAGATTAGATGAGGCCAGGGACTTAGGGGCACAGATTAGAGTCAGCCCCCTAGAAGTCAAGGGGCTCTTCAAGGCACTGGACATTACAAAGGTGCAGGCCCTGACGGGTTACACCCGAGAATTGGCAGGGGTTCTCTCAAGCCCACTGGCCTCCATTTTTGAGGCCTCGTGGAGAATGGGTGAAGTTCCAGGAAGTCTGGAGGGTGGCATCAGTGGTCCCAATTTTCAAAAAGGGTAGTAGAAAGGACATGGGGCATTACAGACCAGTTAGCCTTACGTCCAGTGTAGGAAAAACAATGGAAAGGCTCATAATAGCTAGAGATCTAGTGATGCTAGTTAGGGAAGTGAGGCTGGAAGCAACACAACACAGCTTTGGCAATAACAGGTCCTGCCAGACAAACCTTGTGAAATTCTAAGGCAAAATTTCAAGGTGGTAGATGGAGGGGATGCAATGAATGTGGTATACCTGGATTTCAACAAGGACTTTGACAAAGTGTCCCATGATATCCTGCTTGGGAAACTGGGGAATTTTGGGATACACCAAAGCACTGTCCGGTGGATTAGGGCATGGCTGACTGACCGAAAGCACAGGAGAACCATTAGTGGGGAATCATCAGGATGGCGGCCAGGAACTAGCGGGATCCCCCAGGGCTCTGTCCTGGGGCCGATCCTGTTAAATCTTTTCATCAACAACATGGAAGGGGTGAACAGTCTGCTGATCAAATTTGCAGACAATACTAAAACCGGGGCAGTGGCCACAACTGAGGAGCAGGTACTCCAGATCCAAAAGCATCTGGACAGACTATGGAAGTGGGCAGGAGACAACAGGATGGCGTTCAATGTGAATAAGTGCAAAATCTTGCACTTGGGGCAAAAGGATGGGTGTGATAAGTACAGGTTAGGGGACAAGTGGCTGGAGAGCAGCACTTGTGAAAGGGACCTCGGGGTGCTGGTTGACTGTAGGCTAAACATGAGTCAGCAGTGTGATGCGGTGGTTAAGAGGGCGAACACCACCCTTGGTTGTCACAGAGGTGGGTAGCGACCTGTTCTCCCCTTCAGAGGGCGACAGGATGCACACCGATGGAGTGAAGCTCGGGGAACCAAGATTCAACTTGGATGTCAGGAAGTACTTCCTGACAGGACCCTGGGGGTATGGAATGGGCTTCCACGGGAGCCCACGGTTGAGGCCCCATCAGTGAGGGTGTTCAAGGATAGGCTAGACATGCACATGGTAGGCATGTCGTGAGTGGAGCTTGCTGGAACCGGGGGTTAGACTAGATGGCCCTGGAGGCCCTTCTGACTTGCTCTGTTTCTATGTTTAATATAACACAGTTTGGTGAGTGGTTGTACTTCTATGATACAATACATGCTTTGCATGTAGAAGGGCCTAGGATTTCTGACCCTGGCATTTCCATTTAAAAGGATCTGAGGTGAGCTGGGTAAAATCTTTCCCTGTGTTCTTAGGTAGGTGCTACAAGTGAAAGGTGACAATAACTAATTTCACATATATTATGTCCTGCTAACAAGGCCCACTCCAGCAAGCTTTCCTAGCTGAGATGGTGCTGAAAGTGGGCCTGGAGGCTGAATGTAGCCACACTTCTAATTTCCCACCATGTCCTAGAAAGGCCAGGGTATCTCGAAACTTAACAGCTGTCTATATCCAGTGCTCTAGTACTGTTTGGAGTACTGTGACAGAAAATACTTAAAGGGGCAAGCAGTGAGTCCTGCTGGGGTGTGGGTCCTGTAATGCTGGATACTGATACAAGTCTTACCTTCTGAGTAAACTTTCGTCGGCCTCCTTTGTCTCGGTGGGCTCCAGCAGCTAGCTAGTGTGTTTACAGCAGTTGTATGGATTATCACTAACTACTGGATACAAAGACTTACTAAGGACATGTAAGATGCTACCTGTGGATAAGTTGTGACTGATTTCATAGTCACAATATTTTGCATCCCAACCCTGTGCATGTTTGAGCTCCTCTGTGCCCAGAAAAAGGAACATCAGATTTAAGCAGTTGTGATTGTTATGTTCCATCACGTAATCTCTTATTTATGGCGACCCTATGAATGACTGCCTTCCAAAATATCCTGTCCTTCACAGTCCTGCATAGTTCTTGTAAATTCAAGGCTGTGACCTCATTTGTGGAAATGATCCATCTATATTTGCTGTTCCTCTTCTTCTGCCTTCAATTTTCCCTACTATTATTGTCTTCCCAGGTCACTAAAGTGTGGATGAACTCATCTTTGCATTTGTATCAACAACTGAATCTGATACACTTGATTTATGTTTTTGTGTTGCTCTGAGTTTCTTTTTGTTGAAATGTTAAATCTTGTCTGAATTGAGGTTTTGTTAAAAGGCAGTTCTTGTGCTTTTTTTCCTTACTAGCCTGAAGGAGAGCTGAAAAGGCTTGTAAAAACAATTCAGTTGGATCCAGTTAAGCATGGAATTGGTAAGTTTCTGTTTAAAGCTCTCTCTCCACTCAGTCTTGAATTTTGTGAAGGCTCACCTAACCTCTATTGAACATAGAAACTGATGTGCATGGAAAGCACCACCAGTATTGTGAATTGTAAGGCTCAGAAATACCTTTCTTCAGCATGGGACAACATTTAAGAAATGTTGCCCTGCTCACCCAGTTTTGAACCTATATACCAATTATTTTTGTGTTCTTTTTTCTTTCTTTCTTTCTTTTTTGTGATTAAAAAAAATCTATAATTCTATTACATTATACTTTCCTTCTGTCCTGCATACAAAACCTGGAGACATTTTGAAAAGTTCAGATAATACACATTTCCTACTGAAAATATTGGACATGGCCTATATTTATAGTTGGTTATAGTTTATAATTAGTAAAATATAGTTATAGGTTATAGTTGGTTATATGTTTATAGTTAGTTAAAGAGTAAGCTACATTCCTTTGTCAACCCCTACAGCTGTCACCTTTTATCCCATCCTAGCTATTTCCCCGACTTTGTCCCATTGTTTAGCACCACACACATTTCTCCAGGGATGGAAAGTATGTGGTCCCTCAGATGTGATTGGATTTCAGCTCTCATGATCTCTCACCTTTGACCGTACTGGCTAGAGATCATGAGTGTAGCCATCTAGCAACTTGCAGAGGATCGTACTTCCTGTTCTCCTGTGTGTCTAGGGCTTGTATGGAGTAGGAGATGGTGTACGTGGGTGCAGAAGATCGTATCCCCATGAGAGATGTACATTCTTTTTCAAACGATGGTCTGCAGCCAATAAGGCCATGCATTTTCTTAAAGCTTCTCTACATGAGACATTTATTGTGCATTTGTGTTGTTAGCTGAGGTTCATCCTTCAAACAATCACAAGCTACAGACAATTTTTCTTGCAAAACTGTATTTATTGCTCCCAAATACAAATCACCCTGAACAGATTTCTGAGTATGCACAGAGCAGTTTGTTGAACCAATCTAGTCTTTACTTCCAGGAACACTTCTCATGAACATGCCTGGTCCCCATCTGCTCATTCAATTGGGCCTCTTGCCTCTGTCGCCTTCTCGCCATGGGGAGGAGAGCAGGGGGTTGCTGGTCTGTGCCTGAGAATTCTTCATCTTCAAAGACCCCTCCCACTGTCATTCCCAGAAACTACCTGGCTGGGCAAAAAGGTAATCCCCTCTGCCTCCCTCATTTCAGAATGCTGACCTAGCCCATCCTCCACAATCCCACTATAATCTGTTTCACATTCTAATTTCGAATCATCTGGGATGCAGCCAACAAATTTAAATCTATGCGAAGCTCCGTTTCTCTAGCCAATAATAAAAAGAGTCCCAAGTTTGATAGAAGTCACTATCTTCTTTCTCCTTCAGTGACAAAGTCAATCTGTCCATTTCTGCACAGTCCAAGATCTATTTTTAGGATCAGTTCATCGGTGGGTGGCTCTTCTCTCTTCCAGTATTGGGCAAATGCAATCCTCACTGAAGTAATTACATGTAAAGTCAAGTACATTTCTTGTTTACTAATATTATCAGGTATATTTCCTAATAAGAAAACTTCAGGTTTAAAAGCTAAAGATTTTTATAACATTTCCTCAAGCCATTTATGTATTTTAATCCAATTCTTTTTCGCTTTATCGCAAGTCCACCACATATGATAGAAGGTACCCAATTTATGTTTACATTTCCAACATCCATTTGACATATTTGGAAACATCTTGGCTAGTCTATTTGGCAACAAATACCATCTATAAAACATTTTATACACGTTTTCTTTATATGAAGTTGCTAATGTTACCTTAATATTTCTTTCCCACAGCTTTTGCCATTTTTCTAATTCAATATTATATCCAAAGTTTTGTGTCCACATTATCATAGTTTCCTTAACCTGTTCATCTTTAAAAAAAAAAAAAAAATTAAATTTTAAACCAATACTAAAAACATCAATCATCACAAACATCGGAACTACTGGGTCAGCCCCTTACTACATATCTTTTAACATTCTGTAATCATATTCAGATCCATTTATGAAATCTTAAAAACATTTTTATATCTAAATCATGTCCCGTTTCTCCAGCCAATAAAAAAAAGAGATTCCAAATTTGATAGAAGTCACCATCTTCTTTCTCCTTCTGCGGTAGGATCAGTCCATCCATTTTTTACAAAGTCCTGTTTTTCTTGACCAATATTAAAAGAAAGACTCTCCAAATTTGGTAAAAGTCAATATCTTCTTTCTTCTTCCATAGTAGCTTCAATCTAACCAACTCTACACAATTCAAGATCTTTTCATTTTTCTAATATTAAACAAATAAAATCCTTCAAATACATTTTTTGCTTATTAGTATTCCAATCCAATATCTACTAAAAAGGAAAGCAAAAGAGAAGAAAAGTTCCAAGCTTAAAAAAGAACTAAAGACTTTTAACCCGATTTAGGTTCACATGTCTAACATCCATTTAGCATCTTTAAAGACATCATATCTAATCTGTTTGATGACAACAATTACCTATGATATCTTTTAAACAAATTTTCTTTGAGCTAATTTATTAAAGTTTCATCTAGCTTGCACTTCACTTAGTCACATACAATTAACTCCTTATAAGAGTCCAGCTCCTTACAATCTTTAACATATCTCGCTTATAAAAAGAAATCTACTTAGTACAGCTCCTCCTACTCCCATAATAATCATTTTCTAGTATAGCAATTCAAAGACAAAAGAGTCATGTAACTTAGCTTTTGGTCGTTCATTTTTAAGATAAAAAAAAGAAAAGAATCTCTTATTTACCCTTATGTCACCCACAAAGAAAAAAAAAGACTCAACTCCTATTGTTATCCTTCTTAGTTCAGTTTAAATGATATAATCTCTTCATAATTCAGCACATTTAAATGTAGAGAAGCTTCCACATTAAAATCATATACCTTAGCCTTTCCATACCACAATAAACATGCCAACCCATTTATACCATTCCTTTTTAAAGCAACACATTATCTCATTTCTTTTTTACACCTCTGCCCCACCGCTTTTGTTTTAATAAGGTTTGTTGAAAATCAATATTTTTCAACTTTACATCTCCACCCCATCTTTCTCCCCTTGGTGTCATTTGTTGAAAATCAACCCACTTCAAAGTCTGTATTTCAATCTTCACTATTTCTTGCTTTATCTTCAGTAATTGTAGCATTTGTTGTAGGTCAGTATTTATTCCCAATGGCTGTGTTTCTTGCTGCAAATCAACCTTCACTGTTTCTTCTTCCACAGAGTCAAGTATAGTTAATTCGGGATCCATCCATCCTTCAGAAAAAAATATTCCTTCTTTTAGTGGCCAAAATAGTTTCTCTTTCTCTAATATAGCAAATAAATTCCATGATAGTTTATTTATTGGTTTTGCTAGTTTTGTTTCTTTATCCACATTTTCAAATTTTTCATATACTTGTTGTGTTTCTTGTATATTCTATTCAGTTTGGGATTGCACACCAACCACCACCTCATTAAAAGAAGCATCAAGTTTATCAAAACACTCTTTTTGTTCAATTGAGAAGATTTCCTGTTGTATCAACATCACCTCTTGGGATGTTTGTAAAGCTTTTAAAGATTCTTGTATTGCCAAGAATATTCTCTTTAGTTCTTCCATTGTTACAATAATTCCAATAGCCACAGAATGGCAACCAAGGCCAATTCCACTTTTCTTTTCTCTAGATCACTAGCAGTCAGAAGGTTGGCAAATTGCCAAATACTTTGGCAGAGGTCCCAGAAACGCAGGAGAGAAAATGGAGATTCTTATATTCTTGTGCCAATTAATTCCACCATAGTTATTATTCCTCTTTCTTTTTCTTTTCCTCAGTCCCAACTTTCACATGCATTTCAAACTCTCTCTCTCATATAAAATTTAAATCTTCTCCCCTTGCTGTTTCAAAAACACCATGGGGCGGGGAGAGGCATTCCTCCTTCCATCAACGGGTCTCTTTTTTTTCCCCTTCTTTATACCAATTAGCAACAGGTATAGTTTTTCCACAAGTAGTATTGCAAAAGGAAAATAGGAATGCTCACCCAAACAGTCATCACGTTAAAGAAGAAAGCATCCCACAATGTGAAAAATATCCTGGCGAGTGTCCAGTTGATCTTGGCAGAAGTCCAAACAGATATCCAAAATGATTGGTCGAAGTTTTAAACTTCTATCACTTAATTGCACCGTAATTATTTAATTTAATTTTTCCCCCTTAGAGAGGTTAGAGGAAAAAGTCTTTTTCTTCGGCTTCAACTTGGACAAAAGCCTCAGCACTCTCTCATCTCAGTCACCACCTAAACATCCGGAGGGCTTTTTCTTTTCTTAATGTCAATTATAAACAAATGCAGCTTTTCCACGGGTAGTATTGCGAAGAGAAATAAAAAATATTTACCCAGCAGTTCCAGTGCTTATCTGGCTAATAAAGATCCTAAGCTAATCTTCTAAGATGTCGAGAACTTGAAGGGGCTGGACCACCCCATGTTACTCAGTTGAGAAATATCTGAATTTCTCCCAGCAGATATGAGATTGCCATCTCATATCAAGCCAAAAGCGTGCCCAGGTAATCTGTCTTCGCCCCTACAGGGCTTAGAAGAGCCTCCCATGACTCACTGCCGAGCAATACCGGCGTGATAACAGAGCCCCGTTAATCACAGCCGTCTTGTTCCAACGCCATCTTCCTTTCCCCCAACCTGTTCATCTTCCATTCTCCTATCTAGTAAGAAATTATATAGTCTTTTAATCATTTTCTCATCTGATTTAAGCATCACCTGATCAAATGCTGTTAAAGCTTTATAAAAGCCCCACATTCTATAGTCTTTAGCATATCTCGATTGTATCTGCACCTTATGCCACCAAGAAATATTAGATCCTTGTTCTTGTATTTCTTGATTCAATTTCAGTCCTCCATCATTATCCAAAATGTCATCATATCTTATGATCACTTCGAAATTCAATGCATTTGGATATACAAGAGCTTCCATAGGTGAAAACCATCTTGGTAATTTATTATACAGTTTTGTCTTTAACTTTTCCCACACCGACATTAATGATTTCCTAATATAATGACTTAAAAAACAATCATGTGCCTTACACTTTTCATACCACATATAAGCATGCCAACCCATTTGCAAATCATGCCCTTCGAGATACAAGATTCTCTTATTTCTTAAATTTATCCATTCTTTTAGTCACATTAAAACAGAAGCTTGATAATACAGCATCCAGTCAGGAAGACCAAAACCCCCATTCTCTTTAGCCTCATGAAGTGTTTTTAATTTAATCCTTGGTATCTTCTTTCTCCATATAAATCTCGAGATTTGAAAATTTAAATCATCAAAAAAATGTTTATCAATTTTTATGAGAATCATTTGGAATAGAAACAAAAGCTTTGGTAATATATTCATTTTAGCTAGCGCTATTCTTCCCAGCAAGGATAATTGCAAATTAGCCCATTTTTCCAAATCACTCTTAATTTCCTTAAATAGTTTATCATAATTGTCTTCTTTCAGAGTGGTACACTTAGCTGTAAGATAAATTCCTAAGTATTTAACCTTTTTAACAATCTGAAAGTCTACTTGTTCCACCAGAGTTTTTCTCTGCTCCTGTGTGAGATTTTTTACTAACAATTTCGTCTTTTCTCTGTTTATTTTCATCCCAGTAACCTCGCCATACTTTTCAATCCTTTGTAGGAGTTTAGGCATTGTTACTAAGGGTTCCTCAAATATGAAAACTAGGTCATCTGCAAATGCTTGCAATTTATAGCTTTCATCTCTAATTCTAATACCTTTAATGTCCATATCGTCCCACAATTTGTGATACTTCACTCACATAGATTTGTTGGGACCATTTCAGCACATTGGCATGTTCCAGGTCCTCCTTTTACCTAGCCACTTTTGCAAGGTATTTTAAATCAAGAAAAGCCTAGTATTAAATTTCAAATTGGAACAAAGGTCTTGTGAAAAGTTACACATTCTCTATGCTGAAGCTATGCTACCGCCATCTTGTGGTTGATCAATGGCTATATAGAAGGGCAGAGAAAAATGACACCTCTGGCCTCTGTCGAGATGGTGCCATCATCCTTAAACTGTTTTTCTTCTGTCCTTGTAATAATGTCTGTGCATTTCATTCTACAATCCAGCAGTTTGCTTTACCTATTTATTAGGATATTTTTACCTCGTCCAATACAAGTCGTCTCTGGATGGCTTACAATATAATAAATAAGTAATAAGTACATCAAACCATGACAAGATAAAATGCGACCGAGGATCTATCAATAAAAACATTATTAAAATATTTAAAATATTGGGTAAATAAAAAGGTCTTGACCTGGCGCCGAGAAGCATATAACATCGGTGTCAGACAAACCTCTCTGCAGAGCACATTCCATAGCCGGGGTGCCACCACAAAGAAAGCCCTTCTCCGAGTGTTCTCTCTCCTAACCTCCTTCATGGAGGGTTCCTCGAGCAAGGCCTCCTCTGCTGCAGATCTTAAGGGGCAGGAAGGCATATAGGGAAAAAGACATTCCTTTAGGTATCCTGGACCCAAGCCATTTAGGGCTTTATAGATCAATACCAGCACCTTAAATTGGGCCCAGACTTCAATGGGAAGCCAGTGTAGCTGATAGAGGACTGGTGTTATATGAGAATAGCGACCAGCCTCCGACAGCAATCTGGCAGCTCTATTTTGATCCAGTTGAAGTATCCAGGCAGTCTTCAATGTCAGCCCTACATAGAGCACGTTGCAATAGTCCATCCAGGAGGTTACCAGAGTGTGTGTCACCAGTGCTAGGCAGTGCCCAGGTAAGGGCGCAGCAGTTGGATCAACCAAAGCTGAAAGAAGGCACTCCTCACCTAAGCCACCAGGGACAGCTCTGGGTCGAGGACCACTCCTAGGCTGCGGACCCTGTCGTTTAGAGGGAGTGCAACCCCACCCAGGACAGGACCAAAATAACTTACCTGAAAACGCGAACTGCCCACCAAAAGGACCTCCATCTTATCTGGATTGAGTCTCAGTTTGTTGGCCTTCATCCAGCCCATTACCTCGGCCAGTCACTGGTTCAGGACAGCCACTGCCTCACCTGGATTGGTTGTAAAAGAGAGCTAGAGCTGGGTGTCATCAGCATACTGGTGACTCCACAGCCCAAACCTCCTGATGACTTCTCCCAGTGGTTTCATGTAGATGTTGAAGAGCAAAGGGAACAAAATGGAACCCTGCGGTACTCCATGGTAAAGTAGTCATGGCACAGAGCTATAGTCCCCCAGCACCACCTTCTGGAATTGGCCAGATAGGAGTGGAACCACTGCCATGCAGAGCCTCCAACTCCCAACCCGGCCAGCCTATCCAGAAGAATACCAAGGTGTATGGTATCAAAAGGAGCTGAGAGGTCCAGGAGAACCAACAGCGACACACTCCCCCTGTCCCTCTCCCTCCATACAGGGTGACCAAGGAAGATTCAGTACCGTAACCGGGTCTGGAGCTGAACTGAAATGGGTCCAGATAATCCATTTCATCCAAGAGTGCCTGGAGTTGTCCCACAACCACCCACTCCAACACCTTGCCCGAAAATGGGATGTTGGCCACCATCCCATTTTTGGGCTTTGCCAAATACTTACCTTTTCTTCACCAGCTTATGAGAGATAAAGCTCAGTGTATGATTATGTCTTGAACGCACATTTACCAATTGCAGGTAACAACTGTATTTCTGTCGTCTTGTAATATTTCATTTTTTTCCATTTTTTCCATTTTTTTCAGATGGAGTCCAGGAAGTGGCGATTCGGTCCAATGATTTAGGAGATATTGTTCCCAATACAGAACCAGATACCAAAATTAGCATTATAGGTAAGTTACTTTTAAGTATGGGACTGCAGGGTTGTAGAACTGAAAATAATAACGTCCTCCTCACTCTCTTTTTGCTGCCATACCTCTTGATGAATGGACAGCTGGGGCAACTGCTCAATGAATGAACTTTTCAGATGGATGGGATGTTTCAGGTGCTCTCAGTGACAGGAGGGATGGGGACCTTCCTACAGATATTATCCCCCTCCCCCAGCAGTATAAGGCTTTAAGGGGAATAACCATATACTCAACATCTAATTTTAACACCCCTCAATTTCCTAAATAAAGTTGGGGGGAAACAGAATTTTGCAGGAAGTATTGATGCACTACATCCTGCACACACAGGATCCCTGTCTACTTCAAGGAGGCCTCAGAATGGGAGATCGTGTAATCAAGATCTTGTGGCCTTAAGGGCTCTCCCCTTCCAGTGGGCAGCCACTACAATATAAAAACTGTACTTTAACTTGTATTTTAACTCCACAGTTCCCACTGCCTTCCTGCCTTGACATTCTTTTTCTGGTCAGGAAACCCCGTGGCTGAGTTTACTGAATACTCCGTGGATGGGACCAAACTGGACAAGCTTCTTATTGTCCCTTCTGGCTGTGTAGAGCAGAACTTGCAGAAAATGACACCTACAGTGATTGCCACCCACTACCTTGACAGCACTGGGCAATGGGATAAGATTGGACTTGAACGAAGAACTTTTGCAGTCCAGCAGATCATGAAGGGTAAGGCAACCAGGCATGTCTCCGGACTTGTGCTCTCTGCATGTCAAGACAGAAGTGTCTTGTATCTTTGGGTAATTCAGTAAGATGATGCCTGGAGGAATGTTATTATCATCATTATCACTGCATCTATATCTCACTTTTTTCTTCTTGCAAGGAACCCAAGGCAGCTTACATAGTTCTTCTCCACTCCATTTTATCCTCACAGCAACAACAACCATCTGTGAGACAGACTGGGCTGAGAGTCTGACTCACCCAAAATCACCCAGTGAGCTTCATTGCTGGGCAGGGACTAGAATCTGGATCTCCTGGGTCCCCAGTCCAACTCTCTAACCACCATATTATACATCTTGCTGTCTGTGTGATTGCGCCACAACATACCTAGATCTGATAATGATGACGAATTTATCAAGTGCCTAGTATTCTTGTTCTTTATAGAGAACAAAACAGAAGACCCACAGTCTAATAGACACCATAAAATAGTTCTGAAGATCTATCTGTTCTACAGCCCAAATTCCAAGTCCCTTCATGTCCTGGGCTTGTATGCCATCTTGATTGGAGTTATGGACAGTGTGCAAAGGAGGAATCCAGCAGCTTAGCCAGGGCTTGGAGAACTTGACTGAGTTCATTTCTCCATGTGTCTTTCTGCACAGAGAAAGAAAAACGGGTTTTGGGAAGCTCAAAGTGCTGAAATGGCAGATGGAAGTGCAATCCAGCAGCTATCCTGAACAAGTTTCCTTAGGTTCTCTCACCCAGTGGCAGTACAATGTAGTTCATGCACTTCAAGCTGCCATTTCTACCTGGATGCACCTGACCCTGATATAAAAGGGAGGAGGAGGAGAACACCAGGTACAAGGACCATAATTGACCAGCAAATAGAATAACCCTTGAGCTTGCAGTTCTAGCAGAAGAGAAGCCAGTATGGTAGTTAGTCTAACGCAGGCATGTCCAACGTCCAGCCCGGGGGCCAATTGCGGCCCGTTTTCAAATTTCGAGCGGCCCGCAGCCTCTTCTCCCTGCCAGCTTAGCCTGTCACTCATCCCCGCTGGCCGGCATTTTTCCCTTCACCGCACAGTGGTTCCCACAGCTGTCCCCTGCTGCCTCCTGCTCCTTCAAGGCTGGTGGTTATATTTCACCAGAAGATGGAAGTAGACCTGAGTCAGCACTCTCGCCACGTGACCCTTGTGACACAAGGCTTGTGTGCCCATTTCTAAAATGGCGACTGTAACTAAAAAAAGGAAAGTTGACAGCAAGGGCCGCCGCTTCCAGGACAAGTGGAAATTGGAGTATTTTTTCACTGAAATACGAAACAACTGTGTCTGCCTAATTTGCCAGGAGACTGTGGCTGCTTTCAAGGAATTCAATATCAAGAGGCACTACCAGGCGAAACATGCTAACTACAACAAGCTAACTGGGAACGAACGTGGCAAAAAATGGAAGGAACTGGAAGGTGCTTTAACGGCACAGCAGCGCTTTTTCACAAGAGCCCGTGAGTTAAATGAAAATGCCATAAAGGCAAGCTACGAGGCGGCAACGCTGATTGCCACCCACTGCAAACCTTTTACTGAGGGTGAATTTATTAAAGACTGCGTGATGAAAATGGTGGAGAAAATTTGTCCTGAGAAGAAGCAAGTTTGCCAATGTTTGCCTGGCTCATAACACTGTGGTACGGAGAACTGAAGAAGTTTCATCGGATATTAAGAGACAGTTAGAGGCAAAATAAGTGGAATTTGACTTCTTTTCGTTAGCCTGCGACGAAAGCACGGATGCATCTGACACCGCTCAGTTATTGATTTTTTTGAGAGGAGTGGACAATGACATGAACGTGAGTGAAGAGCTACTTGACCTCCAGAACCTTAAGGACCAAACAAGAGGAACAGATTTATTTGTTTCTGTTTGTTCCGCCATAGATGACATGAAACTACTGTGGAATAAAGTCACTGGGATTATTACAGATGGCGCACCTGCCATGGCTGGCGAGCGAAGTGGATTATCGACCCTAGTCTGTAACAAAGTCAGCGAAGAAGGAGGCAAAGCTATAAAACTCCACTGTATTATTCACCAACAAGTTCTCTGTGACAAACGTCTGAAATATGATCATGTTATAAAACCGGTGATGAAGGCTATTAATTATATTCGCTCCAAAGCCCTGTGCCACCGTCAGTTTCAACACTTTCTACTTGACATCCAGGCTGAATACGGAGATGTTGTATATCACAATGAGGTAAGATGGCTCAGTTGGGGGTCTGCACTGCAGCGCTTCTACTCTCTTAGGGAGGAAATCAGACAATTCTTGGCAAAAAAGGGACAACCGATGCCAGAGCTATCTGATCCTGTTTGGCTGGCTGATTTTGGATTTTTAGTTGACATAACACGACATCTGAACATGGTGAACACGAGCCTTCAGGGGCAAAATGCAGTGGTAAGCCAACTGTATTCACATATCAAAGCCTTTGGGACCAAGCTGCTACTTTTCCAAAGGCACCTGTCACAAACGCAGCCCAATACCACACATTTCCCATCGCTGCAGGAAATAATGACCAGTTTTCCACAGAACAATATGAGTGCGCAAATAAGGAGGTATGAAGCAGACATCTCATCTTTTATATTGTTATTTCTTGTATTTTAATTTTATGTTGTGAGCCGCCCCGAGGCTTCGGCGAATGGGGCGGCATAGAAATGTTTTAATAAATAAACAAAAATAAATAAAATCTCTGACTGAGGAGTTTCAACAGCGCTTTTGGGATTTTGCAGCTATTGAAAAGGAGATCACGCTTTTTTCATCTCCTTTCTCTGTGGACCCTGATGACTCCAGACCACCTGCAGCTGGAGCTCATTGAGCTGCAGTGTGACGCCGAGTGTCGCAGTCGGCACCAATAGCTCCCTCTTATCAACTTTTACCGCCAGCTGGATAAAGACAGGTTCCAAGAGATTCGAACATTTGCTAAGAAAATGCTGAGCTTGTTTGGTTTGACATACTTGTGCGAGAAGACATTCTCGGTTCTGAACATTAACAAGAACCGCATGAGGACAAGACTAAGTGACTTTCACCTGCGTGACATCCTGCACATCAAAACTGCTGTTTTTGAGCCAGACCTGGCCTATATAATCCAGTCGAGATCTCAGTATCACCCTTCACATTAGTGCAGTTATTTGTTTAGTCTTTCATAAAATAGTTCATTTGCATTTAATGTTAATGGTTCAAAGAATGTCAGGCTGAATGGTCGGCCCCCACACATTTTCACCTCACCAAATCTGGCCCTCCTTGCAAAAAGTTTGGACACCCCTGGTGTAAGGTGACCTGATGGAATAGGCTTTCCTGTCTCCCTTCTCTGTTGGTTATAGCCAGTGGAAATGGCAACTCAGAGTGAATGAGCTAGACTTATAGTGGCACTGAAAGTGCAAGTAATTGCTAGGAAAGCATCCCATATTGAGGGACCAGAAAGGAGGGGGTGAAAAGAATGCATTGCAGGGTAAAAAGAAAAGCACAGATTCGCTGAGACAATACAGCATAAAAGGAGGAGGTGTGAGGCTTCTTTCCCTGCAGGTGAAATCCTGTATGTTGACTCTGCATATCGGGATGTATGCAGCTGTAGCAGCATTTCTCAGCTCACCTTCTATTCTTCTGCTTTTCAGGTTATACACAACAACTGGCATACAAGAAACAGGACCACTCCTATCCTCCTTATAGCGGCAGCAAGTCCAGCACTTGGTAAGTGCAGTACTTCTCCAGCCATGCTCTTCCATCATGGATGGACTTTTTTTAAGAATGTTTTCTTCAGTTTTCAACAGCTTTTCAGAAAAAAAACTTGTTCATTCCCTAAGCCTAATTTGACAGCTGGTTCCCTGCCTCAGCTGGATAGTAGGATATAGTCAGAGAAAGTCCCGTGTAGCTTATTCCTACCTCTCATATAAAAGGTTTTCCTTATATAAACGTTAGCTGCCATCTTCCATGGTTCAATACCCAGTCAAAGGGTAGCAACAAGCAGCAAGCAGTGAGGAAAGTTGACAGCCCTGATGAGCTACTCTTATTAGAAAGTCCATTACATTAGCAATAGTCCTAGCATGTAATAATTGAATAATTCTTTCAAGTGACTTTCTAAATAAGAGCTTTAATACTAAAATGAAATAACTTCAGTTGAGTCTGCTGAAAGACTTTTCTGCATCCAGGAACATCAGTGCACAACCTCTTCTGAATAATTTGCTAATGCAAACATATCCAGAATGTGTTATATTTTGTTGGATGTTTATTAATTTATTTATTGAATTTGTTTGAGAGCCAGCCATTAGTTCACACTCTCAGACATGAATATTTAGAGTTTTAATAGCATTGCTTTATCATTGGGATGTTTTGTATTGTTACTTTATTTGTAAACCACTCCGTGATGCATTAGGAAGAGCCGTATATACAGCTGATTAGTTAAACAATACTGTGCTTGCATGCAACTTATAGCACACAGACGCACACTTGTTTATCAGCCTTCAGTCCCAGTCCTGCTCTTCTGCAAGCTGGAGACAAAGCTGAAGCTGTCAAGCAGTGCACCTGGCTGCACATTGAGCCCTTGCATTCATTCAGATAAAGGCTTTCATTCAGATTAGCAAGGAATGTGTACACATGTAATGGCATTTGGTATGAGAAATAAAGTCGATGGATGGATATACCATGCCATGCATAAGGGACAGCATATGAAACTTTTAAATAAATAAATAAACAAAAGTACTGAAGAGTGAGAAGAAATGGGCATTTGGAGAGGTATTTTATCATGGCAAAAGAAGGTAACAAGTAGGTAAGTTCTTTGGGAGGTATGTCTTGCGTCTGCAGGTAAATGGGCAAAGATCTGGTCGTTGCAATAGGAAATCTCTTTTAAAAATTAATAACTTAAGTATTAAGAGTTTATAAGATGGACAAGTCTGCAAGTCCTATGTTCTGATAGTGTTTGAATAGTTTGCTCTTTCTACTTCCTGTTAAGCATGCACAGAATTCAATTTTGCAACTGCTAATAAGGCTTTGCAAGAGTATGATAGCAACAGTGTGAAAGCAAGAGGTTGGTTGTCAACCAAAACAGACTAATTTTTGTTGAAAATGTATAAGATTTTGTTCTGAAAATTAAGGTCAGCTTTAGAAGAGGCTGGTTGTCAAAATTATAAATTTAGAACATAAAAGCATTTATCTTGTTCATACCACTGACCCCAGTTTTAATGTTGCCTACAACATGCAGAGAATTAGAATTCGGGCTGAAAGACCATGGGAGAAGGTAAATTAAGATGACTATACTTTCTGAAAAATCCATGTTCCCCACAGGCTGACAGCATATATTGCCAAAGTTTTTGCCATGGCTTCCAAACTAGTATCAGGTATTGATCACAATGTCCTCTGCGGATCTGTGAAATGGCTGGTTCTGGAGAGGTTAAAACCAGATGGAATGTTTGAGGAAAAAGCTCCTGTGTCATCTTCCGCAATGACGGTATGCTTCTATCCTTTTGTTATGGAGAATTCCTAATCTAGAAGAACACAGGGATTCGTACACTGGGTAGTACGAAATGATTCACTTGTCTTTGATTCCTGTCTGAGCTATGACTGTTATAGAGGCCTTGAGGGTAAAACTAATGCTCCATTCAGCTGTTGATTTGCCTCTCCTTCTAGGGAGGCTATCGATATGGTGAACCAAAAGTCTCATTAACAGCCTTTGTCTTGATTACATTGTTGGAGTCCAGAGATATCTGCAGTTCTCAGATCACTGTGAGTATCCTTATGATCCGATGCCTATAAAGCACAATTGCATCCCAGCATTTTTTCATCTTGCTCAGGTTTTGCTACTAGTTCCTCCATAACCCACTGTTTTAACATCAACAATAAATGGACAACTTTCCCAAGCTTTTTAGGAATTGTTTTTAGTGTTTTGTACTGTTTTGCCCTTGTTTCTGAATTCGTTTTTGGTTTTATTATATTCTGCTGCCATGTTTATCCTGCTATCTGACTTGTTTTCAGTGGTGGCCCCCCAGTTATGGAATGAGCCCCCCACTGAGCTCTGCCTGGAACCAATTTTATCTTTTTGGTGCCCTGTAAAGACTGTCCTCTGCTACAGGGCACTCAAGCAGCTTCTAGAGCCTGCTTGCTGTTAAACAGATCTGAATATTTTACATTTTTTCTTTTCTTCTTTAAGTTATATAATATCTACCTATCTAGCTACCTACCTACCTGTTTAGTATGTAGCTTTAAATATTGTATTGTAAACTTTTAATGATGTTTTAATATGTTTTAATAGAATGTATTTCCTCCAATTTAAATTTAAGTTTAAGTTTATTTTATCCCTGTGTGTGTGTGAGTGGGTTTTTGTCTGGGAGAACTGGGCGAGTGAGAGGAACTGCAGGACAGACAAGGCAGGGGACCAAGGTAAGATCTCGAAAGGGATACCGATGGCAGACCAGGAGATTACCTTGGCGGGAGTCACGGGTGTTGCTGTCCACTGCAAGAGCTGCGACATGTTCGCCCTTCTCCTCCAGGAGAGGCAGGGATACACTTGCCCTCGGTGCAAGCTGGTCACCCTGCTAGAGGAGGAGGTGAGGTGCCTGAGGGCCGAGAGAGCTCTCCAGGCCCCCTAGGAGCAGCCTCCCTCTGGACAGAGGGTTGAGGGAGAGGCCACGGGAGGAGCAGCCACAGAGATATGGAGATGTGTCACCCACATAACTCCTCCTCCTCCTGGCACCAATCTGGAGCTGGGAAACAGGTTCTCTCCACTTGGGGAGGCTGGGGCTGATGAGGCCTTGGGGGACCAGCAGGACCCCAAGCCTGGGATGACAGGTGGCAAGGAGGCTGCTGCAGGAGAGGCGAGGGCCAGGGCACGGCCACCCACCACCACCAGGAAGACACTGCAGTGGGTGATTGTTGTTGGGGACTCCCCGCAGAGGGGCACTGAGGTGGCGGTGTGCCACCCCAACCTGGAGACAAGGGAGGTTTGCTGCCTCATGTGAAGGACAGAGAAGAGCATCTTGTTCGCTCCGGGGGTCACCAGCCGCTCCTGGTGATCCATGTGGCACAAACGACATGGCCAGGCAGGGTATGGTTGGGATCACCTGGGACTTCGAGGCCTTGGGGAAGAAACTCAGGGACCTAAAGGCCCAAGTGGCCTTCTCGTCAATCTTACTGGTCTGGGGATTTGGGCCAGGAAGGGACAGGAGGGTCTCTGTGGTGAACGACAGGCTTAGGATGTGGTGCCAGAAGGAACGCTTCGGGTTCCTCGACCACGGCACCCGGTTTCTTGCCAATGGACTTCTGGCAAGGAATGGTTACACCTCACGAGGATGGGGAAAATGTCCTTTGGAGATGCTCTAGTGAGCTTCGTCTGGCAGACTTTAAACTGAGCCGGGGGGGGGGTTCAGGCCCCCCAGAAATATGTCTGCACTGGACAAGTGTGTGGAGAGGATCAGGGCTCTGGGAGCAGGGTTTTAGAGGTACTGCAGGGACTGACAGGCCTCCTACAGAGAGGGGCCAGGTATCAGGGAGGATGGGAGGAAGGAGGAGACTGGGAACTCCAAGGAAAGGAAGAGGTGGGAAGGAGTTGAGGTGCAGGTACACCAATGCTAGGAGCATGGGTAATAAGCAGGAAGAGCTTGAAGCTCTCCTGGGAATAGAAGGGTATGACCTGGTGGGAATCACAGAAACTTGGTGGGATGAAAGGCAAGTCTGGAATGTGAACCTAGAAGGGTATCACCTTTTTAGAAAGGACAGGAAGGGAAAGAGGGATGGGGGCGTGGCTTTATACGTCAGGGAAGGGATAGGATGCAGTGAGATAGAATGCAGCACAGATGGGGATTCAGTAGAGGCAGTCTGGGTGAAACTTAGGGGTCTTGACAGGGAAAGAGACCTGACAGTGAGGGTATGTTATTGCTCTCCAGATCACCTTGAGACCCTGGATGATGTCCTGACAGGCCAGATTCTAAGGATATCTCGGGGGAGAGATACAGTAATTATGGGAGATTTCAATCTCCCGGATATTAGTTGGGAGACTCACTCGGTGGTGACAGCCAGGTCACGTCACTTTCTAGAAACTATAGAGGTAGGGTTTTTCACACAGAGCGTCCGACAGGCGACGAAGGGGAGAAACATCCTTGACTTGGTCTCGACCAATAGGGAGGAGCTGATAGATTGAAGTACAGATTAGGGAAGCTCTGGATGCGAGTGATCACTCCATCCTTTGCTTTGAGATCAGGGGACTGGGGACGTGCAGCAGGTTGAGCACTAGAAGCTGGGACTTCAAGAGGGCCAACTTTGGCCAACTGAAGGCCAGATTGGGGAAAGTCTCCTGGGATAGGTTCCTGGAAGGTAAGCAAGTTGAGGAGGGGTGGATGGCACTCAAAAGGGAGGTTTTGGAGGCGCAAGCCTTGATGGTACCTCTAGTCAGTAAGGTGGGGAGGCGGAGGAGAGTGCCGTCATGGATGTGAAAGGAGGTGGTTCAAGGGATTAGACGAAAGAGGAACCTCCATAGGAAATGGGTACTGGGGCAAATAGACAAAAGGGTACACCAGGAGGAAGAGACATGTTGCAGAAGGATTCTTCACGAGGCTAAGGCTGATTACGAGCTGAGACTTGCCAAGAATATCAAGAGCAACAAAAAGGGCTTCTTTCAGCATGTAAATAGGAAGAGGAAGGGGAGACAAGTGGTGGGACTTCTAAATAAGGAGGAAGACGATCCAGTGACTGATATGAGGGAACAGGCACAGATGCTAAATGACTATTTTGCCTCTGTGTTCTCCCCAGAGCAGGACAGGGGATATCCGCATAGGAGATTAGACGAGGCTGGGGACTTAGGGGCACAGATTAGAGTCACCCCCCCTTGAAGTCAGGGGGCTCCTCAGAGCATTGGATGTTACAAAGGCACCAGGCCCTGACGGGTTACACCCGAGAGTACTTAGAGAGTTGGCAGGGGTTCTCTCACGCCTGCTGACCTCCATTTTTGAGGCCTCGTGGAGAACGGGTGAAGTTCCAGAGGACTGGAGGGTGGCCTCAGTGGTCCCAATTTTCAAAAAGGGTAGTAGAAGGGACATGGGGAATTACAGACCTGTTAGCCTTACGTCCATTGTAGGAAAAACAATGGAAAGGCTCATAACAGAGAGAGATCTAGTGATGCTAGATAGGGAAGGGAGGCTGACAGCCACACAACACGGCTTCTGCAAAAACAGGTCCTGCCAGACAAACTTTGTGGAATTCTATGACAAGGTTTTGAGATGGGTAAATGGAGGGGATGCAGTGGATGTGGTATACCTGGATTTCAGCAAGCCTTTGACAAAGTGCCCCATGATATCCTGGTGGAGAAACTGAGGAGTTTTGGAATACACCAAAGCACTATCCGGTGGATTAGGGCATGGCTGACTGACTGAAAGCAGAAGGTAACCATTAGTGGGGAATCATCGGGATGGCGGCCAGTGACAAGTGGGGTTCCCCAGGGCTCTGTCCTGTGGCCGATCCTGTTTAATCTTTTCATTAACAACATAGAAGAAGGGGTGAACGGTATGCTGATCAAATTCGCAGACGACACTAAAACTGGAGCAGTGGCTACAACGGAGGAGCAGGTATTCCAGATCCAAAAGGATCTGGACGGACTATGGAAGTGGGCAGGAGACAACAGGATGGCGTTCAATGTGGATAAGTGCAGGGTCTTGCACTTGGGGCATAGGAATAGGTGTCATAAGTACAGGTTAGGTGACAAGTGGCTGGAGAGCAGCACTTGTGAAAGGGACCTCGGGGTACTGGTTGACTGCAGGCTAAACATGAGTCAGCAGTGTGATGCAGTGGTCAAGAGGGTGAACACCACCCTTGGTTCCATAGTCAGAAGTGTGGCTTCTAGATCAAGAGAGGTATTACTACCACTCTATATGACTCTGGTGTGCCCACAACTGGAGTATTGTGCTCAGTTTTGGGCCCCTCGTTAAAGGAAGAATATAGCCAGGTTAGAGTCAGTGTAGCGCAGGGCCACTAGGTTGGTGGCCGGTTTGCAGGGGATGGGGTATGAGGCGAGACTGAGGGAACTGGGTCTCTTCAGAGGAGAAGAGGAGACTCAGAGGGGATCTGTTGGCGACATACAGGTATGTGAGGGGATGTCACACGGTGGTGGGTAGAGACCTGTTCTTCCCTGCAAAGGAGGGCAGGATGTGCTCCAGCGGAGCAAAGCTCAGGGAACCAAGGTTTCATTTAGATGCCAGGAAGCACTTCCTGACAGTCAGGACCCCGAGGGTGTGGAATGGGCCTCCACGAGAGGTCGTTGAGGCCCCATCAGTGTGGGTGTTCCAAGGATAGGCTGGACGTCCACATGGTGGGCATGTTATGAGCAGAGCCGGCTGGTGCCAGAGGTCAGACTAGATGGCCTAGGAGGCCCCTTCTGACTTGCTTTGTTTCAATGTTTCTATGTTTCTAATGTATCTTTTATTGTTTTAATGTGATTTTTGAACTCCCCAGAGAGCTTTAGCTGTGTAGTGGTATAGAAGATGGATGGATGGATGGATGGATATTAACATTGTTTTGTAGTTGCTTTGTATTTTATGCTTTTAATTTGAACACCACCCAGAGAACTGTGGGTCTTCTTCACAGTCAGTGTGCATTACATGGATGGGCTCCATGTTTGCCTGGAATCTGTTGTTGGGTAGATTCTATAGCTGAGAAAGTTTGGGTGGGAACCCCTCCCCACCCAGCCATCATTCTGTAGAGAAGAGGTGTCCACCCATTTCTTCAGTTCTTCTTTGACCATCTTGTGGTAACTTGGGAAGTTCTTCCACTTAGCGTGTTTTCTCCTTGCTATTTCTCCTCAATTTATTACTTTACTATAACTCAACCTTCTCAATTTTTTGCTGGTTCTACATTCCTATCCAATTACCAACTTCTTCTACAAACAACAAATTTCCCCCATTTTCCCCAGTCTTGTTCTTTTTCATGCTCTCATTTGTATCTCCATTCGGCTTTTCTGATGGCACGTGAGTCACCTTTCCACAAGTGCATCAGATGTGGCAGCAAGTTCCCCCTGACTGGGAGGCATTCCCTCTGCCTGTTTTGCCTTGGAGTCCAAGGTGCCTTCACTGCCAGGATTTGCAAAGCAGGTCTGAAGGAATAGGGCAGATGGTCTTAGAACAGCAAAGTGGATATGGAGCAAGGTGTCCCATGTGGTGGATTCTTCTGAGTCAAATGAGAGAGACCTCCCCTGTCCACCTTAGGCCTTGCCTCAGTTCACACCCATTATGGCTGGTGGGTGCTCTAGCAAAGAAGCAGACTGCACTGCTGGATTCTGGATAATCCCTAAAGGTTTCAAAGGCCAAGAAGTATGCTATAAAAACCAAGGTGGCAAACTTGACAGAGACCACAAAATCGAAGGTCCACAAGCAGCACTCTAAGGAAAATCAGTTGGATTTGTCCTGGAAATAATCATCAGTGCCAAGCTGAACCATCCTGAGCCCATCTCAGTAAGCTTGGTATGAGAAGGGGAAATTCAGAACTCATCATCATCTGGTTGGCCCACTTTGGAAGTTTTGGTGTTGCATTGGCTGGGTAACCCTTCTCAAAGCTGTCTGGAACCATCTCACCAACTGCTGTGGAGACTGTTTCTGCTCTCCCCTCTCAGGAATTATCTTTCAGCTCCATACTGAGCATACTATCTATGGGGGTATCCTCGTGACCAGGATCATTTCTACAATCCTCCATACCAAGGAGAGTTACATTCCAAGCCACTCTTTGGAAGATGGAAGCCTCTCTACAAGCATCTCTACACCTCTCCCACCAAGAGCAAAAGTGTTAATTTCTAGACCTACAGACCTCCAGGAACCTCCAGAACATGCTGCTTCCTCTACCATGCCACTCTGCCCATCATCCTCTCCTGCCTCCATGTATTTCAGACAAGGGCCACCATCTCCTCCATTGAACATTGAAGACTACTCCACCAAGTCAGTCTCATATTCACTGGACACCCCATCTATCGTCTCTCCAAATGTGGCTGTGGGAACTGAAAACCCTGCCTTTTCACTGGCAAACAAAGGCCATTTCTCTGAAAAGATATTGAGGATGGTCCAGTCTCTGGGACTGGTTACTCAGCAGCAGAGAGACAGTGTGAATGGTCCAGTCTTTGACATGGGCCACATGGAGAAATCAATGCTGGTGGCCATTCCATTCCTTCCAATTTGCCAGATGGTACAGCAGTCATGGAAGACTCCATCATCCATGACACTAAGGCTGAAGCACCTGGAGAATGTATATACAGTGCAGAAGAACATGGCCTTCTTATTTCAACATCTGTGGCTGAGCCCCTTTGTTGCGGAGGGAATGTGATGCCACGAGGATTCTGTCCTGATAGACAAAGAGGGTCACTGCCTGGACCTGATGAGGCGTGAACATCTACCTGTCTTCTGCTCTGGGGCTCTGAATGGCAAATTATCAAGCCATCATGTTCAGGTACCAACTCTTCCTCCAGGAGAAGAATGGCTCCTTTTGTGACCACTTGCCACAGAACCAAAGGAAGCTTGCCAGAGTATTCCAGACAGAAGCAACGTGCATCTCCCATTAACAAATCAACACCACCAGACAGCCTACAGTGCAGAGGCGATGATTGGCATAGTGGTGTTATGGAAGTTCTCATACTCCCCACTTGCATCTCCACCTCCTTTTCAGAATGAGTTGAATGTATCTGAACAGTCTGCAATGAGTGAATGATTACCGACTGCACTCTCTACAAACTACCTAATCGCCTCGCTGTAGGCAACCTGCACCTCACAGTATGAGAATCTTCTCCTAGAGGAAGGGCTTATCACCATTCCTGAAGGATTGTGAATAATATTGGATGTGACTCTGAAACCTTCTACCAGGAATTATACCACCAGTGTTTTCCTTTTTAATAAGGGAGAGCTTAGATTCATATCAGCGCATGGCAGAGCAAGTCCTAGTCTTCTTGAATTCACTGCTCTAACAGGGCTTGAAGACTTTGTCCGTCTGATTGTACCTGACAGCGATCTCATCCCTCCATATGCTGATCCAGCATTTGTTGGTTCTCTTGCTCCCCCATCCCCACATCTTAACATTTTCTTCTGGGACTCAAGAATATTGCTCCATCAACTCATTCTTTGATACCCAACTGGAATCTTTCCATCATTCTGCAAGCCTTTATGAGAAAACTATTTGAACACATGGCGAAAATCAACTTATGACTTCGATTTGGGAAGTTTGTTTTCCTGATAGTGAATACTTCAGCTCAGTGCTCCAGTGAGTTGTATGCTCTTAGGATGGATCCTAACTGTGGATGCAGAAAGGGTTCATCCCAACTTTAGTCCAGACCCTTCTTACTTTCCCAAGGCCATCTTTTTACATAAATCAAGAAATGGTTTTACCATTCTTTTTTGCTTCACTGTCAAATCCAATGGAATCTGTATGCTGGCCTTCTGCCAGTCCAGAAATGACTCTCTCTCAGCTGCTCTCAGAAACTTTTCATTTGCTGTGGCAGCAAGAGCAAAGGACTTCTTCTGAAGTCCTTCTGCCTCCTGAAAGACTAGTAGCCTGGGTGGTGCGGGCGATCTTCCTGACTTGTGAAGATATGTGCCACTTGGATGGCGCACATCTCCTTTTTGTTCCCGCCAGGGAGAAAGCTGCTATGGTTCATGCCCAGTTGGGGAACCTGGCATAGGCCAGGGCTTCTTTCTCCCATACAGGAGCAGGAGACAGGCATACTTGTCTCCATCTTGAGGCAGTAGCTGTCGGCAGTCTCTCTCATCTCGTTCTCATGCAAAAGGTTTCCGTTCAGGTGCAAGTAGGTGGGCTGGGCAGCCCTGGGCAGCCCTGCCCCACCAACTGGCCCAGCTCCTGTTCCAAAGAAGATCTCTGGGGCAGGAGGAGCTGGAGTTCCTCTAACAGCTCTGCCAAAATGGTCAGTGGTTAACTGTATCCTCGGCTAGCTGCTTGGCAAGAGCAACAGTTGTCAAGTGGCTCTTTGGTTCTGGGGTTTCTACCATCATGGGTTCTGTTGTCCAGGTTCAAACAAGGAGCAGTTCTGGTAGGGAGAAACCCTAGAACAGACAGCTGTGTCTTATTATAGTTGACAATCACAATAAGTCACAATGGTTGATCACCATGTGTATATGTATATGTATCCATTAAGGATGAAAAGATAGAAAGTTGCATAACGCTTTCTGTTTCTAGCACTAGAATCCCTCCATCTGGAAGCACCAAAAGTTTTTGTTGTACCTTAGCAGTTTAACTACCCACCTATTTATCAGCTTGCAGGGTTGAATAATTGGCTGATCAGACTCCGTTCCACTTCCAGTCTCCAGTCTTGTTTGATGCCAAATGTCACAAACGTCTGATTTATCATTTTAGCAGTCTCGGTAGAGATGCCCAGAGTGATCCAGACCCTATGAAGCAGCTTTCCCTTTTCTTATTCCCATTTGGGTGTTGGATGTCTCCAAAACACAGGCATTTTCTACAGTGAAGGAAGGGGGAAATTGTCCTTCAGGTGTCCCTGATATAGGAAATTTGTCTCCCATTTGGTTGTAGATTTCATGTTAGAATTATTGGGTTTTTTTGCACTAGAACTTGTCTCCTATACTTGCCTAATATATAAAAGTCTTGCTTTTATTACTCAGATTTTAGAGAAAAGCATCAAGATGGCCAGTAACTACATAAACCAATATTATGAGTCCTTGAAACACCCTTACACTGTGGCTCTCGCATCCTATGCTTTAGCTCTGGCAGGTGTGCTGAACAGTGAAGAAGTACTCATGAGAGCATCCACAGGTAAATTGACTGTTCATTGAATAAAAATGTAAGTATGTTTTCAACAGCAGGCAGATCACATTAAAAACAGAACAAGAAACAAAGACAAGCTTGAGCATAATGTGTATAAGGCCAAGCAATTTCTGGAATAAACTGAGCTGGCATCCTGCAAGAAGTGAGAATATACTCTGTAAGAGCACAGTGGACTTTGGGACACACTCCTTTGTGTTAGCCCTGCCAGGAGTGCTTAGCCATGGAAGAACATGCATGAGGTCATCCACAGATAAAGTTGTTGGTTGTTCATTGAATGAAGCAAGAATAGCCGCACATTTCTGAGGACAGGTGATTCATGGTCAGAACAGAATGAGGGATCAGTGCAACAAACAGTGGGAGCATGTGTGTCCCCGAGGAGGACCAGCCCAACCTATGTGAGGTTCCCTGCTCAGATAAATTGAGAGTTTGTTCCTTCTATGTTGTATCATTTCTTCCTGTGCAGCAACCCATTCCTGACTGTCCCATTGACTACAAATCTCATCAAGCTATGCTCTGTACCATGATGCTTTATGATTTGTAGTCTACTGTTACAGGCAGTCCCTAAGATATGAATGTCCGTGTTACAAACAATCTGTATTTACAAACAAACTGCCATAAAGCCTATTATTTTTTAAAAAAAATTACTGTAGAAAATCATCATCACCAGAGAGAGAGAAAGAGAAGAGAAAGAGACCTCCAAAGCATGCCTTCCTGCCCTGCCCCTCGGGGGGGGGGGGGGGGCAAGCTCTCTGGCATTTCCTTGCTGCAAAGAGCAGACACTGATGAGTTTGGGGAGGGGGGTTAGCGATAGTTGCATTTTTTCAACTTTCACAGGGGTCCTGCACCCCTAACCCCCATGAATGTGGACAGCCGTGTCTAGGTGATTCGCCTTACATTCAAGTTCAACTTAAAGAAGAAATTTCATTTTCTCAGGAACAGAACTTGTTTATAACCTGAGGAGTGCCTGTATTTAAGAGATTCACAAACCCTTTCTAAGAAATTGCTAATCTGTGGAGAAGCCCTGAGGTTGTATAATCACAGGTGACTGACTGACCTGATTTGCAGTGTGGGTAACCAGCTATGGTGTGCTGACCTGTCAGCCAGACTCATTGTGGTTTCTGCATGGTATTTTCTGGAAAAAGTTCCGTCCCCTGAGATCCTCTAACTTGTTTTAGGGCTGTTCCTGCACAAAAATGGCTTGCTATAATATCTGAACCTGGCCGGGTTGTCTCATTGTTGGTTGGTGGGAATAGCCATAGAGCCTCTCAGCAGGAGTACCACGAAAAGCCTGTGCCTTTTCACAGTCATGCCAGCAATTGCTATTCCATCAATGTCAAAATGGCATTTTTAAAAGGACTATCATTCATGCCCTGGCTTTTTATTTTTTTGTAAAAATTATTTACAAAAAAATATATTGTTCAGTCGCTCAAAGATGTGCAATTGGGAGTGGGGTGTATGTGTGTGTAGAAACATAGAAACAGGGCAAGTCAGAAAGGGTCTCCTGGGCCATCTAGTCTGACCCCTGGCTCCAGCCGGCTCTGCTCACAACAGTACCTACTATGTGCATGTCCAGCCTATCCTTGAACACCCTCACCGTTCAGACTTCAACCACCTCCCATGGAAGCCCATTCCACACTCTCGGGGTCCTAACTGTCAGGAAGTGCTTCCTGGCATCGAAAGGGAATCTTGGTTCCCTGAGCTTTGCTCCATTGGAATGCGTCCTGTCCTCCACTGCAGGGGGGAAAAGGTCATGACCCACCTCTGCATGGCACCCCCTCACATACCTGTATGTCGCGAACAGGTCCCCGCTGAGTCTCCTCTCAAGGCTGAAAAGACCCAGCTCCCTCAGTCTCGCCTCATGTGGTGTAGGGGGAAGCTTTCATATGGATCCATCCCTCCAGTGTTTGAGGATGGATTCATTTGCCTGCTCAGTCCAGTCATACAAAATGAGCCAAGCCAAAAAGGAGTCCATGAACACTTGCACAACCAGCCTTTGTGCTGCATGCACACCAGTCACATGGGGCTGTGTTCCTGGTGGGCCCCTCTCTATCAGCCTCCTTGCATGTCAGCTGTGGCACGTGGCACAGTAGAGGGGCTCTGAGCAACGTCCCTCTTCCATGCCACGTGGAGTGGCTGTTTGGGCTGCTGCAGGCAGAGCAGAAGTGGGGTGCTGCTTGCGCAGCATGGTTGGGGGGGGCTTGATTCCTAGTGAGTACCCTGTGAATATTGGGCACACTCACCAGGAACTGCAAAGTCCAGGGATCCAAGTCCAGGGAACCAATGGACTGCCCCCACTCCCCCAATCAGATTCCTCACACATTCCTCCTCATAGCCAGTATGTATAGTCTTGCCTAGTCAGTTTCCACGTCTCTTTCAGTTGTCAAAGTGAGCAGGAAAGGGGAGGGGCAGACTATATCGAGGTAGTACATAGTTGCCAGAGGTCAATAGCCAAGCTTTCATGTGACAACCACTGCTAAAAGGGTGAAGTGGTTACAGGGGGAGACAATATCGCCCTTTGGTGATGTAATCCTCTCAAGCTTAGTATTAAATGGACAGGGTTTTTTTTCCGATTTATATCCTGCCTTTTTCCTATAAAGGGCTCAAGGCAGCTTACATTTCCTCCTCCATCTTATCCCCACAACAACAACCCTGTGAGGTAGGTTGGGCTGAGAGTCTGTGACTGGCCCAAAGTCACCCAGTTGGCTCCATGGCCGAGCGGGCACTAGAACCCAGATTGCCTGAGTCCCAGGCCCGTGCTCTTAACCACTACACCACACTGGCTGACAGTTCACAGTGACTTCACCTTTCAGTCCTTCCCAGCTCTCCAGCTACTCAAGAAAGTGGAAATATTAATCCCCCCTGCCTTTTCATTGCTCCTTTTCAGAGTTGTAATCGTAGAGGCACAAATTCCCCCCTCAATTTCCTCTTAAGCCATTGTATTTGCATGCATTGCATTTGTTTACTTTTTAGAAGAGATGGGGACCTGCAGTAACTGCAGCAACAAGTGATCTGAAAAGGAATCATGAAAAATGGAGAAGCTAATATCTCCCCTCTCTGGAGTGGTTGGAAACTGGAAAGTGTCAAAAAATAGAAGGTACTGGGAAATGGCAGTTCAGCATGTAAAATTGGGAGCATTTTATTCCTAAGGGTGATATTGTCCCCTATTCTGGGGCATGAGTTTTTACCCTGTGTTGGTGCTTATCAGCTGACAACTTTGCAGTGATATTCTGGCAAGTATCTATATGCAATATAGGCTTGTCAGTTGCCCACTCCCCTTTTGTGCTTCCTTTGCCAGCTGAAACAGACAAGGCTATTGATCAGGCAAGACTGCACAGACTGAATAGCCAGAGCAGCTCACTTGTGTAAGACCAACCAAAAAGGTTTTCAAATTGTTAACAAGGCTATGTAACTAAGAGCCTTTTTAAAAAGGGCTGGACCTGTGTATTTTTTAGTCTCAACCCCCACCACCCCCAGCAGTGACTGGAAATGGATAATGCATGGAGCAGGTTGATGGAGACAAGACGAGTTCTGCCACAAAGAAAACAAGGATACATGTGGAAGATGACTGGAGGATTGGGGGGGAAATAGGGAACAACCCATGGTAACCTCATTCAGCCATCAGGTGTACCATGTTTTCTTCTGCAAACAGCCAAGCCACCATGACTTATTTCCAGGTTGGCATGTTGTGTGCACATTCCAGATGTATCATTTGAAAGCTTTTCCAAATTCTTCTGTAGCATAGACCTCTGGCCGAAAATCATTGTAGTCCCCTCCTGTCTTGATGAGTGCAACATCAGACCTATATCTTACCTATATCCAAAGCTCCACAGCTAAATCATTCACCCCGCTCATCACTTAGATGGTGTGAGACCCTTTCTCAGATCTCTCCACTGGGTTACCATCTCCCCCTCTTCACTTTCTTGTTCTACACCATCCTTCACCCTTTGTTTCCTCAATGTATCCCTTAGAATCTCTTCTCAAGTTCTACTGCTCTCAGCTACCTAAGGATCTGCTGCTGCCTGTCATAACACTGCCCATTTCCCTCCTCTTCTCCTTGTATATGGAATGGCTATCTAAGACACCATCTCTTTCATTTTTAAGTCACCCCCAGCCTTTTCATGTATCCTTCCCATATTGTACCTAATTTCAGAGTATAACCAAATATAACAGCATGTGCCTACTTTTATCCCTGCCTTCCACTTGTTTCATTTCCCTCTTCTGTTATGGTTTCTCCCACTATATGATTTATATTGTAAACTCCTTAGAACATGTACCTGTTCTTGCTTGTGTAACTCTTTAACGCACCAGGTATAGCAAAGGCCACCTATACATAAAGTAGTCATCTCCATCACACTGTTTAACTGGTTGTCATCATTCTGTGATTCATCAGCTCTTCCCAATGGCAATGTTCATGAATGTGTCCTGATGTTGCAAAGATTCAGCCAATGGCTGGAGTCAGGTCTTGCAGGCAAAAGGTGCATGGTGGCCAGTGTTTATCTTACCTGTTACACTGCATTGGTAAAGAAAACTGACGGGAAAGAGATGGAAGGTGTGCCGACTTGGAATAATGGCTTATGTGTTCTAAAGAGTTGTTTGTCCACTGGTATTTAGACAGGAATCGGTGGGAAGATAATGATGGTAGCATTGCCACCGAAGGTACCTCTTATGCTCTACTGACCTTAATGAAATTGAAGAAGTTTGAAGATGCTGGCCATGTAGCTGAATGGCTGATAGGTCGCAATCATTATGGAGCAACTTACGGACATACTCAGGTGCGTGTCTCCTTTATTGTCTTTAGCGGCAGTTTTCATGCTGTGGCTTCTGAAGAGCAATTTCTTTACACAGAACTGCTTGAAACACAACAGGCTGTAGAAATCTGTCTACTCAGGAATTGAGGAAGCATGCTTTCTTGCTACCTATGAGAAAGATGCATAGTTAAATTGTCCTACAAAGATGCTGGGAGTATACCATTCCCATATCTATTAAAATGCACCAAGACATCTAGATCAACCCTTAAAGTGAATGGGTTTTCTTAAATGCAACATTGTCACATCACAGTTCTATTTTAAAAGGCTGAACTAGATACAGTGGTACCTCGGCTCACAAACGCCTCAGTTCATGGACAATTTGGGTCATGAACATAAATTTCATAAAAATTTTGCTGCAGGTTGCAAATTCCGCATCAGGTGACGATCGCAGGTGCGCTGTCTCCCCCACAGTGCGCCTGAGATTGCACCAGTCTCCCCCCACCCCTGAGCATGATTGCAGCCATCCCCCCCCCAGCACAATCGCTGGAGGGGGGGGGAGATGGCCACAATCGTTGTTGTTGCTTCAAATTTTTATGAGTAAAAAATAAGAATTACAGAACAGATTAACCTAATTTACATTGACCCTTACGGGGAAATTTGACTTGGCTCACGACCAATTTGGGTTATGATCAGAGTCCTGGAACAGATTAAGTTCGTGAGCCAAGGTACCACTGTAGCTGTACAAAGAGGCCCTCCCAGCACTCTTGCAGTATATAAACTGTAAGCTATTATGTACCTTTTTGAAAAGCATGAGTGACTTGCAGGTTAAAAATGGCTCAAATTAACACATAGATAAGCTTAATTATTATTTTATTTATTTTGTTATAGTATAATGATAAGGAAGCCTTCAAGGATGAGAAATTTAATTTACTTCATCTTAATTATATCCATACTGTGAGATAAGGGCATGCTTTCTCAAGCTACCAAAATATTCTTGCCCTAAGGCTAGTTCTCCATTTTACACAGTAAATATTTTGGTTGCATGCGTTCAAACATTCAAATATCCATGTGTATGTGCATTTAAACATTTATTTCCCTCCTTCAGTAGGATCTGAAGAAATCCCACATAGCCAAGGTACCTAGACATATATGCATGGGTGTCTAAAGAAGTGTGGATGGATGGATGGATGGATGGATGGATGGATGGATGGATAGATAGATGAATACCATCCACACTTCATGGCATCCATACTGCTGTGAAAAACATTAACCAATACATATGTAACATAGAAACATAGAAACAGAGTGAGTCAGAAGGGTTCTCCTGAGCCATCTAGTCTGACCCCTGGCTCCAGCCAGCTCTGCTCACGACATGCCTACCATGTTCATGTCTAGCCTATCCTTGAACACCCTCACCAATGGTGCCTCAATCATCTCCCATGGAAGCCCATTCCATACTCTCGGAGTCCTAACTGTCAGGGAGTACTTCCTGGCATCCAGGTTGAATCTTGGTTCCCTGAGCTTCACTCCATTGGAGTGCGTCCTGCCACCTCTGCAGGGGAGAACAGGTCTCTACCCACCGTGTGACACCCCCTCACATACCTGTATGTCGCCAACAGATCCCCTCAGAGTCTCCTCTTCTCCAGGCTGAAGAGACCCAGTTCCCTCAGTCTCACCTCATACGGCTTTCCCTGCAAACCGACTACATCCTTTCTGTAACTTAGGGCCCAGAACTGAACACAATACTCCAGTTGCAGGTGCACCAGAGTCGTGTAGAGTGGTAGTAATACCTCTCTTGATCTATAACCCACGTTTCTGCCTATCCAACCAAGGGTGGCGTTCGCCCTCTTTACCACTTCATCACACTGCTGACTCTTGTTTAGGCTACAGTCAACCAGGACCCCGAGATCCCTTTCACAAGTGCTGCTCTCCAGCCATTTGTCCCTTAACCTGTACTTATGACACCCATCCCTATGCCCCAACTGCAAGACCTTGCACTTATCCACATTGAACACCATTCTGTTGTCCCCTGCCCACTTCCGTAGTCTGTCCAGATCCTTTTGGATCTGGAGTACCTGCTGCTCAGTTGTGGCCACTGCCCCGGTTTTAGTATGGTCTGTGAATTTGATCAGCAGACTGTTCACCCCTTCTTCCGTGTCATCGATGAAATGTAGTAAATCTATTTGCTGCATGAAGTATGGAGCTGCTTTCAGTTTGCTGCAGTTCCTTAATTCCTCTGACACTGGACCTTCTTCCACGTAAAGACTAAATTTAGATGTTTGTTGAAATGTGTTACTTGCTAACCCAATTTTCCTCTTGCAATTCCAGTCAACCATCATGGTGTTCCAAGCTCTTGCCCAGTACAAAATTGATTTACCATCCTCTAGGGACCAGATTATGGATGTTTCTTTTCTATTGCCACAACGTTCTGCTCCAGTCACTTTTAGAATTGACCAAAAAAACTCTCTGTTAGCCAGGACAACAGAGGTATGCTATTTCTTTGTGTAATTTTATGCATTGTTCTTTGCTTTGCTGTTGGTCACTCTCTTTTAAGAAGACTCTGACCAAGAAACAAAGCAAAGTCCTAAATCACTGTTTATACTGGCACTTGGGTAGCTTACTGTACACTTCTTGCCATGTCTCTTTGGAAGTAACTCTCATAAACAAGGGGGCTTACTTCCTAATATGTTTAGGATTGAAGTCCTGAATCTCCGTTAGCTCCAGATTTGGTTCAGACACCACAGCACCCCACCCTTGTCTGTTATAATGGGTGGGTTGTTCCGTCATGCAAACCAAGTTGGCTTCACCAAAAGTTGTCTATTTTTACAAACAGGCCAACCTGTCCTCCCAGGGTTGTTGTCTTGTCCAAATCTTCATGGAATGGTCAACCATGGGAGAGCCCGAACAGCCAGCATGGTGAAAGCTGCAAAAGCATCTTGCCACTTTTAACAAGCACCTGCCAGATGTTTGCTACAGACAGCAGCCTCCAGCATGCCCAAGTGGCACTTGGGACTGTGGGCAGAAGCTTTCCCCTGCCCACATCAGCGCAATGAAGCACAGTTGTTTAAATAAATGGGGATTATTAATCCCCATTTATACTATTCCTATTTATACTATTTCAAATAGAATAGAGTACAATTTCTATTTGATTTTCATGGGGCTTGCAGAAGAGAGGTTTTGGAAAAATTGGTGCTTTTTGTTTTTGATTTAGGCATGTATGTATCATTCTTCAATCAAATACTTAGGACTGCTTGAACTAGAAAGTTATGATTTGGGGAATATTTTATACCTAATATGGATCACAGACACTGCAGTGATAGAAACGTACTGAAAATGATATGAATATGAGGGTGAACAAATCTTATAGAGCAGGAGGGCGCTATTTCCTGAAAAGACAAACATTTTCATTCCTGTTCCCATAAATGCTCAAGTAAAGCAGGGTGTGTACATCTCCACAATTGATGCTAGTGAAATATTTGCAGAATCACTCTCTTCTTAGCCCAGCTCTAACCCTGGTACTGCTTGCTTTTCAGACCAAGCTGAATGAACAATTTACTGTGCAAGCAAGAGGTCAAGGAGAAGCAACTGTAACAGTCTTGACTATGTATTATGCACAATTAAAGGAGAAGAAAGTTGTGTGCAATAATTTTGATCTGAAGGTTTCTGTTAAAGAAATCGAGTTGAGTAAGTCTGAGTGTTGGGCGGTATACCCAAATATGTCACATACATCCTTGAATGTGCATGTGCACACACATACTGAGAAAACCTGGAAGTGTCTGGAAATATCTTTTGCAGAAATGTGTTGGCCAAATAGTAGATTTTACCCCATATTCTTATGAAGTGGGAAATTTGTTAAGTGACAAATACAAAAAGTGAACAACATAAGCTTTATTATGCCACGCATGTTTATAAAAAGAAGGCTTGATTAGTATACTAATCCTGAATTTGTTGAATACCCCCAATAACAGTTATAGTACCAGAAAAGGTGGTGGTGGGGAGTTATGGCTGGCTAAATAAGAAGCAGTGAGGATACCAGAAGAATGGCAAAGCAGAACGTCAGTACAACAAAATGGACTTTGCCCATGGTAAAAGGTGGGCCATTCAAGGGGTAGAACAGATAAGAATGCAGAGGTTTTAAGAGAAAATAGAATTAAAGTGGGATTTAGAGTTCCAGAGTAATGGGAACACTAATTTCTCAGTTAGCCATGGATATTTGGAAACTGACAGCAGGCACACCAGCCTTTGAGCCTGTCAACATTGGGGTGATCACCTCAGATCACAACAGGTTATAGCCTCATTCCCATTCACACTGGGTTCATAATAGGCAAAAACAAGGGGACCAAATGTTTGGCTGCACTATCATAAAGGACTAGGCTGAGTGCCAAAGGAATGAGGCCTTTGAATTGTGGTGCTGGAGGAGACTCCTGCGAGTCCCTTGGACTGCAAGGCGATCAAACCGGTCAGTCCTAGAGCAGATCAACCCTGACTGCTCTTTAGAAGGCCAGATCCTTAAGATGAAACTCAGATACTTTGGCCACCTAATTAGAAGGAAGGACTCCCTGGAGAAGAACCTAATCCTGGGAACAATAGATGGCAAAAGAAGAAGGGGACGGCAGAGAATGAGGTGGCTGGATGGAGTCACTAAAGCAGTTGGTGTGAGCTTGAGTGGGCTCCGGGGGATGGTGGAAGACAGGAAGGCCTGGAGGAATGTTGTCCATGGGGTGCGATGCGACTTCGCGACTAACAACAACAATCATAAAGGACTAGGGGCAAATGAATATGCAAATAAAAATGGAGTCATAGAATAGTAGATTTCAAAGGGCCATCAGGGCCATCAGGTTCAACCCCCTGCTCAGTGAAAGACTCCAAGTTAAACCATCCCTCTCGGACATCTGTCCAATTGCATCTTGAATGTTTCTAGTGTGAGGAGCCTACAACCTCCCTAGTTATTGGTTCCATTGCTGTACTGCTTTAACAGTCATGAATTTCTGCTGATATCTAGCTTTCTGTAACTTGAGACCATTGTTCTGTGTTCTGCCCTCTGGGATGATCAAGAAGAGAATGTGTCCTCCTTCTTTGTGACAGCTTTTCAAATACTTGCAGAGTGGAATCATATCTCACTTCAGTCTTCTCTTCTCAAGGCTAAACATACCCAGTTCTTTCAATCGCTCTTCATAAGGCTTTGTTTCTGGTCTCTAAGTCATCCTTGCTACCCTCCTCTGAACCCTTTCCAGCTTGGCTGCATCTTTCTTATGCTATTAATGCACCCCAAAATAGCATTTGTCCTTTTGCAGCCACATCACATTGTTGACTCATATAAGCTTTTGATTTACAACAGTTTCAAAATCATTTTCATTTGGAGTATTGTTGAGCCAAGTATTCCACATCTTGTAACAAAGCATTAGGTGCAGAACCTGGCATTTGTACCTATTGAATTCTGCTATTTTCAGCCCAGTGCTCGAACCTGTCAAGATCACCTTGAATCTTATGTCTGTCTTCCAGGGCATTAGCTATCCACCCAGTTGTGTGTCATTTGCAGATATAAGAATTGTTCCCTGCACTTCCTTATCCAAATCATTATTCAAAATGTTAAAGAGCACTAGACCCAGGACTAAACCCTGTGGTATCCCACTTGTTACCTCTTCTCAGTTTGAGAAGGTGCCATTGATGAGAGCACATTGAGACCAATTCAGTAGCAAGCTGTGGATCCACCTCTTAGATGTTCCATTTAGCCCACTTTTAACTAGTTTGCTAATCAGGATATCATGGCACACCTGTGTTTCCATCACAAGCCACAGGGGGTCTCCCACAACTAACTTCTCTTCTTGCTCTTGCAAGTGCTTCAGTGCCACTAATTAGTTGAACTTTACATTCTTGTTAAAGAGAATTGTTGACAGAATATGGAATAGACTGTGTGGTTTCTCCAAGGAAAATAGCAAGAATGGGACGAGGCAAGAGAACTTGTCCAAAAGGATCTGAACAGACTATGGAAGTAGGCAGGAGACCACAGGATGGCATTCAATGTGGATAAGTGCAAGGTCTTATACTTGGGGCATAGGAATGGGTGTCATAAGAACAGGTTAGGGGACAAATGACTGGAGAGCAGCACTTGTGAAAGGGATCTCGGGATGCTGGTTGACTGCAGGCTAAACATGAGTCAGCAGTGTGACGTGGTGGTCAAGAGGGCAAATGCCACCCTTGGTTCCATAGTGTGAAGCGTGGCTTCTAGATCAAGAGAGGTCAATCTACCACTCTATACAACTCTGGTGCGCCCGCAACTGGAGTATTGTGTTCAGTTTTGGACCTCTTGTTACAGGAAGGATATAGCCAGGTTAGAGTCAATGCAATTCTTCGGTGCTCAGCCTTCCTTATGGTCCAACTTTCACAGCCATACATTGCAACTGGGAAAACCATAGCCTGGACTGTACAAACTTCTGTCACCAGGGTGATGTCTCTGCTTTTTAGTATGCTGTCTAGATTTGTCATAGCTTTCCTCCCAAGGAGCAAGCATCTTTTAATTTCTTGGCTGCAGTCCCCGTCTGCGGTGATCTTGGAGCCCAGGAAAATAAAAGCTGTCACTACCTCCATTTCTTCCCCATCTATTTGCCAGGAAGTGATAGGATCGGATGCCATGAACTTAGTTTTCTTGTTGTTGAGTTTCAAGCCAACTTTTGCACTCTCCTCTTTCACTTGCATCAAGAGGTTCTTTAGCTCCTCTTCACTTTCTGCCATTAGAGTGGTATCACCTGCATATCTGAGGTTGTTAATATTTCTCCTGGCAATCTTAATTCCAAATCCTTTCCCAATTTTGAACCAATCAGTAGTTCCATGTCCAGGTCTCACTTTTCTTACTAAGGTGGTCTGGTATTCACACCTCTTTATGAATTTGCCACAGTTTGTTGTGATCCATCCAATCAAAGGCTTTAGCATAGTCAATGAAGCAAAAGTAGATGTTTTTCTGAAACTCCCTAGCTTTCTCCGTGATCTAGCGTATGTTGGCAATTTGTTCTCTAGTTCCTCTCCCTCTTCGAAACCCCGCCTGTACTTCTGGTGGTTCTCAGTCCACATACTGCTGGAGCCTAGCTTGTAGGATTTTGAGCATAACTTTGCTAGCATGTGAAATGAGTGCAATGGTGCAGTAGTTTGAACATTCTTTGGCATTGCCCTTCTTTGGTATTGGAATGTAAACTGACCTTTTCCAATCCTGTGGCCACTGCTGAGTTTTCCAAATTTGCTGGCATATTGAGTATAGCACTGTAACTGCATCATTTTTTAGGATTTTGAATAGCTCAGCTTGAATACTGTCTCCTCCACTAGCTTTGTTGTTGCTCAGACTTTATAAGGCCCACTTGACTTCACATTCCAGGATGTCTGGCTTGAGGTCATCGACCATCCCACTGTGGTTGTCAGGGACGTTAAGCTCTTTCTTCTATAGTTTTTCTGTGTAATCTTGCCACCTCTTCTTATTCTCTTCTGCCTCTGTTAGGTCCCTGCCATTTTGGTCCTTTATCATGTCCATCTTTGCATGAAACATTCCCTTCATATCGCCAGTTTTCTTGAAGGGATCTCTAGTCTTCCCTATTCTATTGTTTTCTTCTATTTCTTTGCACTATACATTTAAGAAGGCATTCTTATCTCTTCTAGCTATTCTCTGGAATTCTGCTTTCATTTGGTTGTATCTTTTCCTTTCTCCCTTGCCTTTTGCTTCCCTTCTTTCCTCAGCTAGTTGTATAGCTTCCTCAGACAGCCATTTTGCTTTCTTGCATTTGCTTTTCTTTGGGATGGTTTTAGTTGCTACCTCTTGTACAGTGTTGTGCACCTCCGTCCATAGTTCTTCAGACACTCTATCAGATCTAATTCCTTAAATCTATTTGTCACCTCTACTGTATATTCATCAGGGATATGATTTAGGTTTAGGTCATACCTGAGTGGCCTAGTGCTTTTCCCTACTTTCTTCAATTTAAGCCTAAATTTTGCAACCAGAAGCTCATGATCTGAGCCACAGTCAGCTCCTGGTTTAGTTTTTACTGACTGTATAGAGCTTCTCCATCTTGGCTGCAGAGCACACAGTCAATCTGATTTCTGTGTTGACCATCTGGAGAGGTCCGTGTGTAGAGTCGTCTCTTGGGTTGTTGGAAAAGAGTATTTGCTATGACCATCGTATTCTCTTGACAAAATTCTACCAGCCTGTGCCTTGCTTCATTTTCTACTCCAAAGCCAAACTTGCCTGTTATTCCAGTTATCTTTTGGCTTCCTACTTTAGCATTCCAATCCCCCATGATGACAAGGACATCATTTTTGGGTGTTAATTCTAGAAGGTGTTGTAGGCCTTCATAGAACCAGTCAACTTCAGCCTCTTCAGCACCAGTGGTTGGGGCATAGACTTGGACTGCTGTGATGTTGAATTGTTTGCCTTGGCTTCGAACTGAGATCATTCTGTCATTTTGGAGATTGTATCCCAGTACTGCTTTTCCTCCTCTTTTATTGACTATGAAGGCTACTCCATTGCTTCTGAGGGATTCTTGCCTGCAGTAGTATACCTGATGGTCATCTGAATTAAATTCACCCATTCCTGTCCATTTTAGTTCACTGATTCCTAAGATGTTGATGTTCAGTCTTGTCATCTCTTGTTTGACCACATCCAGCTTGCCTTGATTCATGGATCTTACATTCCAGGTTCTTATGGAGTATAGATCTTTGCAGCGTCGGACTCTCCTTTCACCACCAGATACTTCTGCAACTGAGTGTCCTTTCGGCTTTGACCCAGTCGCTTCATTCTTTCTGGCATTACTAGCCCTCTGCTCTTCCCCAGTAGCATAGTGGACACCTTCCGACTTGAGGGTCTCATCTTCCGGTGTCATATCTTTTTGCCTTTTGGTACTGTCCATGAGGTTTTCATGGCAAAGATACTGGAGTGGGTTGCCATTTCCTTCTCCAGTGGATCACGTTTTGTCAGAGCTCTCTGCTATGATCTGTCCGTCTTGGGTGGCCCTGCACGGCATAGCTCATAGCTTCATTGAGCTACGCAAGCCCCTTCACCACAACAAGGCAGTGATCCATGAAGGAGAGTGTAACTTATCCTGGAAATAAAACTGCTGGTGGGAAAGCACCTTAAGAACACATTATAGAGTAATCATATTTACTGCCAAGAAACTGCTTACCTGATAGGTCTTGGCCACCCTGTTTTATGCATGTCTTGCAATTCTGATTCAATCTTTTGTACTCAGATTTATCACCAATTTGCTGTTACCAGATTCCTAGAAGACTATTTCTTCTCCCATATAGTAACCATCTTTTGAGATATTGGTCAGATGGATATAGGCTAGATGCAGATCTATCACTCACCTTCTCTGAGTTCAGGATCTTAGCAACTTCCTCAAATCCTTTTCAAACAATTAATGTTATAGAAGCAGTATTACAAAATAATAACCATACAGAACATGCCTAATTCAAAATGGGGTTTGCATCTTGCCCCCGTACAACCAAGCCCTCTAAGTCTCCTTTCTGCTCTGTTCCTGAAGCAACAGCATGCCCTACTTTGTGGGAAATGGAGAAGCAACAGGGCGCTGGGAGGTCTCACAGCCATACAAGAGAGGCCAGAGCAACTTTGGATTCACGGCTGTCAGTCTTGTACAGGTGCATTGACAAGGCATTGCACAATTGGCATTGTACATTCTAGAAGCCACCTTTTTTCACAGAAGCATGTGTGTCATTAAATAATCAGACCTAGTATTCTTCTTTAAAAAGTCTAAAAGTTCTTGTACATGGAATTTATACAGATTTTTTTTTCTGAAACGACTTGTAGGTGAGAAGCAGACAAAGGGAGCTCTGGGAGCAATTGAGATGAAAATCTGTGCCAGGTGAGAACCTTAGTATATTTGATCATAACCAGAAATCAGCATAACAATGAGAGAAGAGGAAAATGTTGTACAAGAAAAATGTTTAACCAATGTGTCAAAAATTACTTCACTTTTAGAGTTTATCAGTAAATATGCATGAAAGTTGAATATTCCACATTTCCACCCAGCACAGGGAACACACATGAAACCATATAACAACCTTTGAAGTTCCAAGGTTTCTACTGACATTGTTAGAAGATGATACATCTCAATTGTATGTTCATCTCTGTGACAGAAATAAGGCTGTGTATGCTGCCTCCTTCCCTCTACTTTCATCCTCCAGTGTGGGCATGGGGAGTAGTTCAGAATTTTTTGCTATTGCTCTTGATTAACCTTAGCTTGTCATATTTATCCAACACTGACAAATTGTGATAAATCTTAATTATGCTTTGTTTGAAACAAACAGTATCAGATGATGTGTTGCGAAGCTGGCATGTTTCAGCAGACAAAAACTAAGATTAATCACATTTAGGGGTCAGGTGTAACACTAAGCTATAATTAATCAAAAATGAAAGTGGAAGGTGCATCAGGGAGGAAGGGTGCCCAATGTGTTGATGTGACACTATGTCCCATTCCTCTCAGCCATACCCTCTGGTGACCTCAAATGCAAAACTGGTCTTACTGGTAAATGTCCTTCTGTTCAGCAGAGGCTGGACCTGAAGTCTGCTCTTGGCGAAGGCTTGTCTGGGTTCGGTGTCTCAGAGTGGGAGGGGAAAAGCACGCTGTGCTGGCTGCTGCCCTCCTGCGGAGGCAGGGTGCTCTATGGCACATTCTTCTCTCTGTTTGGTCCACATTGCCAGGGCAAGTCATACGTAGCATTTGTTAGTGAATGGAAAGGAACTGTTATTCTTCGTGGTCTCTGTGCATCACACATATGGCTCTTCGCACATGCATGGAGCAGTTTTCAGGAAGATTCTAAAGCTGATTAATTAGTATTCGGTGGGAGCCTGGCCCCAAACGTGACTATCATGAGGGTAGGGCTCCTGCCAAGACCAAATTCTGCTTCGACTGCCATCATGAGTGCATCGGGAAGGTTGTCTCCTTGTGAGTTATATGAGGTAACTCTCTCTTTTCTCTTCTCGTCTTCTCCCTATTGCTTGAAGCAAAGAGAGAGTGGGGGAGATAAATGACACCTTACAGTGGTTACTGCTTAGGCCCTTTCGTCGCGCCTTGTCAGCCAGACGAGAGGGCACTTAAGGCCACTTTCTGCAAGTGCACTGCATGTGGTAGCAAACTTCCTCCGGCTGACGGTCACTCCCTTTGTCTTTTCTACTTGGGAGAGTCGCATGATGTTGAGTCTTGCTATCATTGCCAAGCTTTTATGAAGCAGGCAAGGAACCATCAGGCTGACTGTTTAAAGGCGGAACTTTGGAGCCGCACCTTGGACACTGAGGACCCTCAGCCGTCCACCTCGGTGGCTTCGGCTGCCACCCCGGACGACTTGCCATCTCCTCCACCAGCAAGGATACCCAAGGTGGCAAAACAAAAAAGGCGGAAAAGAAAGCAAAGCCACCAAAATCGCTCACCCTTATTATTTATTTATTTATTTATTTATTTAAAACATTTCTATGCCGCCCCCATCGCAACAAAGCCTCGGGGCGGCTCACCAAGAATACACCTCAGCACTATCGGTCGCTGCCTCTATTCTTCGTCAGTCCTCTCTATAAAAACGGTCACTTACCAAGCTACCACAGCCAGATATCACCTTATGCTTTGGGACAGAATGGCTTCCCTGTGCTCCTCGCTACCCAAAGAGGCTCAAGTCCTGAGAATGAGATCAAGAATGGGGCTACTCGCTTGGCCAGGCAGGAGATCCTCACAGTGTGACACAAGGCTGAGGGTGGTACACGCAATATGACAGGAGCAATAGTCTCCACTGCTTCATGTGGCTTCAATCTTCCGGCTTGTCAGGCAAAGCCAAGGCATGGATCAAAGATATGCCATTCGACGGCAATGGCTTATTCCATGAGACCAAGTCTCCCTTCAAACGCATGTACTCGTGCAATCTTCACCTCCTTTCATGGAAAACTGCCTTTCTAGTGGCCATTACTTCTGCCCGAAGAGCAGCTGAGCTAGCGACCCTCCGGATTGACACTTCATATACTGTCTTTCATAGAGACAGTCATCCTCCAACCTGATCCTACCTTCCAACCTTATTTCCATATCAATGAGCTGATAATTCTGCCCTTGTTCTTCCATAATCCCTCTACTCCTATAGAGACCACTCTACATTCCCCAGATGTCAGAAGGGCTCTTGCCTTTTATAAATCAAGAACGCAATCCCTAAGACAGACTCAAAGGCTGTTCATCCTTTATGGTGAGCCACACAGAGAACACCCGATATCTCCTCAAAGGCTCTCTGGGTCCATACCATTTGTGTGGCCTATGCCCCCCCTACCTTCAATTCTCTGGACCTGTCAAGGCTCACTCAACTAGACCCACATCCACCTCTACTGCACTCTATGCTGGAGTGTCCCTGACTGACCTCTGTAAGACAGCCACATGGTCTAATCCGTCAACCTTCATTAGACACTACTGCCTCGATGTCAAATAAAGAGAGGACTGTGCCTTTGGTAGATCCATCCTCTCCACTGTACTCCACTGAGTGACACCACCCTCCTCCTAGAGTTAAACTCTCCAGTCTCCCATATGTGTGATGCACAGAGACCATGAAGAATAAAGACAAGTTCCCTTACCTCTAACTGTTGTTCTTTGAGTGGTCATCTGTGCATTCACACATACCCACCCGCCGTCCCCTCTGGTGTCTCTCTTGGACACGTGGGTTATTCTGCATCATTCACACAATGATGATGGCGGTCTCAGCTTTGAACTGAGGTCTCGGCCGGAGCCCCACCCTCACACTAGCTGTGTAGGGGGCCCGACTCCCACCAAATACTATTTAGTCAGCTTTAGAATCTTCCAACAAAACGGCATGCACGAAGCAGCATGCACGAAGAGCCCATATGTGTGAATGCACAGATGACCACTCGAAGAACAACAGATACAGGTAATGAAACCTGTCTTTCTTTAGAATTGTACTTGTGTAGGTTTTTGTAAGACATATGAGGTTGAAGTACAGCTCAAGTTGTCCTACTGCTGAGGCAATTTCTCCTCTCATAGGAAATGTATTAATCCCTTAGCCCTGCCTTCTCATGGAGTTAATGGAGAGCAGTTAATCTCTTCCAGAAGAATACATCATGATAAATCTGACTTTCTGTTTCCTTGGTCTTCTTTTTTTCTTCCTGACTTCAGGTACCTTGGTGAAATAGATGCCGCAATGACAATGATTGATGTTTCCATGCTCACTGGTTTTATTCCTGATACTGAAGAACTCAAGAGGGTAGGTGAGGCCTGCTTCATGCAGGAAACAGTTTCTTGATAGCATGATCCTGGGCATGTTTCCTTAGAAGTAGGGTTGCCATCCAGTTAAACAAAATTTAACTGATTATCATTTCAGTCAGCTAAATAAACAAACTGTTCATTAAATTTACATATATTTGCACAAGGGTGAAATGATACTTCTGAGGCAAGAAGCATACTTCCCTTGATTTCAAATGTTTTGTAGTAAGAATCATGTTAGAAGGAGCATAAATTCTGTCTGAGAGAGGTGGGAAAATGTATTTTTGGAAAGTTCTTCTCACCTGGTAGTACTCACAGGTAGTGGTATTATAATATTTAAATATAATTGCTGCCCAATTAATCTGAAGTACAAGTCTACCTGATTAAACTTTTAAAAATTGACTAATTGGCCTAATCAATCAATAAAAGAATATATCCTTACTCAGAAGTAACTCCCACTATTTCCAGTTGTTTACTTTACCATAAATGCATTTCAGATTAGAGCCTTAGCTGTCCTTTGGAATAATTTAATTGGAACAAGAAATTCACTGCAAGCAATGAAAAACTCTTAGCTAACAGATTAGATCTGCAGAAAGGATAATTTCAGACTAATTGTGAATGCTACCATTTCTCCTGCTTTGACACATTGTTTACTAGGCTGCACACAAGAGAGTGGCTGACCCCAGCCTGCTCATGCCAGCAGGTGTCTATGTAACTATAGACTTGGCAAAGGCATCACATAGATGTTGTCACTAAAGCCTGCCTACCATGAGGCCAGGTGAGGTGGCCGGTTACAACTGGTGTGCAGTTAGGAAGGTAGGAATGGGAAAGAAATCTGTTCCATTTCCATTATAATGGGAGAGTACTTAATTCCAAACTTTCAGGTCAATATACAAACCGAAAGTCAATGATCCTTAAAAATTCATGCTTCTCCAAATTTTGCAACAGATTTCTTGAAAAATGCATATATTGCAGAAAAGTGCACACAAAAATATGTCTATTGGTGAAAATAATTTTAAAATGCATTATAGCTGATTGTTTAAAAAATGTTCAGAGAAATGTTCGCAAAGTCGGACTTGAAAATCTTGGTGATATCTTCAAAGCAGGACAGCTAAAGTACTGTCCTCTTTGACTCATTATTGCACATGTATATGTATTTAAAACTAATGTAATTTAATTTAATGTAATTTTATTAGGTTATGTATCTGTATTAATCTATGCTATTGTTGTATTATTTTATAATGTATTTTAAATGTTTGGTGTTAGCTGCCTAGAGATGCCATGGGTGAAATTGACAGCTTATAAATGTTTTAAATGAACAAACAAACAAGCATGCAGACACAATCATATGGGAATGCCTCTAAGCCCCTGAATGCAGAGCTTACAGGCATCCAGGGCAGAGCAGGTGGAGTGATGGGGGCTATCTTCACCTTCCCACTCTTCCTGCTCTGCATTTTCTTTCCTCCATCTAGCAATGGCTTTTCGGAGGTGGAATGAGGGAGGCTGAAGCAGCTGAAGAGCCTCCTACCCACCCTCTGAATGCCCCTTGTCTTGCTCTCTGAGATCGCTTTTCCAACCTTGGAGAGCAGCTTGCACACTTCTGCCAGCTGTCTCTGACCTCCAAGCTGGGATTCTAGAGACCATGACATAATTCTCTAAAAGAATTGCTTCCTATTAATAAATGGAATCAGTATGATGCTATTATCTGTTGATAGCTAGGACAAACATGTGATTAAATGCTATGAGCAACTCCTATTTAGGGATGTGCAAAAGCCCTCTGAGAAATTTTGCACATTTTATCAAAATTTTCCAAATCTTTGCTGCATATTGAAACTCCCACATTCATCTTAGATAATATGTTCTGATCCTTACTTGCTTGTGTGAACCATGCAAAACAGGGCAGGTACCAATGATGTTCTCTCTATTAGCTTTCTGAAGGAGTCGACAAATATATCACTCAATTTGAAATAGACAACATCAAGTCGGAAAAAGGGAACCTCCTCCTCTATTTGTACAAGGTAAAGGATCATAGAAGAGAAAACTGGTACAATATATGCAAGTCTGGGATGCAAAGGTTGAGGTGTGGATATTTTCTTTAGCTGATTCAAAAAGCATTTTATATATTTTTCCATTAAAAAAATGTAGTCCACTTTTCAAACACGTATTCAAGGTGGTTAGCAAGTTCCCCTGGCAGCTTTTGGGGCATGTTTGCACAATCATAGAATGTTTGCTTATTCCATTTCCAAACCCCTGCTCATGGGTGGTCTTGTCCAAACCCAGCAAGAGTGGGTTGTTGGTATGATTTACAAATGACTCTAAACCCATAGGTTGTCTTAGAGTTGTAGCTGGTTTGTTAACCACCTCAACAGTCCACCCTCACTGGTTTTGGATGATGCAACAATCTACAAGTGAAGAATGGACACCCAGCCTGCCAGTGCCTTAAGCCACAATGGCAAATCAGGAATTGGTAACAATGCATGTGATTTGCATTGCCAAACAGGGAGGCAGGTTAGACTGAGGGACAAAGCCTAGAGTGGAGCTTTGAAGCCAAGTCAAGACCTTGAGAGATCTCAAATACCTTTTAAAAATTGCATAAAACTAAGCATTGGTGAGCAATGAATCAGATCCCCTCAGGCAAGCCAATCAATCACTGAAAATCTGTGAGAGGATGTTTCAGTATTTAAAAGCATACTTCAAGGGACCCAGTTCCATCCTGAAAGGTTCACTGTGCGAACAAACACAACAGTATCTGGCAGTGGCTTCCCTCCATGCTTCTCATAAGCTGAAGATGTTGCTGAAACATTTTTTCCTAGAGTTATAAGTTTTACCATAGCACTGCCATTATCCCTGGTGGAAATGTCAGAGTCACATTCTGCTAGGAATAATGGGAATTGTATTTCAACTCCAGGAAACCTGCACAAAAAAACCCAGCATCCATATGCTAGCACTCTTGTGTTTAAAAGGAGAATCCCTACCACACATGGCTGCCGGAGCTATTGTTATTACTTGCTACCCTGTCCTGTTCCCAATGTATGTTTTTCCTCTGGGAATGAGGTCAAACTGTTTCTCCATCCCCACCCCAATTCTGCTCTCAGAGCTCAAGCAGAGGTGTTTCCCTGCATGATCACAACATTTCTGCTTTGAAAGAGAATTTCACTGTGTGGGGTTTGAATAAGTTGATGAGGAGAGGCTGATAAAGATGATACATAAAATCAATTCCCCTTCACATGCTACCAGCAAACATCTGCTCCCTGTTTGAAGGCAGATATTGCTTGTTCTAAGAATGCAAACAGGAGTGCTAGATACTTTCCTGTGCCTCTTTAGGGAGGAATGAAGAACTCAGTGAGAATTTAGAAGAACTCCAAGCTAAAATGGATCAGGTCTGGACCTGCTGAGAAGGATAAGCCTCTCTTCTTTAATAACCCATTGTTGATGCCTTAGCTGTCTTCAGATTAAATTGTCTTTCTGCATACTTAAGGAATTGCTGATAGATGGCATGAGATATGCATACAGAAGACAAACACAAAGAAAGATGCCTTATTCTTTATCCTCACTGGGAAGGAAGGGGGCCGCAACTTCCTTCCCAATGAGGTGGAAGACATGCATTTACCTTATCTCTCACTCGCCCTGACTAGCATGTACTAAAGGAACCGTGGCCATAATGTCTGATGTAGGTGTTCCGTTCCCCATGTGGCCAGCCAGGAATCCACATGCAGGACCACCTCCCACATATGTTCCCCAGCAACTGGCATCAAACTACTGGACTGAGAAAGTCACATCTTTCCTTCTCAGGCTTTTCCTGTTTCACGGTGTCTCCTCCTGAAACAGAGCCAGTCTGATTCTCGCTAGCCGCTTGGCTTATCTTGAAGTTTATGAACCTTGCACTGTGACAGGCCCATGCTTTTGCCATTCCCATTCTCAGAACTCCTTACAACAGCAAACAGAAACCTGAACCCTACAAGGAATCTGCTTTACCTTTTTCCATCATTTCCCCTGATTAGAAAGGTTCTTACCAAAATGGATCAGACAGAGGGGATTCCTATCACTCCTTGGTGGCCAAAACAGGCATGGTTTCTAATACTTCTTTACCTATTCAAGGGTAAACCTGTCCCCTTGGAACCAAGAGGGATATGGTACAACTGATGGCATGGAAGATGCACCCTTGATTCCTGAAACAAACTTCTCTTTGGTGCTTCATAGTATGCCTGATGTGGTGAGGAAACCCTCTACTAAACATTCCTATAGTAAGAAATGGAAGGATGCTTCATCTTTTGTTGTTGCTTCTCATGTGGATCCTCTTTAGTGTCCAGTTCTCCACATCCTTTGGTATTTACTCTCTTAGAGTGTGGGCTTATGGTGTTATTGATTTACAACCATTTCTGTCACAACCATTTCTGTCTATTTATTTATTGACATATTTTTATAGGCTGCCTATAATTGCCGAGGCCTTCCTAGGCAGCTTACAATGCAAAACATACTAACAGGGTAAAAACATTAAAAACCAATTAAAACATAATGAATTAAATATCTATAAAAACAGTTAAAAGTCTATCATATGCCAGAGGATGTGGTTTTGGTTTTCTCTCATCCATTGTAGCACCAATTTTTCTAGGGAGTCCAGAATATTATAATGCCTTTTCAGGCTCTCACAGTGGAATCTCTCCATTGTGTTAAGGCCCCTGACATCAAAGCTACTCAACCCATTGATTATGATGGACTTTTGGCAGCTGTCCTGGAGGGTGGGCTTTCTTGTAGACATGACTTTGGATCTAGCAAGTTGTGCACTGTCCAGGTGGAGTCTCTGTATATGATCTTCTATACAGACAATGATGCGCTCCGTGCTCACATAGCTTTTATCCTGAAGGCTGTCTTAGATGTTCATGTTAAGCAGGATATAATTCTGCCTTTTCCCCCAGCTCCAGATTCTCCTTTGAAATTAATTCTTCACCTGCCCATTATCCACAGGGTTTTAGCATTCTACAAGTCACAGACCTAATCCTTTTGTCAGTTGCAGCAGCTTTTCCTGTGCTAAGTGTCAAGGATTTCCTGTCTCTTTCTTGTACTTTGCATCCTGGTTTATTCAAACAATTAATCTTGCTTGCAAACTGGCACAGTTGGAGCTTTCAATATAGTTAAAGTGCATTCTACCCATGGAGTAGATAGGTGTGCCCCCTACATAAGTTATGCCCAGTGGTTACCTGATCGAAACCATCCACATTCATTCATCACTATCACCTGGATGTCTGTACCAGGGCTGTCCCGTCTTTCAATGTAGTGGTGCTGTCACCCATACTTCAGTGATGACGCCTTACCCAGTGGTAAGTCAGATTGCTATTTGCTCTTATCTGCACAGATTGCTCTTATCTCAGAGCAGAAAGAGAGCTTGATTACCTCTAACTTTAGTTCTTTGAATGGTTGTCTCTGCATTCACACAGTCGATCCATCATCCCTACCTGGATGTCACTGGTGACTTCAGCATGATACCAGAGTTGGCTATATTTTCAATATTTTCATTGTTCTCTGTATTAGTATTGACAGTGAGATTTCTCTCTGTTCTGAAGTCACAATATTCCACCTTGAGAATCAGCTTCAGGGAGTGGGGTTATTTGGTTTCATACAGTGAAGTGTGTAAGTGCTGTCAAATGGGCAGAAGTGACAGTTCTCCCACTAACTCATGGAATCGTGGAGGAAACCTCAAAGGCATTTCATCTAACCTTCTGCCAGTACACAAAAAACCATCACAGCAGCACTCAATACATATTCATCCAACTCAATATGTAGTCATTCGATCACCATTTAATAAGCCATAACAAAGGAGAACCTGCCATCTTCTGCAGCTGCCTATTTCACTACTGATCGCTTATACCATCAGAGCCTTCTTCTTAGTGTTGAGTCAAAATTCCCTTTCCTATCACTGGAACCTATTGGTTTGGGTCCTATCCCATAGTGGACCAACAGAAGACAATTTGCTCCATCATATATGTGACAGTTCTTCAAGTATTTGAAGGTGGCGATCATATCACTTCTTGTCTCTTCTCCAGTCTAAACACGCCCAAACTTTCCTCAGGGATTTGGTCATCATCTTTGTCACCTTCCTCTGAAGATATTTTTTATACTGGGGTACCCAGAGTTGAGCATAGTGTTAGACTTATTTATTGTAAGCTGCCCTGAGATGTTCTGTAGGGGGCGGGATAGGAACACTTTTAATAAATAAATAGTGTTCTATGTGAAGTCTGACCAAGTATCATTCTTCCTCATGATCTTGACACAGTGATGCATCACGTGCTGCACAGTGATGCTAATTCAGTGATGAATTACCCTTTTCCCCTGCTGTTCTGTCTTTGGAATCAACTAAAATCCTAAATCTTTCTCTGTTATCAAACCAGGGGTCACCCATCTTTTGCATACAAAGCCAAGTAGGTCTTCCTGGATAACCTCCATACACTGAAAATAATGAACATTCACACTAAGTCCAACATTCACAATCAGTCAACAGAAGATTGACACCTAAAGACTTGTTCTCTCTCTTTTCTCCTCATCCTAGGTTTCCCATACACAGGATGAATGTCTGCAGTTTAAAGCATACAAGCATTTTGAAGTTGGTTTCCTTCAGCCAGGATCAGTTAAGATCTACAGTTATTATGCTCTAGGTAATGGCAACCATAGCAGTCCTAAGGGCTCAACTTAGTTCAGACTGAATGCACTGTGAAACATGAATGGGTTTTGAATATTAGGGGAAGGGGGGCAGATTGTCCCCATTTGTGAAATGAATACCATCTATATGAACACCATATAGTACCAACAAGCAGCCACGGTGAATCAAAACACCATTGAATTACAGGTGTTTTACCAAGGCATGAAATGACAAAACAGCAGTGTGCTTTGGGGGCAGAGTGGGTGAGCCCAAGGTATTTTGCTGCTCAAGAAGCAACACTGCTTAATTCAACAGGTGCCTCTCTAGGGTCACTTGCAGTGACACAGGACTACAGAGGACCCATTGGTGCTCGTGGGCTCCATTTGGCCCCCAAGGTCATTTTAATTGCTAAAAGCTGCATCAGATCCAGGTGTGGCAGCATTGTATCCACTTTTGAGAGTTCCACTCAAAAGGAAAATGAAAGTCCTTTCAAGGTGTATGGAATAATATTCTGTATGTTGTTACTTCCTGTGCATGGATGCTCGGCAACAAGGAGGCCCTAGACTACTAGATGGCACTGCCTCTATTGCACAGTGTGACCTCTTGTAAAGGAAATGGTTTGCTTCCAGCGCCCTTAGACTGCTATGTAGAAAATAGTAGCCCCCCTGCACGCACGCACGCACACCTGAAGAGTACAGAAGACAGCCCTTCCTATTGCAAGAGAGGTTACAATATAACTGATTAAACTTGACTCCAAGTATGTTGTGGCACATATGCAGCTGACCTGACTCTCTTCATGCATAAGGTCAGGTTAATATGTCACCAATATTCTCCTTGAGAGAAATAATTTCCCCACTCTGTATGCTCCTCAAAGCTTTCCTGTTTGATTTCTACCTTAGGATATAATCTAAGGACAATATATATGGGAGGAAACTGCACTGAATTAAATGGGATTTTACGTCTAAGTAGACATAACCCGTATGTCTGTTCTACTGTAACTCATAAAGTACAAACCTTTTCCAGTTTGGAGTAGCTTGGGACATTTCTTTCCTTTACTGATTGCAGATGAGCAGTGCACCAAGTTCTACCACCTATCCAAAGACAGTGCTGTCTTCAGTAAGTTGTGCCAAGGTGCTGTTTGCCAGTGTGCAAATGGTAAGTTTGGGAAAGGTGGGGAGATGCTGCTTCTGCTCACTCCTGCTGAGACTTAGAGGGGTTGGAATATGGGGTAATATGGGATCTAAGAGCTCTGGATTCGTCAGAATCAATCCAGGGTGGATCTATGATCTGTAGGATGATTTAGGGCAGAGTGGGCCAATCTTCTGATGTTCTGAAGTTCAACTTCCTGAAGTCCCTGACAGCAAGCTCAGTTATCAGGAACATTGAAAGCTGGGCATCCACCTTCTGCCCATACTTGGTTTAGGGGGGTGATGCTGTTTAATTCTGCAAATTATGAGATTAACAGAATTGGGTGGCAAGTAGCTTCTCCACTCCAGGGCATACATTTAAGTGGCAGAGACAGAACAGAGGAATCAATGTTTTCTGGTCATGTCATCTTGCCTGTTATGTTGCACCAATAATTTTTGTTGTCACTAGGGGAATGACTAACAAAAGAGTAGCTGTTATGCATTACAATTTTATAAAACCACTTTTAGTTATGTTTTAAGCATAATATCTTTTGCCCATATCTGGCCAGATAATTCTGTGAATTAAACCCATTTCTATGAAGAGACGGTGTAAGTGTTGAAGTATTGTTAGGAATGCTGATGAATTTAAAAACATATTTGAAAACATAGCAGTCCCTGGTGAGAATAGCAGCCATTTCAAGGTTATCTGTAATCTGCATAGTATTGAACAGACCATTCATCTGCTAGATTCCAGATTAATGCAACTCATGGGAACCAATCACCAGTGATCCATAAAGCTGAGCAGTAAGCAGGACATAGACGGAAAATGCAGTGAGCACCCAATTGGAATTCTGCTCCAGTTGCCTTAGCATTGTTTTTGAAAAGAGACCCCGGCTGTCCCAGTGATCAGTGGCACATCTACTTAGTTATTCCCCTGAAAGACCCTAAAGAAATCTTCATTCTCTATCTTTCCCCGCTACCCCTCCAGAAAACTGCTACAAGCGCTATGAGGCAGATGACCCTGTCAACGTTCAGAAGCGAATAAATGAAGCTTGCAAGCCAGGAGTGGATTATGGTAACTACAATTTAGATTGCAGAAACCTGTAAATATAGAAAGAGCCATTTGCACTGTTAATGTTCAACATAGTACAAGAGTCTAGCACTTGGGCTGGATCTCAGTGCCTCATGGTAGGTGCATTCTGCCCACATGATGAGCTGCTGCTCATCCATTATGCCTTTTCCTATGGAATTTGTGTTACCTTACGTTGCAGTGCAGATGCATCGCAACTCTTCACGTATTCTAGGATTATGTTTGTTCAGATTTTTTAAATCGTATTTTTATCATACTTTTCAACAAAGCAAAACCATGCAAAAGAAAAAAGGAGGAAAGAAAGAAAAATAGATTCAGATCTATGTAGGTATACATCTATCAGGTGGAGATAAATGTCATCAAACTCAGACCAAATCTTTATTTGCATGTACTGTCTCTATGCAATCTGGTCAGATACAGAAAGTGCTATTAAGTTTGCAGTCCACTGTATTATAAGAGGTGAGCAATTCCCTTCCCAGTGTAATAATATTATTATTTTCATTTCCATGGTAAATATTAGCCAAAGTTCTCTAATTGTTTAACAATAAATTAAGCAATCCAATAAAATACAAGTAAAAGCATAAAATTCCAATGCAAAATTTAAATTAGACTTCAAAACAATTTCAACTACTCAAACAAGTTCAGTAAAGTTAGACCTGACTTATATGGCTTTATAGGTAAAACCAGCACCATGAATTAGGCTTAGAAGCATGCAGGCAACCAAAATCAGCAAGCCAGACCTGGTGTTACATGCTAGAGCCTTCTGGTCCCAATTATTAATCTGACTGCTGAGCTTTGCACAAGCTGCAGCCCCTGAACAGTCTTCAAAGGCAGTCCCACATAGACAGCTTTGCAATAATCTACTTTGAATATTACTAGAACTGAAGCCAGGCTATCCTTCTCCAAGTAGGGGTGCAGCTGGTCTACCATCTGAAGCTGGCAGAAGGTACTCTGTGTCACTGCAGCAACTTGAATTTCAAGTGACAAATAAGGCTTGAGGAGGACCTCCAAGTGATGAAGCTTTTGCTTCAAGGGGAGTACAACCTTGTCTAAACCTGGTTGAATACCCTCCATCCAGTCAGAAGAACCTGCTACTAAAAGTATCTCAGTCTTGACTAACTTGAATGTTGGTTTCTTAGCCCTTATCCACACCAGGGTTGCAGCAAAGCACTGGTTTTAGATCTCCATAGCCTCACTTGAGGAAGATGAAAAAGAGATGTAGACTTAGAAACATTGAAACATAGAAACAGAATGAGTCAGAAGGGGTCTCCCAGGCCATCTAGTCTGACCCCCAACTCCAGCCGGCTCCGCTCATGACATGCCCACCATGGGCATGTCTAGCCTATCCTTGAACACCCTCAACATTGGGGCCTAGACCACCTCCCGTGGAAGCCCATTCCACACCCTCGGGGTCCTAACCGTCAGGGAGTACTTCCTGGCATCTAAATTAAACCTTCGTTCCCTGAGCTTCACTCCACTGGAGCGCATCCTGCCCTCCTCTGCAGGGGAGAAAAGGTCTTTACCCACCTCCGTGTGACACCCACTTACATACCTGTATGTTGCCAACAGAGCGCCTCTGAGTCTCCTCTTCTCCAGGCTGAAGAGACCCAGTTCCCTCAGTCTCGTCTCATAAGGCATCCCCTGCAAACGGCCACCAATCTTGTGGCCCTATGCTGCACTGACTCTAACCTGAGTATATCCTTCCTGTAATGAGGGGCCCAAAACTGAGCACAATACTCCAGTTGTGGGTACACCAGAGTCGTATACAGTGGTAGTAATACCTCTCTCGATCTAGAAGCCACACTTCTGGCTATGCAACCAAGGGTGGTGTTCGCCCTCTTGACCACCGCATCACACTGCTGACTCTTGTTTAGGCTACAGTCAACCAGGACCCCGAGGTCCCTTTCACAAGTGCTGCTCTCCAGCCACTTGTCCCCTAACCTGTACTTATGACACCCATTCCTACGCCCCAAGTGCAAGACCTTGCACTTATCCACATTGAACGCCATCCTGTTGTCTCCTGCCCACTTCCATAGTCTGTCCAGATCCTTTTGGATCTGAAGTACCTGCTCCTCAGTTGTGGCCACTGCTCCAGTTTTAGTATCCTCTGCTAATTTGATCAGCAGACCGTTCACCCCTTCTTCCATGTCATTGATGAAAAAATTAAACAGGACCGGCACCAGGACAGAGCCGTGGGGGACCCACTTGTCACTGGCCGCCATCCTGATGATTCCCCACTAATGGTTACTCCCTGCTTTCGGTCAGTCAGCCATGCCCTAATCCATCAGACAGTGAATTGGTCTATCCGTTGTTTCTCAAGCAGGATATCATGTGGCACTTTGTCAAAGCCCTTGCTGAAATCCAGGTAAATCACATCCACTGCATCCCCGCTATCTAGCCCCTTAGAAACCTTGTCATAGAATTCCACAAGGTTTGTCTGGCAGGACCTGTTATTGCTGAAGCCGTGTTCTGTGGCCGCCACCCTCCCTTCCCTATCTAGCATCACTAGATCTCTCGCTACTATGAGCCTTTCCATTGTTTTTCCTACACTGGACATAAGGCTAACTGGTCTGTAATGCCCCATGTCCCTTCTACTACGCATTTCGTGTATTGGGACTACTGATGCCACCCTCCAGTCCTCTGGAACTTCACCCATTCTCCACGAGGCCTCAAAAATGGAGGCCAGCGGGCATGAGAGAACCCCTGCCAACTCTCGGGTGTAACCCGTCAGGGCCTGGTGCCTTTGTAATGTCCAATGCCCTGAGGAGCCCTTCGACTTCAAGGGGGGTGACTCTAATTTGTGCCCCTAAGTCCCCGGCCTCATCTAATCTCCTGTGCGGATCTCCTCCATCCTGCTTTGGGGTGAACACAGAGGCAAAACACTCATTTAGCTTCTGTGCCTGTTCCCTCATATCAGTCATTGGTGCCCCTTCCTCCTTATTTAGCGGTCCCACCACTTGTCTCGCCTTCCTCTTGCTATTTACATGCTGATAAAAGCACTTTTGTTTGCTCAAGATATTCTTTGCAAGTACCAGCTTTTAATCAGCCTTAGCGTTGTGAAGAATCCTTCTGCATCAGGCCTCCCAGTATACCCATTTGTCTATTTGCCCTAGTACCCATTTCCTACGGAGGTTCTAATCCCTCTAAGCACCTCCTTTCGCATCCATGGCAGCGCTGTCCTTTGCCTCCCCGCCTTACTAACTAGAGGTATCGTCAAGCCTTGCACCTCCAAAACCTCCCTTTTGAGTGCCATCCACCCCTACTCAACTTGCTTGTCTTCCAGTAACCTATTCCAGGAAACTTCCCATTTTGGCCTTCAGTTGACCAAAGTTGGCCCTCTTTAAGTACCAGTTTCTAGTGTTCGACCTGCTGCACGTCCCCATTCCCGATTTCAAAGAAAAGGATTGAGTGATCACTATCATCCAGAGCTTCCCTAATCTGTACCTCATCTATCAGCTCCTCCCTGTTGGTCAAGACCAAGTCATGAGTGTTCCCCCCTCCCCCCTCCAGCTGCCTCTCAGGCCCTCTGTGTGAAAATCCCTCCCTCTATAGCTTCTAGGAAGCGATGTGACCTGGCTGTCACCGCTGACTGAAATCTCCCATAATTACTGTGTCCTTCCCCCGAGATATCCTTGAATCTCCTCCGTCAGGACATCATCCAGGGTCTCAAGTTGACCGGGGGGGTGATAACATTCCCCCACTGTCAGGTCCCTCTCCCTGTCAAAACCCCTTAGTTTCACCCAGACTGCCTCTACCAGATCCCCTATCTCACTGCATCCTATCCCTTCCCTGACGTATAAAGCCACGCCCCCCCACTCCACTTTCCCTTCCTGTCCTTTCTAAACAGGTGTTAACCCTCCATGTTTACATTCCAGTCTTGCCTTTCATCCCACCAAGTTTCTGTGATCCCCTCCAGGTCATACCCTCCTATTCCCAGGAGAGCTTCAAGCTCTTCCTGCTTATTACCTTTGCTCCTCCCATTGGTGTACATGCACCTCAACCCCGTCCCACAGCTTCCTTTCTTTGGAGTCCCCAGGCTCCTCCTTCCTCCCATCTTCCCTGATACCGGCCCTCTCTTTGTAGGAGTTTTGTCAGTCCCTGCAGTACCTCTAAAACCCTGGTTCCAAAGCCCTGATCCTCTCCTCACACTCGTCCAGTGCAGACAAGTTTCTGGGGGGCCCGTACCCACCCCCCGGCTCAGTTTAAAGTCTCCTGGACAAAGTTCGCTAGAGCATCTCTAAAGGACCTTTTCCCCATCCTTGTGAGGTGCAACCATTCCTTGCCAGAATTCCATTGGCAAGAAACCGGGTGCCGTGGTCGAGGAACCCGAAGCGTTCCTTCTGGTACCACACCTAAGCCAGTTGTTCACCTCAGTGACCCTCCTATCCACCTTGCCCAAATCCCCAGACCGGTAAGATAGATGAGAATGCCACTTGGGCCTTAAGGTCCCTGAGTTTCTTCCCCAAGGCCTCCAAGTCCCTGGTGGTCCCATCCACACCCTGCCTGGCTATGTCATTTGTCCCGCATGGATCACCAGAAGCGGCTGGTGACCCCCAAGTGGAGCGAACAAGATGCTCCACATTATCCTTCACATGCTGGATGTGTGTGCCTGGCAGGCAACAGACCTCCCTCGCCTCAGGGCTGGTGCGGCACACTTCCGCCTCCGTGCCCCTCAGCAGGGAGTCCCTGACGACAATCACCTGCTGCCATCTCCTCCTGGTGGTGGTAGGCAGCCGTACCCTGGCCCTTGCCTCTCCTGCAGTGGCCCCCTTGCTGCTTGTGGTCCTAGGCTGGGGATCCTGCTGGTCCCCCAAGGCCTCATCAGCCCCAGCCCCTCCAAGCGGAGAGAACCTGTTTCCCAGCTCCAGATCGGTGCCAGAAGGAGGAGGCCATGCTGGCCTCCTCCTCCTGTGGGTGACATGCCTCCATGTCTCCCTGGCTGTTCCTCCCGTGGCCCCTCCCTCAACCCTCTGTCCAGAGGGGGGCTGCTCCGGGGGGGGCCTGGAGAGCTCTCTCGGCCCTCAGGCACCTCACCTCCTCCTCTAGGAGGGTCAGCCCCTTGCACAAAGGACAAGTGTGTGTCACCAGCATCATGATGGCAGTACACCCCAAAACACCAGATGATGCCACTTGAGTAGTTTCATGTAGACGTTAAATAGCATGGGAGAAAAAGCCAACCCCTGTGGAACCCCATACTGGAGTGTAAGACCTTCTTATGCTGGAAGTGCCTAGTAGTTATTTTGCAGCACCTGAACAATTCTACAATGTCCTTCAGGCCAGCATTTAATAGTTTCCAGCTGGCCTGAAAGGCCTTTGGTGGACTACAGACCAAAAACAGAGAAGAGGCTGTGAGATGTTCCTTTGCTGCCATCACTGCCCCTATGTAAATCTGACTATAGGCACATTGCAGGTTTTGATTCCTCCACGTGCGCTTAAGACGTATCCTGTTCTGTTTCATTGCTCTCAATGCCACTACAAAGAAGTCATTTTGGAGTGATTGCGTCAGCCTCCTGGGTCATCTCTGTTGACCAGGGATTTAACAGGACCACCAACTGTATCAGCTGGAAAATTCCCTAGTGCCCATGTTGGGGGCAGACCACTTTAATAAATTCCCCACCCTTTGCGGGGGGCAGCTTCTGCCAGTCTAAATTCCAGAAGCTTTGACCATGATAAAGGGACCCCAGTGGATTGATAACATGCCAGGACATTCCCATGGGTGTCATGGAATTCACCATCTCCTGAGTCACTTCAGATTAATTATCCTCAGCATGAATGTTTATGTAGACCAAGATCAGTAGCCTGGGGGACCTCTGCATCACAATGGAGACAGACCCAGTCAGCTCAGGTGGGGAGCCTGCTGAGTTGCAGGCTGGGCCGTACGTACATCAGCAGAACCCCCCATTTTTCCTGCAGGCCCAGCACAACATTCTAACATTCTAGCCTTCTAGCCAGACAGGCAGTTGGACCTAGAGAGTGAGATGAAATTCTTACAGCCCACAGCGACCCACCCTTCCTGGCATTCGGGTCTATCCTGATGCTGAACCAAGTACCCCAGTGGACATCACTGGGAGAAACTGTCTCCTCCACGCTCATCCAGCCTGCTCTTGGTAATGTATGCCAAATCAATCACTTCATTCGCTGCCAAATCATGAATGAACAGGACCTTACTTTGGCGGCATCATCTGGAGACAGGCTGGTAAGTTAGCCACCAAAACTGCCGACGTCAGGAGGGCTGCAGCACAGCACAGCTACTCATCATCTGGGCTGCATTCCTCTTACCTCCTACAGTCAGACTGGTCCCCTACCACAAGTCCTTCCACTGGCCCAAAAACTTTCCTCCCAGGCTCACATTCAGGCCTTACGAAGGGAAAAAGCAATCCCTCTGAGCAACAAAAATTTGAACAAAAGGTTACAGGGTGGCTCTTGCATCCCCCCATAGCAAGTCCTCCTAAAAGGACAACTCCTAGCCTTGCTTATTTTATTTATTTATTTATTTATTAAAACATTTCTATGCCGCCCCTTGCCGTAGCCTCGGGGCGGCTCACAACATAATAATATCTCAGGGTGGGGAAAGGAAGCAGGTGGAATAGCTCATTTTTGATGTAGCAGCGTCTCTCTCTCTCCTGAAGCAGGACCTTCCAGACTGCAATTTAGCCTTATAAAGCTAATAAACTATTAGTCTTTTAGCTGTCAAAAAGGTACAGAAAATCCATTTATGCTCATCATGTATTAACTTACACAAAGCAGGTAGATAATTTAAAAGAAAACATGAATCAAGGAATATTAATTAGCACACTAATATAAAATGTATCCATAGCATAAACCTCCTCCCAAAAGAAGCCATTACTGGACATTGCCAAATCATATGTTTAATGAAATATTAGCAATATTACACCTGCAGCAGTTAGTCAACTTAAGCAAACCTTATTTGAGAGATTTTGTGATATCCAGTAAACATGAAGCCAGAGTTTTCACTGAATAAAATGTAATCAGAGAGCTACTGAAACTTCATGGATGGATGTACTGCAGACAAACAATTTCTTAGCCTGATTAGGACCTTCCAATTCCTTAATACATTTGCACGTTAAGCCCACATTTATTCAGTCATAACCTCTCAGCCTAACTCACCTCACAGGGTGGTGGTGAAATAGAGAAGGGTTACAGAAGCTGTTCTAGATTCCTCCGAAGAGGAAAAATGGTGGGATATGAATGCACTATAATAACAATGTCTCTAGCAGCCACTGCTGTGGGAGGAACACTATCTGTCATCATCAGAACATGGTCTAGATTTTGTGATGCCAAATGCAATGAGAGATTCTGTCTGTCCAAAGGACAAAAGCCTCAGCAGCACCGATAATAAATTATATGCTTTTAGTGGATTTAGTCTCAGATCAGTGTTGCGGGATTATGCTGTAAGTATTTCTGCTTGTTAAAGAGCCCAAGGCCATTATGAGAGAAAGAAGGCAATCATCCTAACTTAGACCTTTTCTCTGTCTTAAGTGTACAAAACCAGGCTGAATCGAACGGAAGAAGCAAATGGATTTATTGTCTACCTCATGGAAGCACTGGAGGTTATTAAAAGAGGTAAAATTTCTCTCCTGAAGGGAAAAAAAGACAAAGTCAAAAGAAGAAAGCATTTTCTTCTAATAAAGCTCTGCATTATACAGTGGTACCTCGGCTCATGAACACCTCAGCTCACAACCAAAATCAGGTTGCGAACAGAAATTTCAGAAAAAAATTGCCTCGGGTCACAAGCTCTGCATCGGATGATAATCGTGATCACGCCCATCTTCCCTGCCCGAACATGACTGTGATTGCACCCATCTACGGCCGCGATGCCGCTCGTGCAGGAAAGACGGGTGCAATTGCGGTCATGCTCGGGGGGGGGGGGGGAATGGTCGCAATCTTTCTTGTTCTTTGTTACTTTGTTGTTCTTTGTCACTTTGTTTCAAATTTTTATGATTAAAAAATGGTTACAAAATGGATTAACCTTATTTACATTGAACCTTATGGGGAAATTTGACTTGGCTCATGACCAATTTGGGTTGCGACCAGAGTCCTGGAACGGATGAAGTTCATGAGCCAAGTTACCACTGTACTAGGTTAATGATATTTTAAACTGGGTTGTAGAAAACATGTGTGTCCCTTGAAAGCTTATTGGGGAGAGAAAGATTAGTAATAGCAGACAAGTTTCTCTACAATATATCTGGCTCATTATCCTTGTCGTATCCTGCACTCTGAAGACAAAGGCAAGTGTGGAACGCAAGCCATAGTCACAGGGTCTGCATGTGGGAACATTTCCCAGACTCTTTGGTAGGCAGTCAGCACACCAATTCACCCCGGTAAATTACCCAAATGGATTCCCATGAGATGCCAAGCAACCCTGGAAACTGACAGGTGATTAGGCTCATCTAGGTTGCTCTCCTCTCCTCTCCTCTCCTCTCTGCTGTGCCAACAGGGGTAAAGTGCAGCAGAGAGGGCTGGGCCATTGAGCAGGCACCCATGCTGCCTGCTCCAGAGACAACCGCTACAACAGGAGGAGAGCTGGCCGGGCATGGGACACAGGGCAGTCAGCTGGGTGCTGCTGCAAAAAGGAGAAGCACCGAGCAGCTGGTTTCCTCACTGTTCCTGAGAGGCATTCACTCAAGCAGGCGTAAAGAATGGAGAACCTGGGTGCCCCCCGGATGCTCCATTCTTGGCATATCCCCACCTAACCCAGGCCAGCCCTTCCCCACTTCTGCTGGAGAGGAAGCCCCTCTGGCAGGGGCAGGGAAGAGGGAAACCCCATGAGCAACCCCTCTTGCTCAGAAACTTTTACTTCAGTGCCCATCTGGGATCAGCATGAAGTGGAACATCTCAGAAGGCTGGCATTCCAAGGAGCCGTAGGCATTATGCTGCAGTTCTACAGCAATTCCACCAATCGCATTTATGAGATAAAATGGAAGATCTTCCCACAATGCCACAGTTGATCTTAAGTTGCAGGTTTCATTAAGGAACCATCCCTTCTACAGACTGGAGTCTTCCAAGTGCTCTGTCCTCATACCTTTAAGGAAGCGGTGGAAAACCTCAGGTCCAGGTGCCAAATTAGGATTCCCCGAACAGCTGTCTCATGCCTTTCTCCAAAAACTTTCGCAGCTTTTGTGCAGTTTCCTCCATTCTATAATGCTTTCCCTAATAGTTGCAGTAAGAGCATTAAAGGTGCAGGTATTTTTGCCCCGTCACCTTTGCCTGCTTCCCTGTTCCTTTTGCCTTTGGTTATACCCACTGCTAGAATGAAGCTCTTGAGAGCATCTCCAGAAATGAATTCTGCCCTTGGACTGTTTCTCCCACACTGCTTTAAGCCATCTGTGCATTATCCTTGGCATGAGAAAACAGGCAACCTTCTCAACTCACCCATAGTTGCTTTCCTTTACAAGGGGCTTCCTTTCTGAACCCACAAGTGCCACCCAGAGTACCAAGCTGAGATTTACATAAGATTCTAAGCAAGCACATGAAGAAGTCTGTGGAGTGCCTTTCTGTGTTTTGTTTTTTCCTTCATGGTAGTTTTTCTGGATTGTCACATAAGCCAAAGCAATTTCAGAACTGGTGCTTCTGTGCACATAAAAGTATATTCAGAACATCAGCGTGAATGAGAGCCAGCTAACATTCAAAATATGAACAAATCTTTTCACAGGTCCTAAGAGATCAATCATCCTGCCCTCCTTGGTTTGGTTCCCCCAAACTACAGATCCAAGGAAAAGAAGTGGCAAAATTAAATCTCATAAGCCACTGAGAGTGCATATATCGAGTGAGCAGCTGAGTTCTGCAAGTCTGACTATCTTTTCCTAACATCCTTCTACCACTGGAAAAAAAGGCTTCTAAGCTCACAACTGCAATATTGGTTGAGGCTATTTCCTTTACTTATGAAACCCAGGAACCACCAATCCCTTCAGCTTTAATGGCATATTCTAGTGGTCCTATTGAACACTAGAATTAGAAACCTCACAGAAGCCAACTAAAGCATTGTTACTTGGTCTACTGAAACTTAATTTATCAAACACTTCAAGTTAGATGCTTATGCCCCTGCATACTTTGGCCACAGGTTTGCACCTTTTCTATCAAGCAGCAGAGTGTCTCAGCCAGGAAAGAATTCTGCTCTATATCCCATCCCAGCATATGCCACTGCTGGGAGAGAAAGGAACACTGGACACAGGGATGATACCCTGTTCTATTTAGGGTTGTCTCTCTCTTGGGTATTCTCAGTGTTTGAAGGATATGTGAGGGGCAGTTTGTGGGGATTCCAGGGTTTTCAGCATAAGATTATTTGTTCCGAAGGCTGACCTTTGGACTTGTCTTTTTCTTTCTTGACAGCACTCCATTACCTACATGGAGTAGTGTTCCAAAGAACACACTGCTGATACTGCATTGCAATGTATTTTTAGTTTTTGCTATGCCCCACATAAAAATGCTGTAGAGATTCAACTGCTGTTCCAAATTCAAACAGAAAATAATGGCACAAATGTACATCGCATTACATTGTGTTCTCCATCTTTCCTGAAAATCTTGAAAAAGGTAGAGGAGTCAAAGCTGTTTCTAAAATTATAACAGAGATTTAAATATTGAATGTGTATACCAACTTTCATTGCAATATTACTAAAATAAGGTAGTTTGCTTTTTTCTCTCCTCCCTTTTGAAAATAGCTTAATAAGGCAAACTGATATGCAAAACTGAAATGCAGAATTTGTCCTGAATGTGTTGAGCAGTTCCACAGTGAGAAACAAATGAAATATTGAAAGGTTTAGGTCATGCTTTACTCAGTCAAAGAAATACATCTGGTTTTTTAAGCAGTAACTTTCAATGCATTGATATGATAAAACATCAAGGATGTTCATCCAATTAAAATTGGTTTATTGATTGATCATTTGCCTTCCAAACCATGAATTAATAGAATATATTTGCCTATTACCAACACCTCTGCCCAGTGCCTGGTGCTGGCCAAGTCCCCTTCTCAGCACCAGTAAAAAGGGAGGGTGGGTGGGTGTGTGAGAAAGAGAGAGAGAGAAAGGACATAAGATCTGAAGATGGCCTGATGAGAGTCAGTCTGTGTCCCTGCGTGGTCATCTAGTTTGGCACCCCGGCAGGTGATGATGGCTTTTGTTTTTTTAAAGAAAGGACTCAGTGAGCAGCTGACTTATGAAGCATTCCTAACATTCTTAGGTGGTAGTAAGTCCCATTGAACTCAGAGTTGTTTACTTTCAGCTAGATATGCATTCAATTGCACTATTCCTAAGTAGATGCCAAGTCCATCTTTAGTAGTCCAAATTATTGTAGAAGATTGAAGGGCCAGGCTACCTTGAAGTAAATGAACTAATCTGCCTGCAGTCCTACTGGCACTAAAGAAAATTGCACCCAGCAAACTTTTAAATATGGCTCCTACTTCATAGCCTGGCTTCAAAAGTCTGTTCATGTTTTATCTGATTCCTACAGGCAATAACATAAATCCACAAAGTAATATCCTCACATTTTTCAGTCCCATAAAATGCAAGGACTCTTTGCATCTAGAGGAGAACAAGGACTACCTGATCTGGGGTCTTGACAGTGACATGTGGTCTACAAAGGAAGGGTATGTACTTTATTTCATTCATTAGATTCATTTTCTGCATTAACAGGTCCACGAATATGAAACTATAGACAACACAGTTCTATGTAATGCCTGCCCACCCGCTCCTGCAAACACATGCAAAAAAGCATGTTACTCCCAAGCTCAGTTTGCATGGAAGAAACTCATTTGATACATATGCTCAAAATGCAATGGATGAATTACCACAGCAGACCCAGAGCTAAGTTTTTGTACATCTACAGTATATCACAGAAGTGAGTATACCCCCTCACATTTTGTAAATATTTTATTATATCTTTTCATGTGACAACCCTGAAGAAATGACACTTTGCTACAATGTAAAGTAGTGAGTATACAGCTTGTGTAACAGTGTAAATTTGCTGTCCCCTCAAAATAACTCAACACACAGCCATCATTGTCTAAACCACTGGCAACAAAAGTGAGTACACCCCTAAGTGAAACTGTCCAAACTGGGCATTATTAGCCATTTTCCCTCCCTGGTGTCATGTGACTTGTTAGTGTTATAAGGTCTCAGGTGTGAATGGGGAGCAGGTGTGTTAAATTTGGTGTTATCGCTCTCACTCTCTCATACTGGTCACTGGAAGTTCAACATGGCACCTCATGGCAAAGAACTCTCTGAGGATCTGAAAAAAAGAATTGTTGCTCTACATAAAGATGGCCTAGGCTATAAGATGATTTCCAAGACCCTGAAACTGAGCTGCAGCATGGTGATCATGACCATACAGCGGTTTAACAGGACAGGTTCCACTCAGAACAGGCCTCGTCATGGTCGACCAAAAAAGTTGAGTGCAGGTGCTCAGTGTCATATCCAGAGGCTGGCTTTGGGAAATAGACGAATGAGTGCTGCCAGAATTGCTGCAGAGGTTGAAGGGGTAGTGGGTCAGCCTGTCAGTGCTCAGACCATACACCACACACTGCGTCAAATTGCTCTGCAGGGCTGTCATCCCAGAAGGAAGCCTCCTCTAAAGATGATGCACAAGAAAGCACGCAAACAGTTTGCTGAAGACAAGCAGACTAAGGACATGGATTAGTGGAACCATGTCCTGTGGTCTGATGAGACCAAGATAAACTTATTTGGTTCAGATGGTGTCAAGCGTGTGTGGCAACAACCAGGTGAGTACAAAGACAAGCGTGTCTTGCCTACAGTCAAGCATGGTGGTGGGAGTGTCATGGTCTGGGGCTGCATGAGTGCTGCCGGCACTGGGGAGCTACAGTTCATTGAGGGAACCATGAATGCCAACATGTCCTGTGACATACTGAAGCAGAGCATGATCCCCTCCCTTCGGAGACTGGGCCACAGGGCAGTAGTCCAACATGATAACGACCCCAAACACACCTCCAAGACGACCACTGCCTTGCTAAAGAGGCTGAGGGTAAAGGTGATGGACTGGCCAAGCATGTCTCCAAACCTAAACCCTATCGAGCATCTGTGGGGCATCCTGAAACGGAAGGTGGAGGAGCGCAAGGTCTCTAACATCCACCAGCTCCATGATGTCGTCATGGAGGAGTGGAAGAGGACTCCAGTGGCAACCTGAGAAGCTCTGGTGAGCTCCATGCCCAAGAGGATTAAGGCAGTGCTGGAAAATAATGGTGGCCACACAAAATATTGACACTTTGGGCCCAATTTGGACAGTATCACTTAGGGGTGTACTCACTTTTGTTGTCAGCGGTTTAGACATTGGCTGTGTGTTATTTTGAGGGGACAGCAAATTTACACTGTTATACAAGCTGTATACTCACTACTTTACATTGTAGCAATGTGTCATTTCTTCAGGGTTGTCACATGAAAAGATATAATAAAATATTTACAGAATGTGAGGGGGTATACTCACTTCTGTGATATACTGTATATACACCTCCCTAAAGAAGTGTTTACCGCTACATAGGTCTTACAAGCCATGGAGCGTCTCTGACTATAGTAAACATCTTCCAAGAAGTGGCCTAACTATTACTGCAAAGCCCCTCTGAGTGATATTCCCAGAGTGAAGTAATTAGAACCCTTTGTATTGTTGGTTCCTACATAGCTTCAGAAACATATAAAGCTGCCTAGATCAGCTTGATTGATATTCAGTTGCCACAGGAAGCATGAAGAGCCCTGTACCTGAAAGCTCTGTTGTAGTTTATTTCTCTTAGGTTGGTTCTTCCTGGAGATTGTTCCTCACTGTCACTATCACCAACCTTTAGGGAAATTTAAACATCTCATATTATTCCTAAATTTATTCAGGATGCAGCTCTTGGGCTCAGCAGGTGGATCCTGAGGTGTTCTGCCAGAGAGAGACTTTTCATTCCCTTGAGGCCGTATCTTCATAATGTAATGAGAAAGGAAGACCTATAGTATATGTGCTGCTATCCAGTGTCCTGAGGCACTAGTGGCATCCTTTCCTCAGCACTTAGCCCAACCAGGCTGCCTATGCGCTAAGAAACTAAGAGTCCATATTTCTCCCCTCTCCTTTGCAGGTACAGCTACTTCATTAGCAAGGACACCTGGATCGAGAAGTGGCCAAACAATGATGAATGCCAAGATGAAGAATACCAAGACCTATGCAATCAATTCATTGAGTTCTCCACTGTAATGAACTTTTTTGGCTGTCAGGCCTAACTTCAGAAGTGCCATTTGCTCTGGGGATGACTTTCTTCCCAAAGTTTCAACTTCATATAATTGTTACTCTTCCATTTTCCCATCCTGTGGTTTATTTAATAAACCAAGACTTGATTTCTTACTGTGGAACCTTGTGTACATCATCACTTCCACCACCTCACATGCTACACTAAAGTTACTTAGACAGAGAAACTGATTTACACCTATAGTATAGATTAGCTGAGAGGTCTCCAATCCTTTTGGATACATGGCCACATTTAGGAAACTGCTTTAGGTGTCCCCAAAAATCCCTTTCATGGTGGATGTAGCAAATCATCACGGGCACCTGGGCTGGTTTGTATTAACTATGTATTTTCAAAGGTGGCAGCAAATTCAGAGAATCGAACAGAATGATGATAGAATTGGAAGGGGCATATAAAGCCCTTGAGACCAGCCCCTTGAGACCACTTCCACATGTGATCAGCCATCCCGCTGCAGGACCGCTCCTCTCCTGTTCAGCAAAGGGGACTCCACCTGCTAGTTCGATGTAAAGCTATGGAGGCAGCTTTGTGTGCACCACTGGAAGCCTGGAAGGCACCGCACTCATAACCCCAAAAGTCGCAGTTTTGACATGAAGGATGTGAAAACCAGTACAGTTTTGTTTGTTTTTGCTTTCAGATGCCTAAGCCCAACATTGATCACACTTCTTTTAGAAAGACTGAAATACCATTTTGGTTTAGACTGGGTCTTTGCAACCAGAGTTAGACCTTTTAACTGCAAATGAGATTATGTCAGCATGTTTTCCATGTTGCCAGCCCCTGGTGCACTGTCTATAATTTTGGAGAGCTGTTTTTCCCTGCCATAACAAATGGCCCTTAATAAACCCGTCCTCTGTGAATTTGTATAATCCTTTGCTAAAACCATCTAAGCTGTCTTCAAATCCATCCTTCACTCCTTCCAAAATTAATACTTGTATGATTTATTACAAGGCCACTAAGATATCTGAAGACCCCATGGCATTGTAGGTCCAACCTCCCAAGCACACTACTTTCCATGCTGCATGCACGGGGCCAGTGTGGGAGCCTGGCCTTCACAGTCCCAGCTCTGAGGTGGCTGGGCCTCTGCATGACCCCATGGCATACCAGATAATATTGGGAGGCCACAGGATTGCACCTTAACTGATGAGCAGGTATATTCTAAGTCACATGCATAGTTAATGTCTTAACCTATCAATTCTGTAGCAGAAATGGGAATAATGGTGGTTTGTCAAATGGTCATCTCTGCATTCACACCTGTAAACTCTGCCTGCATGGAGAATTGTCTTGGACTCCTATAACTGAAGAATGTTGGCAGGGACCTTCATCCACTGTCTAAGTGTGTACATCCACAGTAGGTTCCTGCCCCTTCCCTTATCCTATTAGAAAACCCATATGGCACCTGGATACCAAGGGAATGGGATAATATCCATTATAGTACAGAATGATATGCCAATACTGATGATACATCAGTACCATAACAGAACAAATTAAGAATGGCACCAGGACAGGGCTGGTGGTATGAATGCACAGAAGTCCATTCAAAGAACCAAAGTTACAGGTAAGTAGCTTGTTACAGGTAAGCAACCTGTTCTTCATTATGGTCCCCATGCATCACACCTATGGGTGAATGGCAGGCAGACTTAACTTGGAGGGGGGGGAATGGTACCAATATGACTATTGCATGATGGAAAATAGTACTGCCCTTCCAAAGAAGCCCTCACTTGAACATGAATTTATAGTGTTAAACAAGGATGTCAACCACACCACTATATGGTGAGAATCTGGCAATGAGATCCCCTGGAAAAAAGCTGCAGAAGAAGCCACTGTCCCAGTCGAACAGGATAGCTCTTTTTAAGTAAAAAAGGGGGACGTATATCCTATTGAAACTAAACATCTAAGAAAAAAATTGTTTAGAAAATCCTACTTCCCATTAAACTAATAAGATCTAAAAGTCTTTAGCAATGCTCTGTTTAGCAACAAAAGCCTTTTTATGTTAATTTATGCCAGTCACATTTTGATATGATGCTACAACTATATTCCTAATTAAAAAAATTTAAAAACACATCCAAAAGAATTTTCTCTCATGCATTCTTGTTAGTACAAAACCAAATCTTGGTGAAACTAGCAGAGTTGTTGATGCCTGCTTTGTTCAGCTATGGTTAGTTAACTGACAGCCAACAGCTTTCTAAACACTAAAACTGTGGCTTGAATACATTCAGCAAAGGCCAAACCCACAACAGAGCAACACCCTAATCACGGCTGTGTAAAGAACATGTGAAATCACTGGCTTTTGCTGGGCTTTCATCATTGGCTGGTAGTTGGACTCTAACATTTAATGGTATTGGACAAGGTTCCTGGAAGGTTCAAGATGCTGCATATATTTTGAACTAGTTGTGGCAGGAAAGCTAGATAAAGAAACCACTAACAAAATTCAACAGGACTCATCCATCCTTTCACTGACAGCAGAATGTATTAAATACTCTTATAAGGGAGGAAAACTTCTACACCCCACATCATAGGACTTTAAGAAAAAAGTAGAGAAATTCTAAAAATGCATTTTGTTGTTAACTTCTAACTTAAAAGATAGAAATGGAAAAAAAGTGTAAGCGTTTAGAAAACAGTCAATTATGTTTAGGAAGAAACTTAAGGCAGCTATCATCCCACCTTCTGCAAAGCAATTCCTTGAGTTAATTACACCTTGTGTGAAAAAGATTTTATTATCTCTGTCCTGAATTAACCACCCATCAACTCCCGACATTAGAATTAGAGAGAGAGAAAAAGTTTTTATCTGCAAAGCAAGTTCCAGATTCTTTTGTTTAAATAGATGAACTATTGACTGGAGAACATAGTTGTTCACCTACTGGAATAGTTCTTGAAAGTCGTTCTCCACAGACCGTAATGTGGTCTTTTCAGAAATTATTGAACCCAAAAAGTTTTCTGAATTTTTTTCAATGCCTTAAATTGACTGAGGTCTGCTTTAGTGTGTTTGCTGTATATTCAGCAAAATATATATCATAACATTTTAATGTTACATATTATATAATTTCTCCTACTCTTCCAACATATCCCTGACAAAAAAGGGACAGTACACCACTCCTGGAAGTGGCATCCCTCCAGCCATCCCCACCCCCACCCCCTTCCACTCTGTAAGTACAAGCCAGACATGGCTTTGGGTTTGATGGTCTGTCCACCTTGGATTCATCCCGCCTTGCCCACAGAGCCTTACCCTGCCCAGCTGCACTCCAATTCATGCTGTCCTAAAAAGCAAGTCTTGCCGAAATCAGTGGGATGTCTCTCAGAGTAAATATGCCTCAGCTATAAGAATAAACTTCGAGTTCCTTTGAAGTTGGAGCCCATGGTCAGAAACATGACCAACTTCAATCTCCTATTTTGTACATACACCCTCTAATCATAAGGATTAGAATACAATGCTGTGAAAGTAATCCGCAAGTTAAGTTCATATATCACTAGGCTGTTTTTAGAAACATAGAAACAGAGCAAGTCAGAAGGGATCCCCTGGCTCCAGTCGGCTCCGCTCATGACATGCCCACCATGTGCATGTCTAGCCTATCCTTGGAACACCCTCACCAATGAGGCCTCAACCACCTCCCATAGAAGCCCATTCCATACCCTCGGAGTCCTACCTGTCAGGAAGTACTTCCTGGCATCTAAATTGAACCTTGGCTCCCTGAGATGCGCTCCATTGGAGCGCATCCATCTCTACCCACCTCCATGTGACACCCCCCTCACATACCTGTATGTTGCCAACAGATCCCCTCTGAGTCTCCTCTTCTCCAGGCTGAAAAGACCCAGTTCCCTCAGTCTCACCTCATAAGGCATCCCCTGCAAACCGGCCAGCAACCTTGTGGCCCTACGTTGCACTGACTCTAACTTGGCTATATCTTTCCTTTAATGAGGGGCCCAAAACAGAGCACAATACTCCAGTCGCAGGCACACCAGAGTCATACAGAATGGTAGTAATACCTCTCTCGATCTAGAAGCCACCCTTCTGGCTATGCAACCAAGGATGGCGTTTGCCCTCTTAACCACCACATCACACTGCTGACTCATGTTCAGCCTGCAGTCAACCAGCACCCCAAGGTCCCTTTCACAAGTGCTGCTCTCCAGCCACTTGTCCCCTAACCTGTACTTATGACACCCATTCCTATGCCCAAAGTGCAAGACCTTGCACTTGTTCACATTGAACGCCATCCTGTTGTCTCCTGCCCACTTCCATAGTCCGTCCAGATCCTTTTGGATCTGGAGTACCTGCTCCTCAGTTGTGGCCACTGCTCCAGTTTTAGTGTCATCTGCGAATTTGATCAGCAGACTGCTCACCCCTTCTTCCATGTCATTAATGAAAAGATTAAACAGGATCAGCCCCAGGACAGAGCCCTGGGGGACCCCGCTTGAATTCCACAAGGTTGGTCTGGCAGGACCTGTTTTTGCAGAAGCCGTGTTGTGTGGCTGTCAGCCTCCCTTCCCTATCTAGCATCACTAGATCTCTCTCTGTTATGAGCCTTTCCATTGTTTTTCCTACAATGGACATAAGGCTAACAGGTCTGTAATTCGCCATGTCCCTTCCACTAACCTTTTTGAAAATTGGGACCACTGAGGCCACCCTCCAGTCCTCTGGAACTTCACCCGTTCTCCACGAGGTCTCAAAAATGGAGGCCAGCGGGTGTGAGAGAACCCCTGCCAACTCTCTAAGTACTCTCGGGTGTAAGTCATCAGGGCCTGGCACCTTTGTAACATCCAATGCTCTGAGGAGCCCCTCGACTTCTAGGGGGGTGACTCTAATCTCTGCCACTAAGTCCCTGGCCTCATCTAATCTCCTATGCAGATCTCCCTCATCCTGCTTTGGGGAGAACACAGAGGCAAAACAGTCATTTAGCTTCTGTGCCTGTTCCCTCATATCAGTCATTGGAGCCCCTTCCTCCTTATTTAGTGGTCCCACTACTTGTCTCCTCTTCCTCTTGCTATTTACATGCTGAAAGAAGCCCTTTTTGTTGCTCTTGATATTCTTGGCAAGTCTCAGCTCGTAATCAGTCTTAGCCTTGTGAAGAATCCTTCTGCAATGGGCCTCCTCCTCCCAGTATACCCTTTTGTCTACTTGCCCCAGTGCTCATTCTTACAGAGATTCCTCTTGCGTCTAATCCCTGTAATCATCTCCTTTTGCATCCATGGCGGCACTCTCCTTCACCTCCCCGCCTTACTAACTAGAGATATTGTCAAGTCTTGTGCCTCCAAAACCTCCCGTTTGAGTGCCATCCACCCCTCCTCAACTCGCTTGCCTTCCAGTACCCTCTCCCAGGAGACTTTCCCAAGTCCGGCCTTCAGTTGGCCCTCTTGAAGTCCCAGCTTCTAGTGCTCAACCTGCTGCACGTTCGCATTCCCCTTGATCTCAAAGCAAAGGATGGAGTGATCACTCGCATCCAGAGCTCCCCTAATCTTTGAAGGAAATTAAGAGTTAGACAGTTTTCCATATTTAGTTGCAATAAGAATATTTATTGCACAAGTTTGACAGCACTTAGCTCTGAAATAACCACCAAGAAGTCCAGCACCCATCTTGAACATAATCTCAAGTTAGTATACTAACTGCAAAACAACAGAAAATCAAATAATTGTTTTGAATTGTATAACACAAAAGTTTTGCCTTTTTTCTCCATTTTCTTTTGGTTGTGCTGCATTGTGAGGAGAAAATAGCAATCAAACATATCTAGTATGTATAATATTTACAAAAATAAATACACTTCAGATCATCCACTTAGCTGTCCCTTCAGCCAAGCTGATCAAACTCCACATGTCTCTTTTCAAATCCAGCTATTTGTAAAATTTTCGGTAGTTTTCACATCTAGAAAAGAAAAAAAACCTCTTTGTTTGGCAGTACTACCTGTTCTCAACGCTGGTGAAGGAAAGGGGAAGCTGGTGTGTCCGAGAACGTAACTGCAGGTTCTTAAATAAGTCTGATCTCAATTCCTTTGTCCTGAAGAACCCTGAAAGCTATGGCTCCATGAAGGGGGCCAGCCACCCCTGTCAGAGATCTCATCAAACCTAAATTCCTTGAAATCCTTGCGACCTGTGACAGAAAAGTAGTAAAAAATCACAATACAGTCCTGCTTCAGTATAGCTACAATGAATTACTGCACACACAGAGTACACCTGTTGCTAATGTTGAACACAATTTTTTAAAGGTTCTTAGAAAAGGGAACAGCAGACAGTACAGACTGTACATTTATCCTACAGTTTCCCCTTCTTTGTCATATGGATGTTAGAGGCTCAATAGCGGAGGTTGAGGCCTGATGTGAGCAAGGATAACACAGTCCACATGCCTCCTCTAAGGATGTCCAACCTCCGAAAGTGCCCCAGGCAAGCATGTCCCATTCTCTGCCCTGGAAGATGTTGAAACAATGGGCAGAACCTAGGAGAGCATCACCATAACCAGGGCCAACAAGGCCACCAGGGTGAAACAGGGAGGGGGCATTTCTGCTGGACAGCAGCTCTGTGGTGTAAAGACATTTAAGCAGGGACTCTCCTATGCAGAAGCTGAAGCTTGGCTTTCCTCTGGGTCAAGTTCCAGCTGCACCTACTGTGTGCCAAGGAACAGGTCTGAATGCACAGAACTCCATGAGGAATGACAATTTCTGTGAGCACCTTAATACCTGTTTGGTAAAAACATATCCAGATGGCAGAGTTTAAAAATCCCCTCACAGCAGGGAATCCTGGAAACTGTGCATCTAAGTGGCAGCAATTTTTTCCCCCAGGCTCAGTACCCTCACCAAAATATGAATTCCTGGGATCTAGTACAGGACAGGTTAAGTTAGTGAAATTGATATGCCACCAGCATAAATTTGCAGTGTAGGTATGTTCTACTGTAGCATGGGAAAAGCTTCTCTGTGTTGAATCCTGCATATCAGATTGGTATCGACACGACACACAGAGCATGTCACACAGGGACAGTCAACCCTAGCTTGGCAACAGCTCTTAAGAGTTTCATGCAGGGTCTTTCCTAGCCCTGTGTGATGTCAGCAAAGCAGGTGCTCCACCACCGGCTATTAATCAATACAAAGCATCTTAAAAATAGCAGCCATGATTAACTTTCTGTTGCATTCATCCTTATTCACTGTTTAAAAATATTTGATAACCTACAACACGCTGCATTATATTTTGGAATATCCTACTATTTATTTATTTAGAATTTACAAGTAGTTGGTTCATTTGTACATCTTTTTAATATTTATAATAAAATGTCTCTACTATCTGCAGAGAAAGTCCTGAGACTGAAGCCTTCAGTAATACTTTGATATTGCAGGGATATACGTTGTTCTTTCCATGCAGAACTGTTCTTTCTATTGCTCTCAAAATAATCCTAGCTTAAGCTACACATTCAAGGACCGTTCACCTTCCCTTTCACAATGAATTGTATGGTTTTCTATGGCACACCTCTACAAATCAAATTTGTATGAGCAACAAATGCTTCAGTCAGTAGAAGAACCATTTTGTGGTTGCAGGCTAATCTCCAACCCCCCCCCCCCCACCACCCCAGGACACCTACACACACAGACCAACTACTTTTACCTTTTTCCAGATTTCTGGTGCGCAGTTACTGCATGTAATTTCCCTCCACAATTGGAACAATGCAAGCAGCGTTTCCCACCATGTTTTGGAATATTCCAGCACTGAAAACACCGAATTCTGTACTTTTTGTACCTGTGGGGAAGGTGAAATACATACAGTAAACTGACAGAGTTTGAATAAATCTCTAACAAATATCTTAAGATGTTTCAGCAGTGCTGAGTACCTAATTCCACATGCATTGCAGAGAGAGGTCCCATCTTCAGCATTTCTCCACAGTGGTGTTTTTCTGGTCTTGCAAGAAGCACAACGCTTATTTCCTTGAAAGCAAAGAACAACTGGATCAAATAATTTATCTGAGCACCTCAGGATACATGCATCTGATAACAGCATTAACACAAAAACCCTGCCCTATAATTTCTCTCTCATTCAAACACTCTTATCGCTGAGCAAATGCTAATGGTGCTTGCTTTTTAGTCTTACTGGATTTTTAAAATGTAACTCAGACTATTTGGAAGAAACTTTGTTGGCATGAACATTTCAAAACTGCCACTGTCAGACAGTAATATGCTGAATGTTAGTCCCTTCACAAATATTTTTGGAGTGCTTGCCATTTCACTGATTAATGCAAGCATTACATAACAATACTCAGCATTAATACAGAGCATCTCTCCAATGTCAAAATAATTTCCTGTATTTTAATAAACATTGCAAAGAACCTGGTAAAACAATCCATTTTTATTATTCCTTTACTGCAGATCAGCAAATACTCTTTGGCCTAAATCACCTCAAAACAATTCGATTCCTGTTTAGGCAGAAAAAAAGTCCTACATCTCCCAGCACTGCAGCAAAGGTGATATTTGAAGTGGGGAGGTCCTGGCTTGCAGTTTATTCTGTAAGAATGTGGAGGACAGCAAACCAGACAGAAAGTACATTTTCTCTTCTCAGAGACATTTCTGAGCAAAATGCACTCATGTCCATTCTCTGCTCCACAGGCATCTATACTTAATGTGTGCTTCCTGAACACAGCTCTGGAAGCCAGCATTCCTCATCCAGGTCTCCTCCACATCTTTGAGATCTTAGTTCTTCTCATCCCCAGCCAGAAAGGTCAATGGTCAGGAATGCTGAGGGCTGTAATCCCAAACCTTTGGAGGGTACCATCTTAGGAAGGCTGTTTGGAACTCATAGGGCAGAATCTAACGAGGTATTCAAATCTGCACTGCTTCTTTCCCATACTTCCAATTCCCTTCCACAAGTGGTGCATCCCACCAACTGTGCTGCACATCTAATGCCTCCCAAGGGAAACCCTAAAACAAATGGGAATGTTTGTTTCTAGAAGCAGGCAAGCCAGTGGAGCTCCTTGATGTGAACTTCGTTGGCCCTCCTCCTCCCACATTTCCATTTGTTTGGGGTTGCTCCAGAAGTGCCGGATTGTTGTTGTGTGGGTAGCAGAGGTGACTTGATCAATACGGTCAGTGGGGCAAAAAAGAACTGACAGTATGGAAGTATCCCATTTGATGCTGCCCACTGAATGCTGTGTAAAATATGAAGCAAGCCACAGAGAGCCACTAAGCTGTGCTCTCGTGCTGGTTAGGTGGCTTCTGCCTGATCCAGCAAGTTTCTAAGCCTTATGAATAGGTAGTTTGTTTTGAATTAACATGTAAATCTGAGTAAATTCCATTGTGAAGAACTGGAATTATTTCAGTTCAGCAGTTTGAGATGCCAACTGCCAAGTTCTTCTGGTGTGAAATCAGACAGGTCAGATTGCGTGGAACCAGGTCCCACTTGCGTGTTCCCCCAAAACAGTTAGAAGAGATATACAAAGTTAGTCACATCTCATCACAGTCATTAATAACGCTTCCGGTATATTTAAAAGAGCAGTTCTCCCTCTCACATTTGGGTACCTACAGCAACAAATACCAGTGGAGCCTGGCTGTCACATGAAATGGCTGATGAAGTTTAAATAGGGAAGGAATCAACTGCTTACTTTTCTCACTTAAAAACCAGAACACACTAGTTTTACTAGCAGTTGTAACTGGAACCGTGCACAGTAACATAGAAACAGAACGAGTCAGAAGGGGTCTTCTGGGTCTAGTCTGACCCCCGGCTATTTGGCTAGTAGTTTGCTGGCCAAATACCTGGCAAGTGAAACGAGATTTTCCAAACATATTGCCTGTCAGCTGTGGTCACATCATAAATGTATTAGAGGTTCATAAGGCTCAGTATGTGTTGCCAAGCTCTCCTGTGGCCAAAATGCCTTTGGAATGCCACACAGGTGAGCCCCCCAGTTCTACTCCCTGCCATGCATTTCCATCCACAATGCTGGCTTGCTCAGTGCTGCATGCAGTGATGCTACCCACAGGCATGGCTCTCACCCTGCTCCTGCCCTTGGCTTGGGGTACAAAGCTGGCACAGAGCCATGGGCTAGGACATCATGACGGCCATACAGACAGCTACATTCCAACCAAGAAACTGAATTCCTTATTCACTAAGTCAAAAGCAGGGGTGCTCAAGCATTTACCTGATGTGATGCTGGGTAAGGGCTGCATAGAACCAGACACGTACATCCACACACTTCCCAGTGATCCCAACAGATCGTTCTTTCCTTGCTCTTAGCAATAACAGAGATGGAGAGAAGAACCCACCTGAGGATCTCTGAGCTCCCTTCCTCTGCTTTCCTGTGCTCGTCGAAAGTAGAACAGTTTCCTCATTGCTATCAGCGGCAAGGCAAGCGCCAGTTCTATCAGGCTGCCTGCAAATGGGTTAGGGAGCACAAGCAATGGGGAAGTCAACTGAGGCTGGGGGAGGAATTTGGTGGTGGCAGCATCGGCCAGGTAGGGCCGCAGGATGGCTACGCAGGGTGCCAAGGATGAGGCTGTTGTTCCTATATTGTTGAGCCTTGGGCTCCTTCTGCTGCTGATAAATGGATTGCAACATGGTTTTACCTTTAGAGTCTCAAATATTATGACCTGATATTACATGTATTTAGCGCCTAAAATGTTAACATACTCTGGGCAGAGAGACATCCTTCTTCCTCCTCCGAAACGCCAGCTCTGCACTCTTCTCTTGCTAAAGTTGCTCGTCGTCTTTTCATGAGTTTTTCACTGGACATAGATTAGATGTGTGATATTTACATCTGCTTTGAAAATGTGAATTCCAAACTTATATGTAACTTTATATCTTGCTGTATTCCTAATAATATTCAATATTCATATATTCAAACTGTATTACTTATCAATACATTTTTAATTACTCTAAGACAGATTACAGGTACTCTCATTTTACACGCTAGAAGAACAGTGACAAATTCAAAAGCAGCCTAAGCAGGGGATTTTGGACTCTTAAGATCTCCCACAACCTAGAGGTCACCATACTATCCACCTCAATAGTTCACAGAACAACAATTAACATAGGAACTGAACTCGGAATGGTACTACACAACATTGATTTTAGAAATGTTAGTGAAAGCCTGTAGAATACTGGAAGAGTTTGCCCTGCAACAATTGAGCCTACAAGTGTTTTTGGCACTAAGTCTCACAGAACTCACTAGGAACTGTTATACTCATATATATATATATATATATATATATATATATAGAGAGAGAGAGAGAGAGAGAGAGAGAGAGAGAGAGAGAGTTAGGACAAGAAGTACATCTGTGCCTCTCTTGTGCTTAGAGTGGGAAAGAACACTAAAGAAAAATCAAATTACTATTCCATTCAATGCAGGGTTCAGAGTTGCTTTTGGAGTCAATAAATCATAAGCCAATTTAAGCTTTACATCTGAAAATGAACATAGCTTTTACTCCAGTTAATCATATTCTTGCTCTATTATCTTCTCTATACTCTTTGTAACAACAATGCCAGTGCATCTGGAACAGTAACCAAGATGCAAATAATATCTGATGGGAATATCAAATTACTTAGAGGACAACATTATCAGATTTTTTACTTCTGATAACAATTGAATCATTGCCTGGCATAAGAATTCAATCCTTTCAGGGCAGAATCCTATGCCTGTTTAGACAGAAAGGAAAATACAACTCCCAGCATTCTGTCAGCCAATTATAATGTGTCTAGCCCTACATGACACTGCACCCAAACAATACATACTGTAGGGCATAGAACAGAAGTAAAGAAGCATAACATTATAACAGGAAATACTTGTAAGTATACGGAAGCTTTACTGAAAAGTTATTTTTCAAGTCAGATTTCAGTTAACTTGCTGCATCTTCATTTTTGGGCAAATCTTGACCCAAGTGGTGTAGAAATAATTAAGTGCAGTTTAATCCAATTTCAAGTGAAGAAGAAAAGGTACCAACTTTCACAAATGAAAATTGATCCCAGATGTACAGGCATCCCAAAAGGAGCATACATGTGCTAGGATGTGTACCCAGAGCACATGCTTTGCTATTTACAGCTCAATCCCACAAAAGCCTACTGAGAAGCAAGGCCTCGTGAGCTCAGAAGGCCACCTTCCCAGGCAAGTGGATCTAGGGTCACAGCCCTAAAATCCCAGCTAACACTGGCACCGAAGTCCCCTAGAATAGGTTTGTCATCTTGCTTTGGGAACCCTCTGGGTGACTAGCACAGTTCTGCCCCTGAAATGCACTCTTTACCTGCTGTATTGGGCCTTAATAAGGAGCTGACAGCCCTGGGAGCTGATCTGATTCAGACACAGATGCATTTGAAAGGTCACCCCTTGGAAGGCAGGGTCGTCACGCTCATAGCTCCGCATAGGTCTCGACTGCTTGCGGGAAATTCTTCTTTTTGCCCTCTGAGACTCAAACTTGTAGGCAATGCCAGTACCCAGCCGCTCTACCGCCCTGGGCTCCTCCAGACACGGTGTCCACGGATGGTTGCTACAGTGGCCTTTGGAGAAGGAGACCGGGGGCTTTTCTTGGGCAGCTTCTTGTAACTCAGTCCGATCCCCTGGCTCTGACTCAAGGCTGGAGCAGTGGAGGTTAATGAGGCTGAGGGCATCCAAGGCACCAATGCTGGCCAGTGCAGGGGACAAGCCATCGCCCTGAGGTGTCATAGCACTGCGCCTGGGCTGCACGGCCAGTCCCGCCTGCTGTGGAGGCCTCCCTGAGTTGCTGCTGATTGGTTCCGGCTGAGAGGGTTGCTGGGCAGTCTCCTGCAGGAAGTTGAGGGCTTTGCTGTCTGGGATCTGGAGGCAGCAAGCCATGCTGCTGAAGGACTCAACCCTGCAGAGATGAGAGAAATAAAGCATGCATCGGGCAGTGCTAGAGATCATCAGATGCACTTAAAGAAATTGCCCTCCTCGGCTTCTAAGGAATGCCCCCAGGGAAGAAACATCAGAACTTCATCATCAGAGGCATCTTCCCTTTCGCATCCCTCTGCATCACATTCTCTCTTATCCACCCACCACCCCAGGCCATGTGGAACACTCAAAACTGAGGGCAAGATACTGTTTGCCCCATCTCACATTTCTTTAAATCCACAAGACAGTCTCCGCCTACCCTCCAATCCCCCAGTGGACAGCTCTCCCTGGACTGCATCCCCAAGAAGAATGTCCCTGCTCAAAGCGGTGGTGCAGTGGGTTAAACCACTGAGCCGCTGGGCTGGTTGATCGAAAGGTCAACAGTTGAAATCCGCAGACAGGATGAGCTCCTGTACTTTGTCCCAGCTCCTGCCAACCTTGCAGTTTGAAAGCATACAAATGCAAGTGGATAAAAAGGTACCACTTTGGTGGGAAGGTAACCGCGTTCTGTGCACTTTGGTGTTTAGTCATACTGGACACATGACCATGGAGACTGTCTGCGGACAAACGCTGGCTCCCTCAGCTAGGAAATGGAGACGAGCACCGCCCCCAAGAGTCAGACATGACTGGACTTTAATGTAATGGGGAAACCTGTACCTTAAACCATTACCTTTAGCCCTACATGAAACTGCACCCATACAATACATACATACAGACAAAAGGGTATACCAGGAGGAGGAGGCCCGTTGCAGAAGGATTCCTCGCAAGGCTAAGGCAGATTACAAGCTGAGACTTGCCAAGAAAAACAAGAGCAACAAAAAGGGCTTCTTTCAGCATGTAAAAGGAAGAGGAAGGGGAGACAAGTGGTGGGACCACTAAATAAGGAGGAAGGAGATCCAGTGACTGATATGAGGGAACAAATAAATAAATAAATACGTAATTTGTTGTATATTTGAATGTTTTATATTTTAATTTTATGTTGTGAGCCACCCCGAGGCTTCAGCGAATGGGGCGGCATAGAAATATTTTAAATAAATAAATAAATAAAACAGGCACAGATGCTAAATGACTATTTTGCCTCTGTGTTCTCCCCAGAGCAGGACGGGGGATATCCGCACAGGAGATTAGATGAGGCTGGGGACTTAGGGGCACAAATTAGAGTCACCCCCCTTGAAGTTGAGGGGCTCCTCAGGGCATTGGACATTACAAAGGCACCAGGCCCTGACGGGTTACACCCGAGAGTACTTAGAGAGTTGGCAGGGGTTCTCTCACGCCCGCTGGCCTCCATTTTTGAGACCTCGTGGAGAACGGGTGAAGTTCCAGAGGACTGGAGGGTGGCATCAGTGGTCCCAATATTCAAAAAGGGTAGTAGAAGGGACATGGGGAATTACAGACCTGTTAGCCTTACGTCCATTGAAGGAAAAACAATGGAAAGGCTCATAATAGAGATCTAGTGATGCTAGATAGGGAAGGGAGGCTGACAGCCACACAACACGGCTTCCACAAAAACAGGTCTTCCCAGACAAACCTTGAGGAATTCTACGACAAGGTTTCGAGATGGCTAGATGGAGGGGATGGAGTGGATGTGGCTTACCTGGATTTCAGCAAGGCCTTTGACAAAGTGCCCCATGATATCCTGATGGAGAAACTGAGGAGTTTTGGGATACACCAAAGCACTGTCCGGTGGATTAGGGCATGGCTGACTGACCGAAAGCAGAGGGTAACCATTAGTGGAGAATCGTTGGGATGGCGGCCAGTGACAAGCAGGGTCCTTCAGGGCTCTGTCCTGGGGCCGATCCTGTTTAATCTTTTCATCGATGACATGGAAGAAAGGGGGAACAGTCTGCTGATCAAATTTGCAGACGATACTAAAACAAGGGCAGTGGCCACAACTGAGGAGCAGGTACTCCAGATCCAAAAGGATCTGGACAGACTATGGAAGTGGGCAGGAGACAACAGGATGGCGTTCAATGTGGATAAGTGCAAGGTCTTGCACTTGGGGCATAGGAATTGGTGTCATAAGTACAGGTTAGGGGACAAGTGGCTGGACAGCAGCACTTGTGAAAGGGACCTCGGGGTGCTGGTTGACTGCAGGCTAAACATGAGTCAGGAGTGTGATGCGGTGGTCAAGAGGGTGAACGCCACCCTTGGTTGCATAGCCAGAAGTGTGGCTTCTAGATCGAGAGAGGTATTACTACCCCTCTATATGACTCTGGTGCGCACACAACTGGAGTATTGTGCTCAGTTTTGGGCCCCTCGTTAAAGGAAGGATAGCCAGGTTAGAGTCAGTGCAGTGCAGGGCCACAAGGTTGGTGGCCGGTTTGCAAGGGATGGGGTATGAGGCGAAACTGGGGGAACTGGGTCTCTTCAGCCTTGTGAATAGGAGACTCAGAGGGCATCTGTTGGCGACATACAGGTATGTGAGGGGATGTCAAATGGAGATGGGTAGAGTCCTGTTCTCCCCTGTGGAGGAGGGCAGGACGTGTTCCAACGGAGCAAAGTTCAGGGAGCCAAGGTTCCATTTGGATGCCAGGAAGCATTTCCTGACAGTCAGGACCCCGAGGGTGTGTAATGGGCTTCCACGAGAGGTCGGTGAGGCCCCATCAGTGAGGGTGTTCAAAGATGGGCTGGACATGCACATGATAGGCATGTCGTGAGTGGAGCCGGCTGGAGCCGGGGGCCAGACTAGATGGCCCGGGAGACCCCTTCTGACTCACTGTTTCTATGTTTCTATAGTGTAGGGCATGGAACAGAAGTAAAGGAGCGTGACATTACAACAGGAAATACTTGTAAGTATAGGAAAGCTTTACTGAAATCCCAGCTAACACTAGTACTGAAGTCCCCTGGAATAGGTTTGTCGTCTTGCTTTGGGAACCCTCTGGGTGACTAGCAGACTTCTGCCCATGAAATGCACTCTTTACCTGCTGTATTGGGCCTTAATAAGGAGCTGACAGCCCTGGGAGCTTATCTGATTCAGGCACAGATGCATTTGAAAGGTCACCCCTTGGAAGGCAGGGTCGTCACGCTCATAGCTCCGCATAGGTCTCGACTGCTTGCGGGAAATTCTTCTTTTTGCCCTCTGAGACTCAAACTTGTAGGCAACGCCAGTACCCAGCCGCTCTACCGCCCTGGGCTCCTCCAGACACGGTGTCCACGGATGGTTGCTACAGTGGCCTTTGGAGAAGGAGACCGGGGGCTTTTCTTGGGCAGCTTCTTGTAACTCAGTCCGATCCCCTGGCTCTGACTCAAGGCTGGAGCAGTGGAGGTTAATGAGGCTGAGGGCATCCAAGGCACCAATGCTGGCCAGTGCAGGGGACAAGCCATCGCCCTGAGGTGTCGTAGCACTGCGCCTGGGCTGCACGGCCAGTCCCGCCTGCTGTGGAGGCCTCCCTGAGTTGCTGCTGATTGGTTCCGGCTGAGAGGGTTGCTGGGCAGTCTCCTGCAGGAAGTTGAGGGCTTTGCTGTCTGGGATCTGGAGGCAGCAAGCCATGCTGCTGAAGGACTCAACCCTGCAGAGATGGGAGAAATAAAGCATGCATCGGGCAGTGCTAGAGATCATCAGATGCACTTAAAGAAATTGCCCTCCTCGGCTTCTAAGGAATGCCCCCAGGGAAGAAACATCAGAACTTCATCATCAGAGGCATCTTCCCTTTCGCATCCCTCTGCATCACATTCTCTCTTATCCACCCACCACCCCAGGCCATGTGGAACACTCAAAACTGAGGGCAAGATACTGTTTGCCCCATCTCACATTTCTTTAAATCCACAAGACAGTCTCCGCCTACCCTCCAATCCCCCAGTGGCCAGCTCTCCCTGGACTGTATCCCCAAGAAGAATGTCCCTGCTCAAATGGCTCTCTAATGAAAGTATCTGCTCCTATCAGCCCATCCAGTGTCCCCACGGGGCAGCCCTCTGGCAATGAAAGGCACTTTTCCAAGATGTGAGGCACAATTCCAAGCATGGGTGTTGGGGGCGTGCCACAGAGTTCAGGCCTCCCTTTGATATAAACATGCCCAGGACTGCACCCTAGTTACAAAGCTAAAAGATCAGTTTTTCCATTGCTGTGGTTTTTGTTAAGCTCCTCAGAATAGCGACGCTTGTTAACAAACGTTAATACCAGCTAGAGGCCTATTTAGGCTGCACTCCTACACTGCCTTAGCTGAGAGTAAGTCCTGTGGATTGCATTTGCTTTTACTTCTAGATGAAGATTTCATTGTTAATGGCCTATAATTTGGTAGCACCTGAAAGACTTAACAATTATAGCTATGCAAACCCAGAAATTTTCAGGCTCAGAAAATGTTCTTACAAAATGCTGAAACAACAGAGTCCTATAGCACTAATGATTATAGTAATAAAGAACTAATGATTACTGTGGCACAATCTGCAATATAGAACCAATACATTGGGCAGAAATATAATTGTGCTTTATAGCTAGCTTTCCTCACTAGGTGGGGCTAGTACACTTCTAGAATCGGTTTTAATTAAGTTAACAGAAAACTAGTTAAGGTCCTCCTAACCAAAGGAAACGCCACTCTCTCCCCAAATCCTCAAATGTCTACGTAAGCCTTCCCCAACCTAATAGCCTTCAGAGGCATCTGGACCACAACTCTCAGAATTCCCATTCAGCAGGGTCATTCTGGGAATTCTGGGTGTTGCGGTCCAAATGTGTTTGGAAGGCATACGGTCTGTCTGTAGTTTACTAACTGCAGAGAACTTGAATAAGAGCTATTTTAAAGCCCATAAGTGTTTAACTCCTTACAACAAACACCTTCCTCAAATAACTGACAGAGCTTTCTGAGGGAACCCTTCACAGCACATATCTTACCATGATCAGAGGCAAAATAAACCAAGGGGATCTATATATTCCCCCACATAGACACACAAGCACCAGTTCAGTGCAACTTTGGTCCCGATCGTGAGAAATTCATTCTGAGCAGAGATTCCTGCATGGGAGAGGGAGGCCTGGGAAAGTCAGGGACGGAATTTGTAGCGCCACCCTCTGGGTCGAGAGCGCCTGGGTTTTGTTTTCAGCAGAAAGTTTTCCTGCAGTACAATCAGGCTTTCATTCCTCAAATGGAAGCTGACCGGTCAGACAACGAAAAGCCCATTTTCGGAGGTATTCCAGGTTTCTTAACTGAAACGAGGCAGACGTCCGCCTGGGTGTTGCCGCCACCGGCGCGCCCCACCCCCTCGGAGAAATTATTTATTTGGAATATTTTTATCCCGTCCTATACAATCCAGTTGTCCCAGGACAGCTTACAATATAAATAGGCAATAAATACACAAACAATCAAAAATACAACAACAAAATATGGCTGAGAATATTAATAAAACTGGATTAAAATTATTTAAACCTTAAAATGTTGGGTGAATAAAAAGTTTTAAAAATTTATTTCTGTAGCCCAACCAAAACCAACACATTCACTCCCACTACTCCAGCTATGCTTCTGACAAGAAGGCAAAGACCTAAATGTATGAAACAGGAAAAGAACAAATTCTGAAATCATACTGGAGGCATTTAGTGCCTCACAGGTTTAGATGTAAGAGTACAAGTAATGCACACTCAAGGAAGGCACCCCCTCCTGGCTGAAAAAGCAGTGACTCGTCAGGACAGACAATGCTGTAATTCTCCTGCATCCATGGCTGTAACTGAAAGAAGGCATGTTGCAACACAGAATTATCTTATCCAGAAACAAGTAGAAGGCAAAGATTAGAACGAGGACTCCTGCAGAGATGCTGCAGTCAACCTCCTCTGGGAGGCAGTATTTTCAAGTCACTCGTTTTATTTAAGAAGGCCATGATCCTCTGCACCTTTTCCTAGGAGTTAACCCTGCTGAATTTAATGCGGCTTATTCAAATTAGGAGACCGGTCCTGAACTGCGAACTGTGGGCTCACTCGCCCAGCTAACTGAGGCACGGGCTGGTTGCACAGATCTAGCTCCGACTAGCGTCCCATCTCCAAGAACCGGGGGCAATTCCCTGGAAAGGAAGCACTTTACTACTGCTGTCTGCTAGAGCAACTGGAAACAACGACTGGCACGTGGCTTTTCCACACCTGCCCTGCCAGCCCTCCGCGTTTGGCGCCTCTCTCGCTCACTTTCAGGGGAGCTCCCTCTCCTCACCCGGCCTTCACAGCCCAGGCTCAGCTGCCCCAGACCCGCCCGAAGCGGAGGCACGACCCCGCCCCGCGCGCGCGCGCCAGCGTAGCAGGGGCGCGCCCAGGCTCGTGCGTCCTGGGGTTCCCGCCCGCGGATTCTGGCCAATGACCGTCGCCGCTGGCTCGGGCTCTTGCGCGGGCGGAGCAGCCCCATCGGAGGATGCTTTGCGAGGCGCACACTGGCCGGAGCGCGAGGAGAGAGAGCATCGGCTTCTCCTCTCTTGCATTTGCGCGTGGAAGTGGAGAAGCCGCACCCGTCCAAACAAGGGCGGGGAGGCGCCAGAACCCGCAGCAAGGCTTGTTTGCCTGGAAGTACGCCCCACTGATTTTAGTTAGGGGGTTTCTGATGTGCGTTTGCAATCCTGGGCGAACTTTTACTTGAGAGTAAGCACTATTGTACACGGTGGAATGCTAACTTCCAACCAGATTTGCAAAGGATCTGTCCTAAAGTCCTTTTCATTCAGCAGTCACTCTACCTTTGATTCCTGGGACTTACGCCCAGGTAAATATGTATAAGAGTAAAGCAAATCAGCCAACGTCTCAGTCCTGCGCATATTTAGTATGAAGTTAATCCTGGTGAGTTTGGAGAGGCTTGCACCTAAACTAGGGTGCATGGGATTCAGCCCTCATTTGCTTCCGTCGGGCACACAAAACTTATTCGGCTCCTCCCGTTTGTCGCCGTTGGCGGGTTCCGCGGAGACAACCTAAAGGAAGGGGTTTCTCATAGTAGTCAATGGACTTAGGATTGCACCCCGTTCTTGCGACTAGATGTCAAAGAAGCTAACCTTGCTTCTCCGACGACGGCTGTTTCTCTGGCGCCTCCCGGACTGGGGGCCTGGCTACAGCTAGGCTCAGACTCCAGGCAGGGCGGACACAGCAGCTCCTGCAAGACGGAAAAATCCGGGGGCTGCCCGTCCACGAAAAGCTCCCCCTCCATGCCGAACACTCCAGAGGGAGGCGGCAAGCTCCGCACTCCCCTCCCCAGCCCTACATATCTTTTGCAAGGCGAGGGGAGGGACAAACGCAGCTTGCCCAGTGGCCCAGCTTGGGCGCCTAATCGGACGCACCTGAGAGTGCAGGACCGGCAGCCTTAAAGAGAATTCTGTGCTCCAGCAGTTTGCTCACCTTTCGGCAGCAGATGGGAGAAGCTCGAGGGAGCCCTGAGTGGGCTCGAACTCACGCAGGGGTTTGCATGGGTGGGGAGGGGTAGAGAGACTAAGTTGCGGGCCACATTTGCAAGTCTCCCTGGGAACTTCAGCCCATTTTAGGAGCTTAAATGCCCTGTTTTCTACCAGTTGGCTAGGGTCGATGCAACCATTGAGGTCAGTAGGACCTATCTGAAGACAGAGGGAGACAAATTAGCAGAGGATGGCTCTAACCAAGGCAGGAAACGTCATGTTCCGAGGCGGTCTACCTTGAAAAAGCAGGTTGTTGTTGTTAGTCGTGAAGTCATGTCCGACCCATCGCGACCCCATGGACAACATTCCTCCAGGCCTTCCTGTCCTCCACCATCCCCTGGAGTCCACTTAAGCTCACACCGACTGCTTCAGTGACTCCATCTAGCCACCTCATCCTCTGCCGTCCCCTTCTTCTTTTGCCATCAATTGTTCCCAGCATTAGGCTCTTCTCCAGGGAGTCCTTCCTTCTCATTAGGTGGCCAAAGTATTTGAGTTTCATCTTCAGTATCTGGCCTTCTAAGGAGCAGTCAGGGTTGATCTCCTCTAGGAATGACTGGTTTGATCATCTTGCAGTCCAGGGGACTCGCAGGAATCTACTCCAGCACCTCAATTCAAAGGCCTCAATCCTTCGGCGCTCAGCCTTCCTTATGGTCCAGCTTTCACAGCCATACATTGCAACTGGGAAATCCATAGCCTTGACTATACGCACTTTTGTTGGCAGGGTGAAGTCTCTGCTTTTTAGTGAGCTGTCTAGATTTGCCATAGCTTTCCTCCCCAGGAGCAAGCTTCTTTTAATTTCTTGGCTGCAGTCCCCGTCTGCGGTGATCTTGGAGCCCAGGAAAATAAAATCTGTCACTACCTCCATTTCTTCCCCATCTATTTGCCAGGAAGTGAGAGGACTGGATGCCATAATCTTAGTTTTCTTAATGTTGAGTTTCAAGCCAACTTTTGCACTCTCCTCCTTCACCTGCATCAAGAGGCTCTTTAGTTCCTCTTCACTTTCTGCCATTAGAGTGGTATCACCTGCATATCTGAGGTTGTTGATATTTCTCCCAGCAATCTTAATTCCAATTGGTGACTGACCCGCATTAGGTTTCTCAAGAGATAAATAAGATGGTCAGGTAAGGACAGTAAATGCAGAAGTAGGGAGGGAGCATCGTTGCTATGGCATTTGACTAGCTGATGTTGGAAGCAATGCTGGACCTGATCTACTTTGCACATCCAGCAAAGCTGCATGTCATAATCGGGACAGTTGAATGCAGACTTTTTAGCCTCCTTTCTGTGCCCAAGCACCTTAAAGTATGACTAATGCAGCAACAGCTTAAATACACTTATAGCTTGATAAATATATCGGGTAGATCACAATAGAAATCTAACAGACTATTTTCTTTGTAAATCCCTCTGAGCTGATCACTGGCTTGGAAATCAACTAGTTCTGAAAAAAAGTTACTTGCATTTTCTGGTGCTACCTCAAATGGATTCTGAAACATTCTTAATTCCTTTCCATGCTTATGGCAATCAATGAATCTATTCTGGAATCCCACCTGCAACAGGTTCAGTGCTTTGATGTGTCTTTCAACATTGAATGTAAATTCCTGTCCAAATTTTAGTAAAGTGAAACAAGAGAAGCTTGAAAATTTACTTTCACTAACTTGCTTCACAAAAAAGTTTAGTTTTGCCTCAAAAGCTTTCAATTCAGAATACATGTCACACACAAGCTTTCCTTTCCCCTGCGACCTCAGATCCATTGTGTTCAGATGCTCTGTGGCATCAGTTACGAAAGACAAATAAAAAATCCATCCAGAGTCAGAAAGAGGTTCTTGACCTTTTCCCTTCTGCTTGAGAAAGACATCAGTTTCATGATGAAGACTGAAAAGACATTGAAGGGCTTTGCATCTGCTAAGCCACCTGACGTCTGCATGGCACAACACATCTCTATATTCTGCCTCTGTCTCCGAGAGAAAATTTTGAAACTGGTGATGAGTAAGGCCATGATGCCCAATGTAATTAATGCTGGACACAACAATACACACCACGCTTTCCCACTCACAACACAAGGCTTGCTTGTGGATGATGCCTTGACATTGCATGGAAGTGGACCCTTTAATCTCAATGTTTCCTTATGGATCCTTGCAGCTACACATTTTTCTTCCCACCATATTTCTTGCACCATCCATTATGATGCTTTTCAGTTTATCCCAACTCAGACCAAGATTTTCCTTCCTCATCGCTGCCTGGCAGCCAAGCCTCAATTGTGAGAAGCAAGGTGGGAGGGAACTTGACTGGAGGAAGATGTGGAAAGGGGACTCCCATAAGCTTCCCTGGTAATAGAGTCCTCTTTTGCAGCAACCTCACCAGTGGGAAGCCACTTGGAGGAACCTTGATGGGTGGAGCCTCTAGAAACTTTGAATGTGCAAGACACTTTGTATCCTTTTTGCAAAAATACCAGACCTTTTACTCTCCTTTTCCAGCCTTTTTTTTTTTTTTTTTTAGCAAAAGCAGGCCAGAAATCTCTTGTATCCATCCACACAGCTGTGTTATCTTCCTCACACACGTATATAGCCTTCAATGCATGGAGATGCATGGAGACAGGGAGTGAATGGGGCGGGTACCTGAGCTCTGCTGCCTTGCAAAGCGCCCAGGATGGCCAAAATGCGGTAGGGAGGACAAGACCAAGACCGACAGGAGGCACCATGGAGACCAGAAGAAACAATATTGCTGTTGTGGTTTTTTTAGGAGAGGGGCAGGAAAAACAGCAGCAGATGGTGCAGTTTGAGGCAGGAAGAGCTGCATGGGGTCTCGGGGAAAATGGCTTGAGGTTGATCACAGTAAACAAGCTGCAGGGCCTCAGATAAAGAGCTTGGGGGCTGCAGGTTGGGGACCCCTGATGGTAGAAGGTTCGTTTCAGTTTATTAGTTCTTCAAAGAAGCTCTAAGATGCCCCCACCCCCACCAATCTCAAGTTTATTCTTACAACACAGTAAGGTGAATGATTGAGAGAAAATCTCCAAGAAAGTGTGACCAGCCTAAGGTTATTGTACAATCACCCTGGGTCATTCCAGGATTATCAGTGTGTGTGTGTGTGTGTGTGTGTGTGTGTGTGTGCGTGTGCGTGTGCGTGTGTGTGCACGCGTGCACACACGCACATGTGCATGCCCATCCAGAAAACATCTTTCTTCAGTGATTCTCCTGTATTTTCACATTGCTGCTTCCTTCTCTTTCCCTGAACAGGAAAAGATCTGTTAAGGATGGAATAGCTGATTAGCAGTGCAAAAAAATGCCTCCATCAAGAAGCATCCCGGCTTTACAGATAGGATTTGAACAGCTCTGCACCATCCCATACTGTATATTTCAGTTGGCTCCAGGCCAGGGATTCTGGCCACCCAACAATGAGAAAGCCTTTGATGCCATTAAACAATTGGGAGCTAAACACTGACCCCAGCGCCAGTTATCCCACAATCTGCCAGTCCTATCCCGCCTTCTGCTCACTTCTGCCTGATCGGGCGCTGGGAGCTGATATAACAGATTACGGCTCAGACCCACACTCTTCCACAAATGCTTTTCACCTTAAATCTACTAGTTAGGCGACTTGTGAAGACAAGAGTCATCGCTTCCCTTCATATGTTGCCTGCTGTAAACCTTCAGGATGCGAAGGACTGTAAATCTAAGAGATTAGGCCACCGCCACCATTTTCTCCACATGTATCTCTTCCTGGACAGACTAAGTTTCAGATTCACTTTTCACGCATCTGGAAAGGCACATCTTATGAAGGCAAAAACAATGGCAGCAGTCTGCTTTCATATATTTATTGATACAAGCCAACAGGAAACATGAAGTAGGCAACCTCTTGCCTGTTGGGGAATGCAAATCCTGCACGAAACAGATTTTGCCACCAAGGGGCAGATGAGGGACAAGAACAATGTTGATGAAAGCATTGTTTATATAATGGGAAAGCATACAAAGGGAACTAATGAACGTGCCTGTGAGAACAACCCACACATTCCCCTTTTTTCCCCATGCATTCAAAAATACTTCGCAGAACTCTCTGCCTCCATGAAAAGACTGCAGCTCCTCTTTCCTCCTGAAATGTCTTCTATTTTGCTGCCCAGAAGACCCAGGAAAACAGCTATTTGGAAAGAAGGTTCTTCTCCCAACATCCTCCTTGTGCCATGTGTGAAACTGTGCTCAACACAGTGATTGCTTAGGGACAAAGGCACAGAAAGATGGCACCTTAAGCTTTATGAGTGGCTGTATTTGGCTGACCCAAAATTCCTTCCTCAGCACAAGTCACTTGCTCACAGAGCAAATTCTTTTCCTCCTTTTATACAACTCCTGTCTCCTTCAGCCACATTGCTGCCTTGCTCTCTGCAGCCTGCTGAACAGATTCTGTTCAGGGTCAGCCTCTGTCTAGAGATCAGTTCAGCCCTTGGCTCGGTTGCCCTCAGTGGGGTTTGGGGACATGTCCGTCCACATAAAAGTTCCTGGTGATCTTGGGGAGGGTGAACTCGGCTCCTTCCAGTTCTTTGCTGAGGATGATCTGGCAGCCCAAGCGGGAGTTCTCCTGAAGCAGTGGTGCCATGTCCAACATGTCCTCCTCCCTAGGAGGAGAGAAAAGGCAAGATGCTCTGGGAATTGCTGACTGCTACAACTTACATTCTGACTTTCTACCTTTCAAGGCAGATAACAGCAATTGTCGGAGGAGGGGAGTAGCTTTGGCAATGAGATGGAAAAGAAAAGCAGATAAAAGCAATCTGCCATCAGCACCAAACAATGCCCACATAGAACCTACTAAAAGGAACCCTGAATTTAGAAAAGCCCAAGACCTGGCTGAAAAGCAAGCAAACTTTGCTCTGCAAGGGGAGGCCATCGGAGAGCAGGCAGGACAGGCCTCCACAGAGGCGGAATTCCAAGGCTTGGACACAACCCCTGAGAAGGCCTTCCTGTGTATATAGAAAATGTGCCTCAGATACTGGTGGGATGCTTAAATGATCTGACTGAATCAATGGTCACAATCCTGCACAGGACATCACAGGGATCATGGGATATCCCAGACCTGGGCAGCTAGAGAGTCTCTCACTGCAGAGGGAGCACCCACCTTGCACGGCTCCTCGCTGAGCACGGGGACAGGCCCTCAGCGTGTTGTCCTCCAGCGCCAGAGACCAGGCTGATGCGCTGTGGGTGCACTGACAGAGCAGGAGTGGGCCATCTCCTGCCCATCCTCTTCTGCAGCTGCTGCCTGTGCCATGCTGTGGAACTGGCTTTTGTCACACAGAAGCAAAAAGAGCTGGCAGGTCACTGCCAGATTTCAGAGGCAAACTGCTCCCAAACCTTAAAAAGGACTAATGTTTTTCTGACTGAATTCATCTTGTTGAAGAAGCTATTGCAATTTGCTGTTGAATTTCATTGGCAAGCCACCATTCTTTTCCCACACCACAGTTCAGTAGCAGGAGTGCAGCCCACAGGGAGGTGGAAAGTTGCCTCTGGAATACCTAAAGTTGCAGGGAACACACTTGCCAATATTGCCAGCCTGGGAGAGAGTTGGCCCTTCCCAGCTGTACTGCTCCAAAGGAAGCTGAGAAGGACATCAGCAAAGAACCCAGCCCCATAGCAGTTTGGGTAACTAGTGTCTAAAACAGTCCTCCCCAACCTGGTGCACACCAGAACTTTTCTGATGAAACCACTATCAGCTGTAGCCAGCATGTCCACTGCTCAGGAATGCTAGGCATTGTAGTCCAAAACATCTGGAGGACATAAGGCTGTGGGGGGACAGTGCTAAAATGGCCATTGGTATGACAAGGGAGTACCAAGGTGGCCCCTACCGTTCTTCAGGGGAAGGAAGTTTGTCCATGACGTCAGGGCTCACATAGACGTGGCAGGTAGAGCATGCAAGAGATGCTTCACAGGCACCTGTCAAGGCAAGAAGAGGCAGTTGTGAAGGACAGGTCAGCAGAACATGCTCCAGGAACTCAGAGTGGCTAATGAAACCTGCACTGTTCCTCATGGAGCCAGGCATGTCCATCACTGACTCCGTGGACTTTCAAACATATGTCTCATCACTGAGCCAGAAACAGGTCACCAAATTATTGCAGCAGCTGTGGGGTTTTTTTTCCTTTTCTATGAAAAATGCTAAAGCCTTTGTGTATTGAGTCATTTTTTCCTCCCTTAAACTTTGAGAGGGAACATGACAAGATGTTAAAAATGTGAAGTGAGTGCATGAGTTTTTCTTCCTCTCTCCATTTAATAGAACTCAAAGTCATCTCTTGAAGTTCCTGTCCTTTGTTTCTGTTTGGTTTTATTGGGTCACCTGATGAAGGTGCTAAATTGCTTAAGATAAAACTAATGCATTTTTGATGACATAAGGTTCTGTGAACCACATACAGTACATATCTTGGGTGGGAAATTATAAACACTATACTTAGAGGGAAATTTTATTTATTTATTTTTGGATTTATATCCTGCCTTTTTCCTACAAAGGGCTCAAGTCAGCTTACATCATTCTCCTCCTCCATCTTATCCCCACAACAACAACCCTGTGAGGTAGGTTGGGCTGAGAGCCTGTGACTGGCCCAAAGTCACCCAGTTGGCTCCATGGCTAAGCAGGGACTCGAACCCAGGTCGTCTGAGTCCCAGTCCCATGCTCTTAACCACTACACCACACTGGCTGCAGAAAGTACTGACAATCTTTCCCCCTTCTGCCTCCCAACTACATGTGTACCTGAAAGTCTCAGTATTGCTTCATGCATCCAACTAAGTTGGTTACAGTCTAAAACATGGGTCCTCAAATTATGGCCTGAGGGCTGGATCTGGCCCGCCAAACCCATTTATCTGGCCTGCCATAGAGGTTTTGGACTCGGTGAGGTGACGGCTTGCTTGTGCGGAGATCGATTTGGACTCACTCGGAGAAAAGGATCTCCTTGTGAGCAAGCCTCCGCCTCGCAGTGTGCGTGCCCAGTGGCAGCTTGCTCACAAGGAGATAGTTTCGGACTCGCTCAGAGAAAACAATCTCCTTGTGAGCAAGCCAGTGTCTTGCTGCGTGCGTGCATGCCCCCCCCCAACCCATGCTCCCCCTGCCTGCACCGCCTTGGCGGCCCGTGCCATCGCTGGTACCTTTCAACAGGCCCCCTGTTAAAAAAGTTTGAGGACCCCAGTCTAAAAAGTTATGCCATCACAGGAGCGTTAGTCCTCACATGCTTGGTTGGTTTTGCCACCCTTCTGGAAATAATTATGCACTGATGCAAGCTGCAAAGATGGCCACCAAATCAGACCTCTTCTTCAAATGTTTGTATAACAAGATGGCTGAATTATATAGCATCCCAGTTGCTGGAGCACAGTGTGGGAGGACTACTACCTTTGTGTCCTGCTTCAGGGCTGCCTGCTGTTGCCAGTTGGGTGCCTGGCAAGATGTGCCTTTGGGTTGCAACATACCTTCTAGGTCAATGCCATGTCTCTGAGCCAAATGCAGCACGTCATCCCCGACTCTGCCTTGCACTGGGAGCCGTTGTCCTGATCGGTCTATGAACACCACATTCACTCTGAGGCAGATGAAAAAGCAGACAATGCCCTCAGTCCTTGAGCCTCTCATAATTATCAGGTACCAAACACTGCAAACATGATTGCAAACACCTTCTGCAAATCTGCATAAAGGTGCGAACTGCCAATCAACACCGAATAAATACAAAGGATTTTGAATTGTAAACAGTTTCACCATAAAAGAGAACTAATAAGAAATGTTCAGGCCTCAACAGATTAAAAGCCAATTCACTTTGCAGGATTTAAATGTTCAAACAATTAACTGGTTCTCTTCATACAGTTTTACTTCAAAACAGGGTGTTGCATCCACATTGGTTGGTTTTGAACCGAGGCAGGTGGACCCAGCAAGCACACGTACCCATGGCAGTTCTTCGTGACAACAAGAGGTAACTGTGGGGCCAGAATAGGCTGAAGAGATGGCCCGGTAACAGCTGCCCTGGGAACTAAGCTAGCAATATGAACCCGTTTATCTAGTCTCCTGTGTTTCTGATTAGCACACAGATGTACTAAACCCTGAACTATGGAAAGCTGCCCCCTGGACCTTCCATTTCAGATTTAGCCTAATGGGAACACCTGCTGTCACCATGCCTAATTAGCCTACGTGTAATTATTAGCCAGTGACATTGTTCCATGGCTTCTCACTGGGCTTTGTGTAGGCCTCACTGACAGCCATATTCTGTTTAGCTTGCTTTTTGCTTCCTTAGCAGCCAAGCCTGTTTTAGGATTCTGGGCAGGGGAGATGCACAAAGCACTGACACATGGTATAATAAGCAAGTGCTTGCTTATCAGGCTCGCCAAGAAGCTTGCCTTCTAGACCAAGGCTGAATTAACTAGATTAGTATGACCTTGTCAACCAATTGATCAATTGTTAGCAATGCCAATACTAGCTTATGGTGAGACCAGTATTTTGCTAATTAGCAGAGCTAGGAATGATGTAACCCTAAAGCTGACATTATTGTAATCTACATTACTTCAAAGTTCACACCTATATCAATGTATGCTTTGCTGTAAACAACAGAGTGTATATAAAGCGGGCAGTTGGCCTAACCACTCTGTGTTCAGACTTCTTGGACCAGCAGGCATCACTGCTTGTCTGTTCCAGCTGACTGGAACATTGTTGACTGACTGCTGTTATTGACTGCATTGTAAATTATGCCATAGGCTAATAAAAATCTTGTAAGCAAACTTGGATCTCACATATCTTGTCTTAGGGATCTCCAGAACCTTTAAGCGCACAGCCAAGTCAAAGAGGCCTACATAGTCTACAATAAAGGGACACACACAAACAGAAAATCCAAGATTAATCTGAACCCAAAAAATTACATTCTCTGATACTCACACTTCAGCCATACAGTTTTCATCTTCTGCTTGAAAGGCCACTAGAAGAAGAAAATCCAGACACACAGCTTTATCAACATTCCGTAGGGACTTGAATTAGTCTTCTAGTAGCCATTCTCCAGTTCTCCAAGAATAGTACTGTATGATTTGCAGTGTACCATTGGATCTTTTGGAAGAGATTCATTCCAGAATGCAATCTGCTGCTCTGGCCAATTTGTTTGTCTTCACAAGGGCTAATTAGATATGTTTGTCCCTGGGCTAATTAGATATGTTTGTTAGATATGTTTGTTCCCTGCTCTATTCCTCCTGTTATCCTGCACAGGAGTCAAGTAATACATTGATACCCTGGCTCATGAACTTAATCTGTTCCAGGACTCTGGTCGTGACCCAAAATGGTCATGAGCCTAGTTAAATTTCCCCATAAGGTTCAACATAAATAAGGTTAATCAGCTCTGTAACTTTTTTTTTAATCAGAAAAATGTGAAGCAAAGTGACAAAGAACAACAAAGATCGCAGCCATCTCCCCCCTGCCCCACCCCGAGCACAAGCATGGCCATCTCTCTGCCTCTCCCCAACACGACTGAGATTGCACCTGTCATCCCTGCACACGCCCGTCATTCCGGCGCACTGTGGGGGGGCGCAATCATGGGTGCACTGGGGGAGAGAGACGGGCATGAACAGGGCACGCTGAGGGAGGGAGAGACAGGCATGAATGGGGAGCACTGGGGGAGGGACAGACAGACGCAATCTCGGCCACCCCACCCCCAGCATGATCGCAGCCATCTCCCGACTCGGGGGGCGGGGGTGAGGAGATGGCCACAATCATGCTGGTGGAGGGGCGGAGATGGCCGAGATTGTGCCCGTCTTTCCTGCAGGAGTGCGCCCGTGATCACACACATCTTCCCGGCATGAATGCAACTGCAATCCTGGCCATCTCCCCACTCAGAGAGAGGAACAGTGTAAAGAAATAGAAGAAGACAATAGAATAGGGAAGACTAGAGATCTCTTCAAGAAAATTGGAGATATGGAGGGAACATTTCATGCAAAGATGGGCATGATAAAGGACCAAAATGGCAGGGACCTAACAGAGGCAGAAGAGATTAAGAAGAGGTGGCAAGATTACACAGAAGAACTATACAAGAAAGACCTTAACATCCCTGATAACCACGATGGAGTGGCCACTGACCTCGAGCCAGACATCCTGGAATGTGAAGTCAAATGGGCCTTAGGAAGTCTGAGCAACAACAAAGCTAGTGGAGAAGACAGTATTCCAGCTGAGCTATTCAAAATCCTAAAAGACGATGCAGTAAAAGTGCTACACTCAATATGCCAGCAAATTTGGAAAACTCAACAGTGGCCACAGGATTGGAAAAGGTCAGTTTACATTCCGATCCCAAAGAAGGGCAATGCCAAAAAAATGTTCAAACTACCGCACCATTACACTCATTTCACATGCTAGCAAAGTTATGCTCAAAATCCTACAAGCTAGGCTCCAGCAGAATGTGGACTGAGAACTACCAGAAGTACAGGCAGGAGTTCGAAAAGGGAGAGGAACTAGAGATCAAATTGCCAACATACGCTGGATCATGGAGAAAGCTAGGGAGCGCCAGAAAAACATCTACTTCTGCTTCATTGACTATGCTAAAGCCTTTGATTGTGTGGATCACAACTAATTGTGGCAAGTTCTTAAAGAGATGGGAGTACCAGATCATCTTATTTGTCTCTTGAGAAACCTGTATGCGGGTCAAGAAGCAACAGTGAGAACTGGACATGGAACCACTGATTGGTTCAAAATCGAGAAAGGAGTTTGGCAAGGCTGTATACTGTTGCCCTGCCTATTTAACTTATATGCAGAATATATCATGAGAAAGGTGGGGCTAGATGAATCACAAATTGGAATTAAGATTCCTGGGAGAAATATCAACAACCTCAGATATGCAGATGATACCACTCTCATGGCAGAAAGTGAAGAGGAACTAAAGAGCCTCTTGATGTGGGTGAAAGAGGAGAGTGCAAAAGTTGGCCTGAAACTCAACATCAAGAAAACTAAGATCATGGCATCCAGTCCTATCACTTCCTGGCAAATAGATAGGGAAGAAATGGAGGTAGTGACAGATTTTATTTTCCTGGGCTCCAAGTTCACCACAGATGGGGACTGCAGCCAAGAAATTAAAAGATGCTTGCTCCTGGGGAGGAAAGCTATGGCAAATCTAGGCAGCATACTAAAAAAGCAGAGACATCACCCTGCCAACAAAAGTGCATATAGTCAGGGCTATGGATTTCCCAGTTGCAATGTATGGCTGTGAAAGCTGGACCATAAGGAAGGGAACTGCTGGGAACAATCGACAGCAAAAGAAGAAGGGGACGGCAGAGGATGAGGTGGCTAGATGGAGTCACTGAAGCAGTTGGTGTGAGCTTAAGTGGACTCTGGGGGATGGTTGAGGACAGGAAGGTCTGAAGGAATGTTGTCCATGGGGTCACGATGGGTCAGACGCGACTTTGCAACTAACAAGCAAAACTCTCTTATATGTGTTGGACTACACATCCCATCAGCTCACCTCAATATGGAGGACTCCAGACTGGGGAAGGCTGAGAAAGCACATTGCACGTGGGAGGCAGTAAGAAGGCCTAGAGAGTCAACCCCTTTATTTATCTGTTTAAAACATTTATATACCATCCACTACCAAATAGTCTTGGGATGGTCTTACAATAAAACAAAGTAAAGCACAGCATCCATTCTGTACAATTAAACCCCAATTAAAATCACAATCTAAACCTTAAAATACTGGAAAAATAAAAAAGTAGGTAAAAAATAAAAATAAAATTATACACAAAGCGATCTTGAGGCCGTGGCACACTTTCAGCTTAACCTGCCTTCAGAGAATCAGTCTAACAATGAAATTGGGGTAGGGGAGGATAAAATTGACACACATGTGCTCTGGCGTGTGCCTCATCACCAAGAGAAGCGAGCTTTGGGGGCTGCAGGTGTCATTTACAATGACCTAGGTTTCTTGCAAGAAGGCGAGAGTAGTGGAGAAATAGTCCGTGTGTGCGAGGGGGGAACATATATAAAAAGGCGATATGACGCAAGCAACCGGAATAATTCGTGACAAAATCTGGGGAAATGGCGGTGCGGAAGATTGGTGGGAGCTTACTTCGGAAGAAGGGGAAAGCACTCTAAAGAAAGAGAGAGGTGCCACCCCCGCCGAAAGGAAAAACCGGTGCCTGTCCCTCTTCTTGCCCCAAGGAGAAAACGGGCACTGCTTGGTGCGTGGGAAGTGCGTCCTCCGTCATCATTGGAGCAGCGAGAGGGGAGGGCAGAAAAAGACCCCCGAGCACAGCGTCTCCCCACCTGCAGTGCGGAAGCCCCGAAGCAGACATCGCCCAGCAGTCCCGCGGAGCAGCCGGAACCAACGCCGCGACTGAGTCGCGCTCACCCGGCCGCCCGCGGCCCAGGAGGCCGCCATGACAGACTCCACGTGACCGCCAGGCAGGGTCGGGCGTCTGCGACCGTCTCCACGAGACGGAACGGGGGCGGGGATGTGCGCGTGCGCGCCCGCAAGACGGGAGGTGAGGGTTGTTAATGGTCGCCGGTCGCTGCTCTCATTCGCAGCCGTGTAGCGCTTTGGGGTATCGAGAACGCTTCACGTGCAGTATCTCACAGTCTTCAGAAGAACCGTGTAGGGTAGGTCAGTGTTAATCACCTCCCTGTTGCAGGTGCGGGGGGCTGCTTGAGCCCGAAGGCGGCTGGTGAGTTCCAGAGCTCCCGAGTAGAAGTCTGGGCACTGGGGCACCCACTGCAGGAGGAGGAGTACAGGCGACGAAGGGAGAGTGCGCAGGGCTGGGGGCGAATAGAGTTCCCTGCATCGGGATTAATTTAGAATTAGTGGGACAAAAGGTTAAGTCTGCCCATTTTTAGTTGCAAAATTATTGGGATCACAGAGCCTCTGAGCAAACTTCGAGTGTATTTCTGTTTAAAGGAGGCCAGTTTATATATGGCAATTTTTTTGTTGAGTGTGTTTATACTCCACATAAAAATTGCCCAATTGTTAGGGCCTTGGTCTGATCGTCAGAGGTCGTGTGTCCGCAGGAATAGTAGAAGTTTGAATTTCAGATGCATAGGACAAATGATAGGAAAGAACTGTTGTTTTTACACCCTGCTTGTTAGAAAGATTTATGCTTTCTTGAGAGAAAATGCTACAGCGCTGGTTTGCATGTTACGATGGATAGCATCGTAAACAGTATTCAAAACACAGCTTTGCATAAAGGCTTTACAATAGTCACTATTTTGAACTCCTTTCCTTATAATCCCAAATCATGGTATTTGCCCTTTTTATAGCTGCCACACTCTTGAGTTTATTTTAATGAAGATACCCACCATGACTAAGATCTGTTTTCCTGTTAGTTACCACCAGTTCAAACCTAAGCATTGTGTATGTAAACAGTGGGATGTTTTGTGCCCCAATATTCAAGCAGATCTTACATTTATAAGGAACCTCAGCTGCCCCCCCCCCTTTTGCACCCATTACTTTGTGGAGAGAATGTTGATAGTCCACTTGAGTGTTCCTTATCAAGTGCTTGTATTTTGAGAGGATGGAAAGAATAGAACATAATATATAGCTTGGGCAGTGGGTGAAAAAGCTGAGAGAAAAGCATGAGGAAGTACAAGGAAAGATAATCAGATTTGCAGGCAATACAAAACTGGGTGGAATAGAAGACACCCTAGAAGACAGAATAAAGGTTCAGGGAGATCTCGATAAACTTGAATGCTGGGCTGAAAGTGACAGAATGAGATTCAGTAGGGACAAGTTCCATGTCCTGCACATAGGAAAGAGAAACCAAATGCATCAATACAAGATGCGGAATATGTGGCTTAACAGTACTTAAAAAGACCCTGGAGTAATTGTAGACAACAGGCTAAAGATGAGCCAACAATGCAGTGCAGCTGCAAAAAGGGCAAATGCTATTTTGGGATGTGTTAATAGAAGCATTACTTCCAAATCATGAGTGATAGTAGTTCCCCTATACTCCTCACTATTCAGGCCTCATCTGGAATACTGCATCCAGTAATGAGCACCAAGGTTTAAGAAAGATGCAGAAAAATCAGAAAGGCTCCAGAGGATGGCAACAAAAATGCTCCAGGGTTTGGAAGCACTTCCCTATGAAGAGAGACTGAGAAAACTGTGATATTCAGCCTTGAGAAGACTGTGGGGGAGGAGAGACATGCCACTCTGTAAGTACCTCAAAGGCTGTCTGATACAAAGAGGAAGGTAAAGATCTCACGGTTACCAGCATGTAGGACATTGAATAATCAACTCAAGTTGTGACAACCCAGATTCAGGCTGGAGATCAGGAAAAGCTTCTTCACTGTCAGAGCAATACAACAGTGGAACCAGCTGCCTAGAGAGCTGGTGGGTGTTCCCACACTGGACATTCAAAAAGAAACTGTACAGCCATCTGAGTGGGATAGATAACTGGTGTCCTTCAACAGCAGTGGGTTGGACCCAATGGCCTTCTTGGCCCCTTCCAAGTCTACTATTCTGTGATTCTGATTTCAGGTGAGCAAAAGCTTAAACATCTGTCATTTATAATGAACAACAAGCTAATGTAATGCACGTATACTTGCATAGTTAGTATCATTTTGTATAAATTTACATATTTGCCATGGGCAGAATGTCAACACACTAAGGAAATGGTATGAATGCCATTGCACCTCATACTGAAGCCTTAATTTCTGAAATATAGCTGCACAGAATTTTTTTGCTAAATTTGTGTCACTGCACAAACATGATATAAAAAGGCTAAAGTGGTTTCTAGCTAAGAACTAAGCTCTAAAGGATTCAAGAGACTGGTGATTACTTTTTATTATTTCAAAGGAATCCATTTCAAAGTAGTGGAAATTTGTGATCAGCTCTCTCAGTGCTTCTGTGATGTCTGAAAGTAACTGGCAGAAAAGGGTGTCCTGGAATGGTTGCTCTTCTCCTCACTTCACTTGGCAGGACTCCTGCAAATCAGACATACACACCACGTGGGAGGGAACTCCTTCCCTGCTTTGGGATGTGAGGTAGCATCAAGGTGACTTATCTTACCTTTCCCCATTTTTTGGGCTCACATTGCTACCAGCCATCACATCCTCTGGGACCAAATACCATAGGTTTCTGAAGCATTATGGTGGCAGGTTAGTATTTTAAGTATACAAGACTGGTTAATACTGAATTGAGAGGTGATAGTAGACTTTTGTCTACTCATAAATGTAATATGTCTGCATGGTGGTACAGTGGTACCTTGGCTCATGAACTTAATCCGTTCTACGACTCTGGTGATGACCCAAATTGGTCGTGAGCCAAGTCAATTTTCCCCATAAGGTTCAATGTAAATAAGGTTAATCCATTCTGTAACCATTTTGTAAATCACAAAAATTTGAAAAAGAGCGACAAAGAACAACAAAGCTCATGGCCATCTCCCCCCCCACCCCGCCACCTGAGCATGACTACGATCATGCCCGTCTTCCCTGCACAAGCTCGACCGCGGCCATAGACCGATTGCGATCATGCTCAGGCAGGGAAGATGGGTGTGATGCAGTCGTCACCTGATGTGGAGTTCACAACCTAAGGCAATTTTTTTCTGAAATTTCTGTTCGCAACCTGATTTGGTCGTGAACTGAGGCGTTCGTGAGCCAAGGTACCACTGTATTTGTGGCAAAGCTATAGCGTTCCACTGCATCAACACCAGCCAGTCCCTAAAGAACACCCCTTCCATTCCACCCTGCCCTAGTTAGTTTCCAATCCATTTCTCAACTGACTGATAGAGCCAGCCAGGCTCAGCTACCTCATAACATCACCTCTATTCTGAAGCCTTCTTCATTCTGTACCTAACTCAAGCTTATTCTTTAAGTGGCTTTTGTAAAAATGCAGTGTGTCTCCTGCAGCTTAATTCTAAGCCCCAGGCTATGTGTTAATAGTCATTACATCAAAGCTACCCCACATGTATGGCCACTGAGATCTCTCATGGTCCATGAAGCCCTGAAAGGCAGAGAAGGCTGAAAGGAAATCCCACACACACACACCAGGGAGGCAGGTGTGACTCCACTCTGAATCAATTCAATTCTATACTGCCCAAATCTGAAGCTGTTTAGGCCATCAACAAAAGTAAAAACTTACAAGAGAGAAGGTTACTGAAGGAAGAAGAAAGATGGCCCACAGCTGTTGCTTGCCTGTATTTGTGCCTGCAATCCTCCCCACCCACTCCACTTCTTCTTCCTTTGGTTTGCTCAGCAGCTTCTTAGCACTTAGGTCCAGTCTTACAAACAGACACTTTCATGTGAGTGTAATGCAGCAGAGTCAGAATGCAAGGCAAGAATTGATATAAATATAGTTTTACTCTGGAAAGTTAGTATCCAGCTGCTGAGAGATTTACAATCCCATGACAAATACAGCAAACCAGCCAGTATCTACAGTAGAAACAGCATGTTTATAAAACAGAAAAAGTGTGCCATGTATAAGCAGACTTCTATATTCCCCAGGGAGAAGGCCACAAACCCTCATTCTGTCTTAAAATAACCCCACATAGGTCTTCATCAAGAATAGGCAATATGGAAATACTGCCCATCCTAAACCAAAGTCACTTTAAAAGCAACCAACTCAGCTATCTGCTTCTGTAGCAGGCTAAACTGGGCCTTGGTCAGGGACCGTACTGATGCTTTCCCTCTATCCTCCCTCAGCTCATATAAGGGAAATGAGAAACTTTTATAGCCCATTAAGAAGTCAAAACTGCTAGTTCATTGGAACTGGCTTCAGTGTCTGAACTTTGCTCAAGCGCTGGCGCAGCTTCAAAAACTGTGTGATGTCAAAAAGCCAGATGTGTCCTGTTGCGACCAAGATACAGAATTGCTGCACAACATTCTAAATCACCCTAGAAAGCAATGCCCAAAGATTGTCCCAGCTACAGAAGTTTGGCCTGAAAGGTATCAGACCAGAGGATCAGCATTAAGACACTTGTCAAAATAGAACAATGCACTAAAAAAAACAACAACCCTCATTTGCACTCAAAGAAGGAATTGGTCTACCCTGAAAAATACACATCACACCTAGGAGGGCAAAAGATTTTTTTAAATGAAATCATTCAAGGATTTATGGATGCTGTTCAGGATCCCACACTCCTAAGCTATTTAAAAAGTAACTAAAACCATGAAAATTTTTTAAAAAGGTAGTTTACAAACTATAATTACCAAACTGAGTAAAACAAACATAACATTTTTAAAAAAAGAGAAAGGAGGGTTGTGGGGAGACCGGAGAGTCAAGGGCCCCAGGAGCATACTGGAGATTGATGAACTGCAGCAGATTGGAAAAGGTGTCCCAAGATGGCACAAGGGTCCTCTAATGCCACCTTCTTCCTGTTAGCAGTCACCCCATCACACTGCAGCACATCCAGAGGCACCTACAGAATTCAGGTACATTCATTTGCTAGAAGCAGATTTAAGGCAGGGAAGTCCTCTCTCTTTAGAAGACAGGGTCCTTGCAGGTAGGATAGATGGCAATCAGAAAACAGTACACAAAGGAGCCCAAGGAAGAAAATTCATTCATTTCATTTTGGTCCAGCTGACTGACAGGCAGCAGCGGGCTGTCTGGAACTTGATAACACTTCTCATGATTGCCCAAATAGCCTTAGCTAGGAAAGGGGTGTTTGCTCGAGAAAAGCACCAAAGATCCATCTTCAAAGTCCAGAATGTGCTTGTACCGGACCCCAAGCTCAGAAGCCAAGTCCTTTACACATAGGCTTAAAAATAAAAATAAAGCAAAACATTAAAAACATTTTTACAAAAATGAACACAGTTAGGTTGGGGGGTAGGGAGAGAAAGAAGAGTGCTCCAGCCAGAAACTAAGATTAAAATATCCTCTTTCGCTTCAGATAGGAGTCTGCGTAGTGCCCTCCGAGACCCTGAGAATGCTGACCAACATAGCTGCCTTCCGGGCTTGGCTCTGGTGATGGGAGGAGGTGGGAAAAGGCCCGCTTTTGGCCACCAACTGGAGTCTGCAAAATGAAGATGGGGGTGAGAAGGAAGAGAAGCCATATTAGGGCAATGTTAAGACAACATGGAAGACCTAAAGGTTTCAGAGTTACTCCCTGACTGCATCATCTCACCTTTGAGTATGTGCCCTGCGAGTGACTAGTTGGTCCTAGACCCAGGATACTTTCTCCTGTACTCACAGGAGGCATCCCGACAGCCTGAAAGACAGAATAGTATCATATTTGATTAGAAGGCTTCATTGATACTGTTCCACTATCCAGGGAGAGAAGCTAAAGAAGATCTCTAGAATCCTTCATGAACACAGAGGGAAATGCAGGCCTTACTAGTGCAGAACCAAACAGGAAAACCAGCATTTCAATTTCCACTGCAGCCTCCTAAGTGAAATATACTCTGTCAGTCCTTCCCAGCCTGGTGTCCTTATTATGCTTGGCTGATAGAAGTTGCAGTCAGCTGCATACAGGTGTGATTTGGACTTTTTAAATTGCATGGCTCCTTCCCAGCCCACATTCCTGTTGACGCAGGAACGCCCCCCCCATCCCCCATTCATGGTGCTTTCTTACTTAATTTCAGCAACAAATTGCTACAGAGGATTAGAAACAACAAATTTAGCTTGAAACAAGATACATTTCTCAGTTTTATCCTCCATAAAGTTTGCTACTGAAATCTAGCAGCAAAACACCAATTTCTGAAAACAAGGAAAATGTGTCCCTCTCCAGTGGTCAACTGCCAAAATTCAGTGGCAAACCATTGGGGAAAGGGTGAGGCTTGCCACTGCATTGCTGAATCTCAGTGCTGCTTCAGAGGCTGGTGCATCACAGCCACAGGCTTTGTGTTAATGCCCCTTGATGTATGTGATTTAGACCGACCAAAGAGTACAGAAGGGTCTACAGTTCCAGGCTCATATTCTTAGTAATAAGAATATAGTCTACCTCATGTTGATCTTACTGGATAGGATTCAGAAAGCCTTCTCTATGCCCATAGGATTCATGTTTGAACAGAAGCTACCCTCCCACAACACCAGATCAGTGTGCCTTTGAAAAAAGTAATCAAATGCAAAATGGTATGCTATGGGGGAAGCATATTTGCTCTTGAAGGTAACATGCTCAAGTCACTCTGGGCCCCCAGAAAACCTTCTTTAAAAGGTTTTAAGAACTGTGCCCAGTCTCAAGGCAGCCTACTATTTTTTCCTTTCCATATACATTCCAATATATATTTTTACATAACAGCGACATCTCACAAATTGCATTGTGTTCATGTTTCTTTAGCAAGAACTGCAGTTCATATGCTTTGGCTGGTCACACCTGGAAGTTGCTATTTGTTCTGACCACATTGTACTAAAGTTTAGCCACCTCCATCTTCAGCTGTGCACATAAACAAGCAAGCTGTTGTCAAAACAGAAAACTGGTGACCTTAAACTCAAAAGTAATGAGCTTATCACAGCTGGGAGAAGGTTGCAAGTGGCAGGGGGTGATATACCCACTGAAGAAAAGGAATGTGCATGTGACTACAGGGTAACACTCAAAGCTATTCCAGGTTGATTCCTGACACACAGAACAAATCCAATTCTCAGGTCTTACTTTATTCAAGTGGCTCTGCCTGAGTCCAGCTTGAAGACCACTAGTGAAATAGGATGTTGGAGACCCTGCATAGAAGGGAGGCAGAGGGGCTCCCAAGCTGTTCCGCTCAAACCCGGGTGACGACACCTGAAAGAGAAGCAGAATTCACACCAGCTGTTTGTAGGCAGAGCTTCTTGCACCCCCACTATGTCACAAGGAGGCAAGGAACAACAGAAAATGGTTAGACCACACCACTGCTACCAGGCTTAGTGTTACTCAAGGTTGCAGCTTGCACTCAATACTGTTGCTAAGGAAAAAAGTGGATAGCAACAAGGAGCTGTCACCAGTTCAGCACTGCGGAGTGGCAGAAGCATTGCCAGATATGTTCTGCCCACAGATCAACATTCCACCTTGCAACAGTGTCAAGAGTTATGCAACTGCTGCGTGCACAAGCAGGGCAAAATGGTCACAGCTACTTTCAGGGTGACCTTCTAAATACCTGGTCTGGGGGTGCTCATTAGCAAACCTCTCTTCCTTGTGCAATGAAACACCTACCCTTCCTCCAACAAGAGTTAATCATCTGTACTGCAACTGGGCTATTTATTTTTTTTTCTAAATGTTTGTGTACTTCTGCAAACCTTGAGATTTCCTAAGTTTGTTTGCTCACTCCTGCATGCATGCGTGAGAGAGAGAGAGACTGTAACAGGGTATATATCACTCACTGGGACAGATGACCTGCCTACCAAGAGCACCTCCATCTTATCTGGATTAAGCCTCAATTTACTGGCCCCCATTCAGACCATCACACCATCCAGGCACTGATTCAGATCCATCATCGCCTCACCTGGATCAGATGAGAAAGAGAGGTAGAGCTGGGTGTCATCAGCACACTGGTGATATCTCAGCCCAAACTTCCAGATGACCCCTCCCAGTGGTTTCATGTAAATATTAAACAGCATGGGAATCAAATGGAACCCTGCTGTACTCCATGGCATAATTGTCATGGCACAGAGCCATAATTGCCCAGCACCACCTTCTGGAATCAGCTAGCCAAGCAGAAACAGAACCAGTGCAAAGCAGTGCCTCTGGCCCCTAGCTTGGCCAGCCTATCAGGAAGGATACCATGGTTGATGGAGCAAAAGCCACTTAGAGGTCCAGGAGAACCAACAAGGACTGCCCCGCCCCCTCCCAGCAAAAGTCATCCCACAGGGTGACCAAGGCAGTTTCTGTCCCAAAACCAGGCCTGAAACTGAACTGAAATGGATCTAGATGGTCAGTTTCCTCCAAGAGTGCCTGGTATTGCATGGCAACCACCTGCTAGAACACCTTGCCCAAGAAAGGGTTATTGGCCACCAGTCTTTAATCCATTTAATACAATGGATGTTTACCTTCTGCTTGTTTTGTGCAAATCCAGGCAGCTGGGCTCCTGTCTCTCTGCTCTGGGCATATATTCGTGATCCCAAGTCCTTTTGAAAGAAAATAGATGGAATCAATTTAAGCAAGAGTAGCATATATCGCAGGTAACTATGATTCCAAAATATTTATTTAATACTCATTTACCTTCATCCTGTGTCAACAAAAAATAGCATAGTTGCATGTGGGGTTATTTTGTTACCCCAGAAAAAGCACCTTGGGCAAGATAAATCTGTATATGAAAGCCATTTATTCTGGCTGAATGTTTCCCCAGGATGTTTTAATCAGCATAAGAATGGCTTCCAGCTATCAGGAAGTACAGATAATTTAGGTGTAAGCTTTCTTGAAGTTAGGTATAATAACAACATCTGCCTCCCCCACAAAAAATGTGCATAAAGTTAGTATCGTACTTGGGAAAAAATAAATGTCTCTTAATGGTTTTGATTTTTATTTTCGGAGGTTTTAACCTCAGACTCTTACCTTTCAAAGGAGACTAAGATTATATGCATTTAATTGTCTTTTGCTCCCCAGTGTAGGACCTAAAAGGGCCCCTAAAACTAATGTTATGCAGATTTTGGCTTTATGGAAGAAAAAAAAACCACAAAGGGCAGAAGATTCAAATTCAGGGCCTGTTTAGACTAAGCACTTTGTGACAATGCCCTAAAACGACAAATCAGTAGGACTAAATAGGTATAAATTACAGCAAAGAATGTGAGCTGGGAAATGCCAGTTACCCCATGAACCAGATAAAGATTTATCCTAATCACATCCTGTTACCATAACAAATCTTGCCATATTTCAATGTGAGTCTGTGGTGGTTTTTAAAATTCCTTGTGCTAATTGCATAAGTTTCAAATTGTTGCCAGGCTGTTTAGAAATCTTCCCTATAGTTAGCATTCCAGTTGCCATTTTGACTTGGGTTGACCAGACCCTGAAATGCCATTGCTGTAATGTGGATTTGCATGGTGTCTTCCAATTGATTGAGAAGCCATGGCGCTGTCCATAAAAAAACATTCTTTTCATAGTTTGTCACTTAATTTGTCATATATCAATATCAGACCTGTAACTGGAGACAGACTAATTACTTGCCCAATTATTTTGCCAGCTTCTACAAATACCCCCTGCCAAAATTATTGACATTGCACTTTTACGATGAGATAAGAACACAAGAACCATGCAGGAAAGATGAAGTGTCCATCTAGTCCAGTATCTGTTCATTTAGTGGCCAACCAGCTGCCTGTGGGACAGCCACAAGTAGAATGTGAGTTTAACAGTACTCTCCCACCCATCTTTCCCAGCAACTGGTATTCCCAGCCATACTGCCTCCAGTACTGGAAAAGACAACCACCACACATATGAAGAGATATGCCAGTCATATTACCCATTTTGTTTGCTCACTTTGCAAACTCATATAATTTGAGCTTTTATGTTTTGGCATGTCACTTCACCCAAAATTGTGTGGTCTTAGAAAGCCACAGTTCCAAAGGATTTTACGGTACTCACTGGCTGGTAGTCAAAGGAACAGTTCTCTCCTGTCAACCCAGGTGAGGGCAGCACAGGGTCAGAGATGGAGGCCTGTGGAAGTCTGGGGTTGGAAACATTGCCAAGAACACCAGTCTTCAAGCTGAATCCTTTACTAGCCCCACCTGCAAAGATGGAGGAGACCATTAACATGCACAACTAGGTTAGAAAACCAAAGATGTGGTTGCCTTCTCACCCCACAAATATTAGTAATAAAGATTAGGAAAATATTTGGAGAAAGAGGATATTAAAATGTAAGGTTAGAATAAGAATAAAGAAAAAAATATAAAATTGTATGGAAGTGGTACCTAACTCTGGTGAGGTTGAACTGTATAGATAACAAATACTCCAATTTATGTTGGAGATGTGGTCATGAAATGGGTACATATTTTCATATGTGATAGGAAAGTGAATATATAATGAAATTTAGGAAAGAGGATTTTAAAGATTGTAGTAAAATGTTAAGTCTAAATACAGACATTTGCCCTGAGATTGCATTACTTTCAATATTTGATAAGAAACAGTGGAAGTGGAATAATAATTACAAATTTAGTAACTGAAGCAAGATTAATTATAGCTAAGAATTGGAAAGTAAAATATGATTACCAATTGTGTGATTAGTTTAGGGAGGTTTGGGATATCATTATTAATGACAATTTAACATATGATATTAAAGTAAGAAAAGGACATATGAAGAAAAATAAGTTTAATGATATTTGGGGTGTATTAATCAAGTATGTCCTTAAAAAAGGGAAAGGATTTGAGCTGTTAAAAGAATAATTACAGTCCTGGAAAGGGGGAACAACCTGAAATTTTTGCAAGAGGATTTTTTTTTTCATCTGTAACATGTATCCTGGGTCCTGGTGGTGGGAGGCACAGTATTGTAAGAATAATTTTAATTGTATGTGTTGACTTATATGTTTCTATTCTAAATGTAGTGCTATTTTGGTAGTATATTAGATTGAAAATTGATTAAAAAATAAAAAAGAACCCAAATCAGGAGAGTGAGGCATGCTTAAGGAAACCTGCCTGGAGAGCTTGAGGGTGATTTCTGGCTCTAAAATATTTAACTGCATCAGCCTGAGGCTAAACCCCACTGTGAAAGATTAGTTACATTTCAACTCAAAAATACACTTAGCAATACAAGCAGTCCCCAGGTTACAAATGAATTCCTGAGAAAACTGAAATTCATCCTTATGTTGAATTTATATGTAAGCTGGATCATGTTTAGTTGGCCCTCCACATTTGTGGGAGGATTAGGGGTACAGGACTCCCATGAAAGTGGGAAAACTGTGAATATGTCTTGGCCCCCTTCCCACCCAAGCTTGCCAGTGCCTCCTGTTTGCAACAAGGAAATTTCCCTTTCTGGATGGGCAGGGCAGGAAGGCATGCTTTGGAGGCCTCCCTTTCTCTCCCCTTTAACTTCCTCTATTTCTATGGTAATAACTATTTTCTGCAGTATTTTTTAAATTAATAGGTTGTATGGCAGTTCATTTGTAAGTACAGGATGTTTATAACTTGGACATTTGTAATTTGGGGACTGCCAGCACGCAGCAATGAAATCAAAAGGATTTAATTTCCTATTAACTATCTTTCAGTTTGGAATTTTGGAATTTGGATTTGCACATATTCACCAAAATAAAGTTTTATAGCACTGACATAAGTTATATGAAAGATTTTTTTATTAAAAAAACATTCAAGCTTAGGATGGTGACACGAAAGACACAAGCAAAAAAAAAAAAAAAAAACAGATAGAAAATCCAGACTGTTGAGCTCTGTATACTATTCTAGAATCCACAAGCCAGGAGAAGCTAATGTGATTGTTTGGTAATCATGCCCCAGAAAGAGAGATAACCTTTGCTCACCACACATTAGGATTTAGATTTTCTAACAAGTATTGGCCAGAACGATCAGCTTTTTTTGTGCCAAATACAATATTCCCCTGTTCTCCCTGAGCTGTCTTCTTACCTCCAAGCTTGCCTGTAGGGAGAAGGCTGTGCAGGTTTAAGTAGGGATTCAGTGGAATCTTGAAGTCTTTTGGTGGTTCTCCTAGCAAAGAGACCTGCAAGAGAAACAACAGTGAACAGAATTTCCTAGCGTGCTGAACTTCAGTGGGGGCAAGGCACACCGGTTGTGCCATAAAAGTGGCTATTTAAGAGAGGAGAAGGGTGAATGCATTTTGTAAAATAAGATCATGTTTTATGCTGGACTTAATGATGAGTCCTGGGCTGTGTGACTTATTTGTTTCAATAATGCTAGGCAGATTTTTTTGTTTGTTTGTTTTTTTGAAATCTGGAGTATGTACAAACATACAAGGAACTGATTAGAGAAGGATAGACTAGGCAAAGCAATTGCAGTGATTTTCTTTCACAGTTGTTGTTTACCTACAACCTCAAAGCAAACAAACAAAAACTAGCAAAAACCCTTTATTCTAGTAATGATCGTCCAGATATAATGGTTCCTTTTGCATTCTCTTGTTCAGCTTTTACTACAGTATCTGAATTTGTGCAGGCATTATAATTACAAAGCATGGAAGAATTCTAGAACAGGAGAAGAGCTATGGGTGAAAGTGGGGAGATGAAGGGGAAGAGAGAATATGACTGGAGGTTCATATGTAATGCAGAGCAAAGAGCTCCAGCCCAACAAAACCCAGCCTTTTGTTTCACATGTTTCTAAATATGCTGGCACAATAATAAAGGCTAGAACGGCACCATTAACTGATACTCAGATTTTCCCTAATGCAAACATGCACTGTGTAGGAGAATTCTCACCGAAGGGCAGTGATGGCCCCACACTTACACTAGCTGAGGGAGGCCCATTTTCTGTCTGCTTTGGCTTCTGAAGTCCACTGATCACAGAGCCAAGGATGGAGGTGGTGAGGCCTTGCAGGCCAGGTTGGGTCAACTGGGGAGTCTGGGCCCCCATCACAGAGTTATCTCTCTCCATGCCCAGTGGCCCCATAAAGGAAGGCAAGGGCAGGCTTCCTGAAGGTAGGATTGGCGACTTCACAGGTCCTGGGGTAGTATCAGCAGGAAGAGCACTACCTGCAGAGAGAACACACACTAAGCCATTTTGGAACCCAGCTGAGCTGGGATGAATTTACTAGTCAAATGTCCACCTCTTATTTCATCAGGTTCCAGTATTTTGTGAAAAACAGAATGCCCATCTGGAGATGCCATCGTTTAATAACAAACTTGATGGTTTCCTGCCAGTAAGTAGGCCTGTGAGACAGAATTACAGAGACTAAGTAGGAGGCTCCCTTGGCTATCAAGTAACCAACCCCTTCACTGAAGCATGGCACTTAATGTTCTTCCTGCACCACTACCCAAACTCTGCGTGTTCTCTCTTACCCTGCCAAACCAATTAAGCCACAGAGGGCTGCAGGAGGAATGAAGACCAGATGCACAAGACAACACTCCTGATCAGACCCTATCTGTATAAAAAGTTCACAGATTAAAATCAACCGAAGTGTTTATTTAACTGATTGCAAATATTTTTTAAAAAATCACCCAATTTTGCTAAACATAGTTCCATATTGTTTCTATAGCAGAGCTGGCATGCAAGTTCAGGTAATGGCTGGAGGAAGCTGCAACCAGTAGAGAGAAGTTCTAAGGACAGCTATCAATTCACGCAACAAGAAGGCTGTTGCCAGGCTGACTGATGACTAGAGTGTGGAGACTGGCATTCACAATGACAGTCAGTGAACCAGCCTATATTTTATTTTCCAAGCATACAACACAAAAGCTCAAAAGACAAGGGGTACATGCCCTTTGTACTTACCCTTGAAGCTATTGTGGAAATTTGTACTAGCCTTGGAGGGTGATGTTTGGAGAAAGAGTGGCTTCGGAAGGCATCACCCTCTGAAGCCATTTTCTCTTCTGCTGCCTTTTAAATGTCAAGGAGGCTTTGGACCCAAGAGATGCAAATCTGGCCCAACTTTACCAACCACTCTTTTAGGCTGAGAATGGCATATTGCTCTCTCCAGCTAATGTTCCTAGGCCACACTTATGTCCAGCGCTGGTCTCCCACCAAAGTCTGGGGAAGCAAATGTGTTCTTACAAATCTAAGATCTGTCTGCATTTGGGGGGGGGGGGGGGGGGGGGGGGAGATTGGAGTACCTCCAATGCACAGGAGTCAACTCCAACTCCCTCCCAGGGTTTGTTCTGGCACCCAGTGAGGCCAAACTTTATTAAGAGGAGTGACACTAAATGCAAATGAAATTAGGTACAAATAAATGCAAATCCCTTCTTGAAATGTAGCTTGTTGATGTTCAAATTGTTGTCTTGTGAACTGCTTGGATTCTGTTCATCTCTTTCTTCCACCCTATTTTTTAACTGTGAGGAGCACTGGACAGCCTACCACAGTTTTTTGTTTGGATTGATAATCCATTCTATTCATTGGTCTCAGAATGGGCTGTGCCTGTTCTCAGAACCTCCTTCTGAAAAATAAAACCATGCTTTAAGAGTTCCCAACAAGTTTAATATGAAGAACAGCAAAAATTATACCAAATACCCTGTCCCTTTCCACTTAATTCCAAAAACTAATCTCCTAATCCAAGGAGAGCCTCTGATACCTTTACCCAAATAAGCACTCTGTTCTCAGAACCTGAGTTGGTTGACTAAGGTGAAAATTTAAATAGTTATGCTGAATGAGAAAACAAACTCCACCCAACAGATAAACCACACCAGGATCATCTTTCTGTGTTCCTTTTTTGTTCCATGAGTTTTTCCCTCTTCACTCCCCAGGCACTCACTTTATTAACCAGAATAGCACTACTTCTGGTAGAAGTCACTGCTCCAATATTGGAAATTCAAAGGGCTACTGGTATGACTGTCATAGTGCACGGTACTTACCTGAAGACATCTCACCCAGTAACTGATTTCCTGCCTGAGAAGCTGGTGTGTTTGGCATTCCCAGAGCACCATGCTGCAAGGAACCCAAAGGAGACTCTCCCAAGATTCCTGGTTTCTGCAACAAGTAACAGGTTCAACAACTCAGATAGAAGGCAAGACTATGTGTGCTAGAAGACAAACAGAGCCAAACCATAAGTTCACTGCAAGCAGCTAAAGGCAATGTGCAGGGCACACTGGCAGCAAACTGATCTGATTGGCATAAGACACTAAGCAGAAAGAAATCAACTAAACCCACACCATGCAGGTGAACTGAGATGCTCTAAGACAGAGAAACTGAGACACTGAGCAGACCATTTGGCAAAAACTATGCCCAGACAATGCAGCATTCTCACACTCCTCCTTGCAAGCCATGTTCAGATATAGACTATCCCAAGGCAGGTGGGCCTTTACAGCTGTCCTGGAAAATGGAATTGATCTAAGTCATTTGTAAGGGATGACCTGGGTGTGAGTTTAACTGTCACAAGTGGCCTAAATACAACACAACAACAACAGATATTCACTGCACAAATTGTAGCTTTTGCCCACTACTGTGAGAAGATGAACAGCGACTGCCTCCAGTTCTTCTGCAGCGTGTGTTAGCCTTTCAAAGCTAGCCTTGAAAGTAACAAGGAAAGCACCAGCAGCCACAGTTTACTTGTGACACTGTTATGAGTGAATAAGTTACTCCTATTTGGGACTCAGCTACACATTGTTAAGCTCTGGCCATGCCCTGCATAGAGACAGGTGGGCTCACACTAACAGCATTAAGGGTCGGGAAAACTGCCACCTTCAAGGCTGTTTAATTGCCATTTAAGTTCACCCTAACCAATGCAAACTAGCAGACCTAGAGACATTCATCAACAGGTAAAGGATGTAAAAGAACAGAAGTCATGTCTTGAAACCCAGAGTGTTGAGGACAGAAGGCTGTAACCAGACAAGCAGTTGTTTGCAAGAGTGCCCAAAAACAATCTATTAAGGAAAGAAGAGCGCTCTTGCTATGCACAAGATATTCAGAAGAAGGTGCACAGGAAGGCAAGAGGAGGAAGCTTGCGTTGCTCACGTTTTATGGGTCTGGATCAATCTTGTTCGGTGAACTACTAGCATTATTTGTGAGACTGAGGTGCATTTAACAGGCCCATTCATATTCTGCAGCACTGCAAGTAATTCTGCTACCTCACTGATCCATGCTAAACACTGCAAACTTTTTACAAAGACACAAACCACCATGTCCAGAGCAACAAGTGAACTGGTCCACTTCACTAAACACATTTTTTCTTGGTGCACATGAGATAACATCACTACAGCCCCATGGATGGCACACAACGGTCTCTGAAATTAATAATCTCTGGAAACACATTACACTTCAGTGTAATTTTAAGGGGAGGAAGCAGCAGCGGAAGGGGATGCATCAGCAATGAAGCGAGCCTGGATACAAGAGGAAGCGCTAGCATCCTCCCAGTTTACCTTCAAGAGCTGCTATGTCTGGCCCAGCTGCAGAGTGATGCTAAAGGAACTGGGCACATCTCTTAATCCTACCCCACATACTAAACTCACAGCCTGCCCCTCTGAAAGTGTGGGGTATAGAGGTTCAAACAGAAGGAATTCTCCCATATAGACAGGTATGCTATCTAGCACATCCTTCCCATTGAGACAAGAATGTGGTTAAAGCTGGAGAATGGTCACTGCAATCCCCCTTTCATGGACTGTGCCCACACACACACACACAGCATGATTTCCACACGCAGGCCAGGCCTACCACTCACATGGAATATGGCCTGGTTTTCCTTGTTCTGCAGCAGTTGTGTCCAGACCTGGTTTTGGACTAAGAGCAAGTTTCCAAGAAATGCCTTCTGGAGCAGAAAGCAAAGAGAGACCAGAGACAGGGTCACTAAAAGCCATAAGCGTTAGAAAGGAGAATGCAGTTGGCGAGCAAGAGCCCACTTCAGACTCTTGGTGTATACAGTTACCCAAAGGACATTTTTATCTGTGGGAGCAGTTATGCAGAGTAGATTCTTGTACTGCAGGAATAGGAAAAGCCAGCCACAGCTGCTGAATCGGTCCCTGTCATTCACCACAGCACTGCAGCTGTACACAGGGAGGCTCTAGAGAACTGCATGCCATTAAGCTATCTCAACTGAAAGTCTAGAGGGAGTTAGGCCAAAGAGAAGCAGTGTAAAACCCATCAAATCCAGGACCATTTGGCCCATGTATATAGTCTCAAAGTACTTGTTTTCAATAGAAAAGGTATTCCTGTAGAACTGAGACATACATCTGTATGAAACAGGTAGAGCACTGGGCATAAGGAAAGGAAAAGCTTGAGAAAAAATTAAAAGCCATCCATAAGGTATGCACAATGGCCCACTCCCTGAAGAAACCAAGAATGACCTCCTCCTCCTCCTTGCCCCGGTTCTGGAGAACAAGTACCTGTTGTGCTTGAGTCTGATTTTGGAGTGCAAGTTGAAGCAGGGCTGTGGACAGGGCTGGGTTGGTCAGGAGAGGCACTGATGGTGGGGCTCCCAAGATTCCTGAAAAGAAACCAAGATGGATTCCCCCTAAAAAAACTTCTTGCGTAAATGGGAAAAATCTCAAGACAAATTAAATATTGCAGCAGCATAACCTTCACCAAAGACAGTGGCTCAAATTCTGAGACATTAGAACACTTTATTCAATTTGGATTTCAATGACTGAAGTTAGTTTTTCTTTCATCTTACCTGACTGCATTTATAATTGCTAGGTGCAAGCCCTACACTGGGTAGGTTAGAAGTAGGAACTAGCACCACTGTTGTTTGACTTGTGAGGAATTCTGTGCATCTTTGTGATGTGTGTGCAATCAGCAAAAGATGTCACTTTTAATATTCTTTATCCAGCACAAGCATTTGAAAACAAGAGCTGCTTATTAAGCTGTAAGTGCTTAATATTGACTATTAGTTTTAAAGTTTGGTAGAGGACTGTATGCCTGAACCTGACCTACCCTACCTACCTACCTATTTAAAACTTTTGTATGCCGTTACCACATGCCTTGGCATCTTGGGATGGCTCACAATACATACAATTACAAACAATAAAATGATCTTTATAAATAACAAATTCAATAAAGGATTACAGCGGTACCTCGGCTCACGAACGCCTTGGGTCATGAACAAATTGGGTCACGAACAAAAATTTCTGAAAAATTTTGACTTGGGTCGCGAACACTGCTTTGGGTGGCGACCAAGATTGCAGCCATCTCCCCTTCCCTTCAGTGGGGAGATGGCCACGATTGCAGTTGCTTTTGTGCAGGGAAGGCATGTGTGATCAGAGGCACGCTGCTGCAGGAAAGACAGGAGCAGCAAAGCAGAGCCATAGGAAAGATGGCAGAAATTCCACCTGTCTTTCCTGCAGAAACGCACCTCTGATCAGGCATGCCTTCCCTGCATAAACGGAACTGCAATCACGGCCATCTCCCCACCACCAGTGCACCATTTTCGCCCATCTCTCCCTCCCCCAGTGCGCCTGCGATCACACCCGTCTCCCCCCCCCACCCCCCAGCGCACCGGGATGACAGGCACCTGCAGGGATGACAGGCACGATCTCAGTTGTGCTGGAGGGGCGGGGAGATGGCCATGCTTGTGCTTGGGGTGGGTGGGGGGATGGCCGCGATCTTTGTTGTTGTCACTTTGCTTCACGTTTTTCTGATTTAAAAAATGGTTACAGAACGGATTAACCTTATTTACATTGAACCTTACGGGGAAATTTAATTTGGCTCACGACCAGAGTCCTGGAATGGATTAAGTTCGTGAGCCAAGGTACCACTGTACATAAGGACAAAGAAACTGAAAGCAAAAAGAGCGACTGTTCAACAATAAAATATTAGCTTTTAAAATGGTAATTAAATAAAAAGGTTTTAACCTGGAACCGAAAAGAATATAAACTCCGCGCCAGGCACACCTCTCCAGGCAGCACATTCCATAATATGGGGCCACCGCAGAGAAGGCCCTGCTCTGGGTAATGTTCTTTTTATCTCCTTTACAGAGGGTTCCCAGAGCAGAGCCTCTCCCACAGATGTTTATGGGTGTGAGGGCATGTAAGGGAAGAGGCGCTCCTTCATTATATTATATTTATATAATATTATTTGTTAGTGATGGCCAGGGTCTGAAGCCACCAGGCAAGCCTCTAAGCAAGGACTGTTTCTGCTACAATGGATCTCTAAGTCAATTATGACACATCTAGCGCTTAACAAATGCCACCAGGCTCAAGGAAATCCAGCATACTCAGTGGAAGGAAACCCAAAGATCGTGCAGCTCGATTCCAATGGACCCTTAATAAGTCACTAATTCATACTTGCCTTGCTTTCCTCCAATGGCTCCATGAAGAAGAGGGTTGAGTAAAAGCTGGATTGACGTAGGATTCCCTAAACTGTTCAGCATCTGAAGAAGATTGGGCTCAGGTAAAAGCCCTTTTCCATGATTAAGTGCCTATAAAAGCAACAGTAACAAAATTAAGCAGAGCAGTGAAAAATTATCACATCACCATCATGGCAGGAAGGGAGCATGCAGGCATGCAGCTGACGTTACAACTTACACAGGAGCTTGCACATTACAAATACTGCAAGAACCCAAAACATTTAGAAAGAACTTCTGCCAGTTTTGGTCATTGCAAGGACATCTGGCTTCTGCAAATTGTATTTTATTTTGATTCAAATATTACTTTGTTATGCATTAAGCCGAAAATCTACTTAAGCCGCTCTTCTTCTACTTAGTCCAGTCTACCCTTGCTTAATACAGTAGATGTCTATAAGCAGAAGCCTTGTTGAGAAGCAGACGTTTGCCCAACCCAAACTGCAACAGACATTGCACCAGCCAAAATATAAGTCTCTGAGAAAGATACAGAAATGGGGAACAAGATGGACCAGTCAACAAGAGGAGGTGGTGAGAGGTTTCTTCCAAACTAGAGGAGGTGGTCAGAGATATTACTGAGGGTTGAGCCTTACTGTCGCCTGGGCAGCTATCAGAGCAGCTAGCATGCTTCGCCCAGGAGGACCTGGAGCACAGAAGGAGACTCTGATATGGTTCCCAGCAAGTGGCAAGCCATTGGTGGCCTGTTGGACCATCTCCGCTATCTCAGGTGACTCGTACTCCAGCACTGCAAAGCCCTTCAGCTGCCCATCCTGACCACATGCCAACTATGCAAAAGAAAAGTAAAAGGTAGTTAGCAGAGTAATGTAGCATGAAAGGAAGAAAGGAGCTTGTTGCTTTATATGCTTGGAAGCAACCAAGGCTAGTGGTTTACTGATTCAGCATCGGTAAATCCTACTGAGCTTAGAAGGATATATTTAACACACGTAAGAAGTTATTTCCCTGACTGGGAGTTGATTTTGTCAAAGAACCATACTGAAAAAAGATGGAGGAAAGTGATAGGATGATCACAGAGCTCTCCCATTCCTACACAAGACAGACTTGCTTCATCCCGTTTTTGCCTTAAGGTTCCCAGCTGATTTTGACTTTGCCCATCATAGTTAGTCTAGCAGTACAGTCAAAATATCCCCGAGAAGACTAGTGTAGCCTCTGCAGCTCCCACCCCTGCCATTAGCAATGGTGAAATACTTACAGCCAAGTTATTGTCTCTGTTTAGAAAAGTATATCCTATCTGCATTAATGTGAATTGAGCACCTTTTTCATACATAACTGTCTGTGTAGGGTCTATTTCTATTACCAGTGGTGTGACAAGCAGTCTGGTTGCTGTTGTAGTGGGCTCTGTCCCTATGCTATTATCAAATGCCAATAAAGGCTTTACCCAGTAACCTCTTCATTTTTTCATAGCAAAAAAAGATGGTATAGCTCCAGAGGGGAGTAGGTGACACACTTATAGCTAACTACAGAGATTTGTCACATCTAGAAATGTTCTGAAGCCCTAGTTATCTTTAAGGATATTTCTAAGTTTGGAGAAAATCACAAAATAGTTACTAACAGCTTGAAACTGCACAGGATATGGATGAGACTTGCCATAGTATTATGCTTCTACCTGCTACACGTTCCCCTGACCTTCAGTAAGTGAGCCTCTCTTTTTCTTCCAATGGCACATGTCTAACATATTCCACAATGAACTGCAATCTTGGCAACATCTTGAACATACAGTTTAACAATGCTTTATGTTTGGGACAAGCAATCCATTTTCTTGCCAAGAAAAAGCAAGAAGCTGGAAAATATCCTTTCTGAATGTGGCATGTTGCTCTACCATTCACAGATGCTAACTGTACTTGCTTACAACTTGAGAAACAACATCAGCCCCTTTCAGTTGGTTGGCAAACACCCTGGGCAAGAGAGCCTAAGGCAGACACCATCTTCCAGTGAGCCATTAATGCAATGAACAAACACATAAAGGGCACCCCCTCCCCAGTGGCCCAAAGTGCTCACCTGACAGAACACTGGAGGGCATATGGCAGAAAAGGTCTGCCTCAATTCTTCCACATCATTGTAATTGTGAGGCAGTTTATCTACACATAAGCACTTTGAATGAATAAGGTCCAGGGTCAACTGGTTGACGTCTGTCCAATGAACATATAAAGTCCGTGTTCCCAGCTGTTTACCCAGGAGGTCAGATTTTGCCCTGGCTGCAGAATCCTTTTTCATGTACTCCACAAAGCCATAGCCTTTGGAGTGTCCTGTTTTCTCACTGTACACTAAGAAGCAGCGTTCCAAGTTCCCAAAAGGTCGAACAAGATCTTCAAACTGCTGCTGTGTGTAAAGCTGGGGCAGGTTAGCAATGCACAGAAGGGCATCCGTGGGTTGCAGCTGTACTGTGATCTCCTTGTCTCGCAGCTTGCTTAAGTGGAATTTCTTAATGGCTGATTCTGCCTGTTCTCCATTTAACAAAGTGACAAAAGCTGGAAAAAACAGAGAGTTGCAAAGGCTATTGACAAGAAACAGAATAACAAACACACAAGCAAAGGCTTGTAGCTCTCTGAATAGATTTCAACAGAATAATTTCAGCACAACAGAGTAATTCCTTTGCTGGACCAGTTAGGATGCTCACCTAGTCCAACATTCTGCCTTCAATACTGACCAGACAATAGATGTCATAGAAAACTGTAAAGTAAGATTGTTTAATCAAACTGACATACCCTTTGTATGTGTGTGTGCGGGAGTGAATTACAGATCCAATTTTTAAAAATTCACCCATTTTAGAGCACAACCTTGGGAGTTCTTCAGAATCTTTGTGGGATTCCACCATCCTAAAGAAATTTTGCATCTTCTACTATGAGCTTGATGACTTATTCATTCAGTCCTAACTCCAAATAATGTATAAGTTTATGGAAATGTGTGCATCCTCATTACATTTTCTTTTCTCCATGTTTTTATTTCTTGATATGCAGATTTTTACAGTTTTCTCCATGATGGAACTCAGAGCAGCATATGATGTTAAGTTTCATAACCAGGTATTCACCTGACCCAGACCTATTTAGGTTCATCAGGGCTTTTGAATCATGTGCCTTTAGCCTGCCTCCTCCTTCACTGTCAATCTAGATGATAGCCTCCTCAGGGCAAGGCTTGTCTTCTCTTGTTACTCTATAAAGCACACTGCTACTAAACTGATACCTTGTATAGTGCTATCAGTCTAAATCATATTGCTCAGTTTCCTCTTTTATGACATTCTTATTCTTCAGTTTTGAAAAAACAGTAGATTCCAATCCCTAAGAAGCCTAGTTACAATTTCTGATACAAAATGCTAGGAGTCTTTCATAAGCAATTTTGTCAAAAGCCTTTTGAAAATTAATTTATATCTATTTAATCATCACTAGTACATCTTTTGACTAAGTTATATTTTAGGTGCAGCAGAAGAATCTGTGCCTACAGAGATGCTGGATTTTAAAGCCACCTGGAAATAAGGCAAAGTTTCACTGCTAAGAAGCTCTGAAACCCAGTACAAGGTCAGAGTTGAAACACAAATATACGTGTCATATAAATGACATGTTCACCAGTGGCAGTCATATTTCTGAATTTAAGTGTTTTCCACAGCATGATCTTCAAGGGCATGTTTCATAAGGATACAATATTAATATTGAACAGGGGTGGCTTCCAGATAGCTGTATTACCCCTCCTATCACCCCCAACCAATAGTCAGCAATTACAGTGGCTATAGTCCAAAACATCACCATGTTGCCTACCCCTGATCTTGGGTTTTGAGGCTCTAAGCACTAGCTGCTGAATTATATGTGCGGTACTTATTCCATGACACTTTCAATACTTGTTTGGCTCCTTGATTTGTCTGCTCTTTGTCAGCTTACATCCTATCTCCATATTCAGGACACAGAAAAATTGTCATCCTTTCAAGGGGAAGAGTAATCCTTCCCAACACCCACCAACCTTCTCTCAGTGAAGTGTTTAAAAGTTGTTCAGTCTGGTTCTATTTCTTGGTCAGGTAAAGCAGACAGTTCTCAAAGGTTTCCAAGGGATTACCACATCTCAATCCTTTCTCCCTATTCTGCTATCTCATCTACAGATGAAAACCCTCAGAGCTTAGCTTGGCTGGAGCAGTTCATAAAAAAGGTACTCTTTCTTCCCTATTCAAGCAGACTTAAATGACTCCCAGGTCATTTCCTGAGGTCATAGAATACATCCACCTTGCTGAAACTAAACTGGTCTGGACTGTGCTTGAATGGGGCTGCCTGGGAATCCCATGTATTGTACCTTAAATTACACAACAGAAAATTGGCAGGGCATACATGTTTTAGGTAAATAAATGCATATCTGAGATTTAAACCAGAGGCTCTGACATCTGACATCCTTAGTTAACTGACACTTAATTCTTGCCCTATTTTTAGAGGATTCTACAATATCTGCCACCATGTGGCAAGTTTTCAGTTCTCTAAAAGTGACTATTTCCTAATATTTTAACCAGTCATTCTACAACTAATAATTAGTACAAAAAATATTCATTAGGCACTTCGAAGTCACCATTAGAAGGCAAAACATAGAGACTTTATATTATTCCTTCCCTCCAGAATACTAATCTCTGGAATCACATCCCAAGATGCAGTGCAACTGGCTGCTGAACAGAGTTAGTAGCAACCATATGTTATCCAAAAACAGTATGCATGCCAGCTGTGCTTTCTCTTGATCAACAGCCTGTTTATACTCTGGATTCCATTAAAGCATTAGCCTCACAGCCAAGCAAACCATTTTAAAGGGAACTGCATGCATTCATGCTTCCTTTGTGATCAGTTAACCAATGTCTCTGTGTTAAAATAATTAAATTTTGTATTATGTCAACAAGAATTTACAAAGCTTTCTAAATTCAGACCCATGTTGAGTGCAGAATACCTTGGCCTCTGTCAAGCTCTCCACTTTGAGAGTATGACAAACAGCATGACTTATGTCCCTGTTTCACAATTTAATTTAGCCATTATCATTATTATTTTGCATTTACATCTTACTTTTTCCTTCTCTTGTAAGAACATTGAAAAATAATTGCAGCTAAAGCTCCCACAATTGGTATTTCTAAGAAAGGCTGTTGAGTCTTTTGAGGTTTCTCAACAGAAAGGTAGGAAGGATACTCATTAAAGTTTTTCCAAGTATAGGGTATTCTGCCTTAGAGTCAGGAGTACAAATACATTATCTATGGCATTTCAGTTTGCTGGTTCTATGTAAAGATTAATGGTATGAATGGCCAAGCAAGAACAACCAGCTCTCATGCATGCCAGAACCCTTCCTGTTCATTAAAACTTTATATGGAGTGTTTAAATGATGTAGCAGAGACAGTGTGAAGCCTTGCCCAATCCACAGAGAGAGTGCATTTAGGATGTTCAGCAACGAACAGGAACAGCCAATGGCTTTGTTTCTAGCACAAAGACAGACACTCCCATGCTGGACATACAACACCTCACAGGGCTTTACCCCCCTTGGCTCATAATTTTCCAACTGAAGTCACTAGCCACCTCAAACAGGGTCCAATGTGCACAACTAAAGAAAGATCATACACAAAGGGCAGTAAGACCAAGACACCCCATGGCAAACAAGATGATCATACCAGTGAGAGCAAGCAAGACAAATGATATATTAAAAGAGCCCCCTCCAACACACCCCCGTATGCACTACTCTGCCTCTGCCTGGAAAGATCTTTAAGCTACACAGGGCATTCAGATGAGGGAGGGGATCTATCCAGCTAGGTTCAGTAGAATTTTTGTATATCAACCATTAAACAGAGTCTGTTCACTAAAGGATGGCAAAGAACTCCACAATGCATATTTACTCACCAGTCCCCTTGTATTTGTCCACAAAACAGTACTTAAGTTCATAGTCACTCAGCAGATCATGGACTTCCTGCATAAAGTCAACAGAACAAATCATGCTAAGGCAGAGAGGTGAAACATTACTATTTTCATCAAAATATTGCACAGTTTTTCACACACCCCCAACTCCAGACCCCAGAAACTGCAACCTGCCTGAAGAACAAAAATATTGCATGACAGCCAGCCCAGATTCCTGGAAGCAGTCAAGCCCCTTTGCTAACATTTATCACACTAATTTGCCCTTATTTTATAGAGAAGAGTAGACATCTCTACCCACATCTTGGCAGCAGTTCCAATGAAGCCAAATCAATGCTTTGAGCATTTCTAGCATATGGAATTCTTACCTGCAGAGTTAGCTGACAGGCATAAATCAACAAAGGCCAATTCAGCACAATGGGCAAGTCTGAATGTAATGTTAATCCGCCTTGGGAATAAGCCATAAAGGGTTGGCTGTTTGCTGAATAACCCACAATGCTGCTGACAGATGATCAGCCTCTCTGAAGCCTGTTCTAACTTGTTTCCAACTCAATCCTTCTGTCTGGACTATCCCTAGAGTTTTTTGTAGCAAAATTCAGATCCCAAAATCCTTTACTCCCTCACAATTTCAACAGCCTTTTTACAATTGTTCTGTGGAGTGTTCAGGGAAAGTCTTACCTTTGCTAGCTCCTGGCAAAATTTAGCTTCCTCCCCCACCTCTTGGAAAATCAATACCTGCCTATAAGTTTTTTCCCAATAAAAATGGTAAACCCCCTTGGTTTCTTCGTCTTGTACTTTGACTATGGATACTGAAATGTTTCTTTCATTTGCCTAAGAATCATAGAATAGTAGAGTTGGAAGGGACCAAGAAGTCCATATTGGGTCCAACCCCCTGCTGTTGTGAGTCACCAATTTATGCCATCCACTCTACTCAGAAACACTCATTGTCCCTCCCTTGCACCTCCTTCAACCCTTTGACAGTGCAAAACAGGCTATTGCTCTTTATTCCCTTCTCCCCACCCTCACCTTCCATGTACCTGAGAAGCATTTTATGTTTTGGCCCCCTTTTCACTTGCTCAGTCCTCACCCCCAGCAAAGCCATTTTCATTCACTTATACTTAGAAGGTTTAAGTTACAAGATAAGATGTAAAATTTCACAAAAATGTAAAATTTCAGCTATGGATTTTGCTTGTACTGGAAGCACTACCTAAAGTGATTCTGATGACATAAGTGGTATATAAATGGGGCAGCCTATGAAATCCAAGAACGGGGTGCAAGTATATGTAAAAAGGGAGATATTACTAGACTAATAAAGGAAACTTACACAGGGAATGCTAACAGGCCAGTGAATGGAAGAGAGTGAAAGTCTCTCATGTTTGCCAGATGGGAAAATGATGTTTTATGGGAAAATGATGTTTACATGGGGTATGGTAAGGATGGGAAGGCTTACCTATTGTATTCTAGCAAGTGTAACAGTTGCATAGATTGGGTAATCTGCTCTTTAAGTTCATAATGATATCAATAACAACAACACTGCATTAATATCCTGCCCTTTTTCCTCTTGTGAGGAACCCAAGGTGGCTTATATAGCTCCGTTTTATCCTTACAGCAACCCTGTGAAATAGGTTGGGCTGAGAGTGTGACTGGCCCAGAGAAATGCAGTGAGCTGTATAAGTGCTGTACAGACCTTATACAATGTAAACATGTGGGAAATGGCCCCAAATTCACTTAGTAATAGGTAGTCCTAAAGGGGAGATACTTGAAAGTGAGAGGACAAAATGAGTAAAAGTTCTGCTTTAATATGGCTGCTAAAAGCCTGACATGGTAAGAACAACTACGCTAGACGTAATTCCTGATCAGATCAGGAATCCATGTTGCAAGTTTTGCTCCCCATGTATCCCTTAGGTATGCTAATGTGCCGGTCATGGGTACCCTCCTTTCCTTGATTGGATATAAGTGTGTCTTTAACTCTGATGTTAACCCATCGCTTTTGCTGGTATGTAATGCTGCCACCAGGAATTTAATTCCAATCTTATTGATTGACTTCTCCCACAGTATTGTGCCCAAGCTATAAGACTCCTTCATTGAACTATGTGATCCTAAGGATGAGACACTGATAAGACAGCCTATGATTCTGAGTTAACAATAAGCAAAACAAAACTTTATTTGTACAATAAGCGTATTGGTTTCAAGTTCTGTAACTTAGTTCCTTAGTGAATAACACAATGCATAATAACTTTTAACTAAGGTATCTCACTCTTTCCCAAACATTCTTCATTCTTAAATCCTCCTTTTTCTCCTCCACTCAGGGTTCTGTCAGCTACTATCTTTCACACTCTTATAATATTTGACAGTAGGAGGTTCTGACTCTCCCTAGTCACAAATATGCCCTTTAAGTATTCTATTTCTTTCCCTTGCCTTTTGAACCTTAAATACTTTTTGTAGCACCCTGTAAAAGTCCAATGAGAAGGCTGCCCCCTCAGATTGTGCAGAGCAGTGACACATCCCAACTCTGACTGTTAACTGCTAACTGACTGGCTGAGAGTATCTATTTCTCTCTCCTCACACACTTCCAGGCTCTGCCCACACACTCTCAGCTACCCACCCATCACCTCACTCACTCACCCTCCTCCTTTGCCCCCCTCTTCTAAAACTTAGTAATAGTACCTGTCCTGAAAGGTCTTCCTTTGGGGGCACATCTTGGACATGCTAATGTTTGCCTGTCCTGAAGGTTCTTTGTGTTGTGCTGTCTTTATCCATTCAACTCTCCTGTTTTACTCTCAGGTGCCAATAGCAAACTGCCAAAGTGATCCCCCAACCTCCTCCAAACTGTGCTCATAACCGACAAGTTATGAAAGCATCTTATACAGACTCCATTTTAGTAGTCCTTTCAAGGGCTGCCTACATGCTGCATGTATTCCCTGTATGTCGGATTAAACTGTAAATGTTCTTTTGATAGTACATCCTCAGCATACCCACTTGTTCTGTTTTTTCCTGTCAAAAGCAAGTTTGGACAGTCTGCCCCAACATTTTTCCTTAAATAAATGTCTTCATTACCATGACTGAACAATGAAATATGGGACCTATTTCTGCAGCAATGGTTTTAATGTTGCCAGACACACATAGACAGTAATGTGAAATCTGTTACCATTCCAAGCATCCAAATCCCACTTCATTATGCAGCAGTGTCTACCAGTGGTCAGCAGTAAGTGGCTCTGCTATGGCTGTTGTGATCATGGTCTCACAGTCCCTATGCAAAGAGGCAGACAATTCCAGTCACTTCAGAGTTCTGAACTGTCTATGGCCATCCTGGCAGAGGTTCTCCCAGTTACCCTCTAATCTGAGGCAAAGAAGTGCAGCACCACAACCACAAAATCAGCTCAAGGTATTATGAGACATCGCTAGAAAAGCTTATGTTGGTCATTGTGGTAAATGCATTGAGGTAAGAACATTTGGAGCCATTTTTATCATGGCATGAATAACAGCAGCTGCTGCCATTACTCAATTTCCAGCCCTTTTCAAAGTAGAGAAGAGTGCTAGCAGTCATTTATGACAGTGCTTTAGCAGTGAAGACAGAAGCAGGGGTAAAATCTATGGAAGAATGCACTCTGGGATAAGTTAAGAAATGTCTATCTCAGTTAGTGGCAGCTACTATTGCCTAACCTGAGTTAGTGGCAGCTACTGTTAACTGATGCGCTGCAATCAAAGTGGCAATACCTTACTAGAGCAGAAGAATCTGCCAGACAACCAGGCATTAGAATATAAATTAAGCAGCAGGGAGGGAGGGAAGCATTGATCATTATCTGGAGGCACCTGTCACTGCTAGAAAACCCTGATCTCCAGCCTGAGATAGGCAATAGCAAGCAAGTTTTGGTTTGTTCACCAAGTTCTTCATTTTGCAGTAGAAAGCTGCAGAGCAGTAGCTAGTGCCTCTACAGCAGATGAACTTGGGATGTGCAAGCTGAATAAGGAAGAGAGGAAAGTGAAAAAAGGAAAGACAAAAGAAGCAAACATACTTTTGTGTGTGCAGTTATTGCTATTCAAACCAGCAAAACATTAAACATCCCACTGCTAACACTCATGGTGAGAATGCATCTTTTTGACAAAGGTGATAGAATGTGTAATCAAGTAATCTAACAATTTATATGAGCAATTCTACCTCCCCTGGCATTACAGGTGTCTGTGGTTCTAGAAACCATAATTCCCACCAGTATTCCCACTAGTGAAATGCCTAGTCTAACCACACAAATTAAGGATTGAAAGTATCATTATGAAAGCCCTCCAGGAGAATATTTTCACCACAAATATTTGTTTGGCTACAAAGAGGGGATAGAACAATACAAAACAAGAGCTGGTGTCAAGTGCTCCACAGTTATCTATGAACTTGTTGCATTGTCGTCTTTCTCTCCAGGAATGCTGCAAGTTGGTTCTAGAATCTAGATCATAGTGCAGCCAAAGGATTTGCTGGGCAGAGAAGACCAATTGAAGGGGTGCAAAATTAGGTGGAGGTAGACCAGGGAGTTGAGACAGTTAAGGTACCATATAATGATGCCACTGCAGAGGAAATGTGGGGGGGGGGGGTGTGGACAGAAGAAACTACTATAATGTACATTAGACAAATGGCTGGTATGGTGCCTGTGCTTCTTGGCCTTGCCAAGCTACCAGTATTTGAATGGCATTTGTCTACTTGTCAATGGCAGTTCATTCCCTCATAGCCTATTCAAAGACAAGGTCTAAATTTGCTATCCCATCACACACCAATTCATCTTGAAGAGCAGATGCTGCTACCTATGGTCTGAGTTGACTAGGCATAGACTAGATGCCCACTGGCCCTTCTATTTTCCTGTTTCTTCAGCTCCTAAAAAACTCCTTTGATGCTTCAGTGACAGTTAACCAAGTCCTTGTGAGATGCAACTGGTATGCTTTGTTCCTGGTTGACATGCTAGTATATTTTATGTTTTTGAGACGTGCTGCCCTCTGTGCATTGGTTAGTGTCTTCCTTCCTCTGCAGCCCCTTCCTTTGGATGTTCTGCAACTGTTTGCTTTTTCTCTTCA